GACGTTAAGATTAATGACAAAAATTAGTAAAAAATAATACTTACTTTTCTCTCAAACGATCTCAACTTGTTGTTATCTTTTTAGTACAATATTACATGGATTGTTGTCGCTCACTGGCCACAGATTCTGACGTCACAAGTCGTTTAAAAGTCATTAATTTGTGTAAAAAATTTAGATCTATCGTATAAATTATAGAATGATTACATTAGAACAATAAACCATTTAAACAGTGAAACACATTAAGAACAATGATTAAGCACGAAGGTACAAATTTTAACTTTATTGAAAAACACATTAATATTCTTTACAGTTTTTTAAAGGCATACAAAAGTCGTAAAGTTATTTTTAACATATAAACGACAAAATAAATCTCAACATTTCTCGATTTTAATTAAATCTTAAAAATGATTTATTTACGCGAACCTTTGGCGATTTTTTCAAAACTAAAATTGAGCCCGTATGTCTCAAGATCCCCATGTGTATTTGTATGTGTATCCCCGTATGTCTATGGGCTCCGGTAACCGATTGCACCATGTGGACTGGGGCTCAACCAATTAACTAAGTGCCAATATAAAAATTAACAAATCAATTCTAACTGCAAACTCGATAAGATTTCAACTATATCTCTATTACGTTGTTTACGTAAATCCGCCGTTTCATCCTTGAAACGCCTTGTATAAAAGACATCAATTAGCGTAATCTCGCTTCTAAAACCGTAATACCTATATTTGCCTAAGACAAAACTGTTTTTATCGAGACTAGATTCTCATACTAGGAAATCGTTAATTTTGGCGGCAAAAAATTATAATTATATCAGTGAGCGGTTGTATTCGTTTATATTAAAATTTATTAAATTATTTCAAGAATATTGCTACAGATTACTGTGGAACATTTAATTTTATACCAGTCTCACTTATAGGTAATAAGTTTGACAAAACAGAAAATACTAAATTTCGCGCCAAATTCTGACAGAGTACAACACTATAAAATAATAAACATAATATTTAATTCCTATTTCTGATCGTTAAGACACTATTTTAAAACATCCGTATTATACCTATAAAACATCAAAACGCAGCGTTCAAAGTTTCAAGCATTTTTGGCACCAAATTCAGATACTATTTTCGTTCGCATTCCATTAAGTTCAAAACCAAAATCTGAATATCGATTGATAATGAACGATACATTTCACACACGTTCGGTCCTCATGTTATGTAAAATACCAAAGTATATAATATCCATTTCACACGCGACGAGAATCAGTAGCGCACCCAACCAAAACTGAGCGTTTGACAACGACGCAGTACACACGACCACTCGTCGCGCGAGCGGCAGCCAAACTGAAGCCATATTGTTTATTTGCTTTAAACTTTTGGCAGTCGCACGGATTTACCAATGTTATGGAACTCGCTTGTTATTACGAAATAATAAATATGAATTATTTTAGTCTATTTCATTATTAAATTTAATTTGTCACTGTTAGTTTCAGTATTATATAATGTTTTTTTTTTTCTTCAGAAACCACTTTGAAACGCTGGCAGATGTTCTTCGAATTTCTCCGTCCAATTGTGAAAAATTATTTACGTATAATACTTTATAAAGTGCTTTTCTTTTCTTTGTACGTCGATCAACACAGCACACGATGACTTGAATCGTGAAAACGTGAGTTCGAAATATTACGCCATGTTTTTTTTTCTTTTTTTTCGCAAACCAGCTTTGTTTCAACTATGAATATCGAATACGTGATTGCAACTGAACGGTTAATATGATATTAATGCGAGTGCGTTCTAATTTTAAAATTCGTTCAAGTTCATACCATATAATTATGTATGTAAATCAATTCAAAGTTCGAATTCTATTGTTTGTTTTGATGAATATTCACCGACACAATAATGAGTACAGTTAACGAGAAAAATGTTTTTAAATAATTTAATAAAAATAAAAAAGAACATAATTTGAAATCGAGGGGTGAAAGGCTATTTGGCTTAAGCGACATCTCGCTTAATTAATACGCGACATTTATCTTTGTAATTAAAAGTGCGTTTTATTTGGTACTAGCTGATCCGGCAGACTTCGTAGTGCCTTAATCGATAAATGAAAGACCCTAAACTTTTGTATAAAATCAAACTTAAAACAAACAAAAGAATCCGTCCGACGGACACATCAAAGGGAAAACAAAATTGTTACTTTTATTTAATTCCGAGCATTTTCATATTTATCTACCTTTTAAACCTTCTCTAGACTTCCACAAATAATTCAAGACTAAAATTAGCCAAATCAGTCCAGCCGTTCTCGAGCTTTAGCGAGACTAACGAACAGCAATTCATTTTTATATACATATATAGATATAAATAGATAGATAGATAGATAGATACATAGATAGATAGATTAGCAGCAACAGTTCAATGTTTCTAATTCAACTTCAATTAAGTTTACTTTAGTTCAATTAATTAATATCAAGATTGATTTATTGATCTTGATTTATTTCTGTTTATACCTATTACGTAGGATAATAGGATAGTACAGTGTACTAATACTATACACGGTGTTCGTATACTTGGTACACTACCTATTATGCGCTACCTACAATAAGCCTCAACTCTCAATTCAACTAGAAGCAGTCAACGAGAGTACAAATGTTAGGGCTCATTGTCGAAAATCGTTCTGGTCAAGGTCGTCGTGGCCTATAGGATAAGACGACCAGTACATTCGTATCAAGCGATGTATCGGTGTTCGAATCCCGCAGGCAGGTACTAGTTGTTCTAATGAAATACGTACTTAGCAAATGATCACGATTTACTTCCACGGTGAAGGAATAACATCGTGTAAAAAAAATCAAACCCGCAAAATTATAATTTGCGTAATTACTGGTAGAGCAAGAGCCCGCGACAGCCAGACCTTCGTTATTTTATAAAAGCTGAAAGTTTCTCTGTGTATGTCTCCAACACAGGTAAGAACGACCCGCGATTATAGAGTTCCGATTGTGGTTACTTGGGCAGGTAACAGGCAGTAAAGGTATATAAAATAGTACCTTAAATTCGTTAAAGTATAAAGGTTTTTTTTTTTAATATTTACTNATTACCTATAACGGCTTGGCATCTGTAAAAGTGCATAAATGTAGGTTTAAGGAAGTTTATCGCAGACAGTATCTTTTTTCGTTTAGATAGGTGGACGAGCTCACGAGCCACCTCGCGTTAAGTGGCTAACGGAGCTCATGGACATCAACAACGTAAATGTCAGTTGCCCTATCCTTCAGGCCCGAACGTGTTACTGCTTCACGGTAGAAATAGAGCGATGGTACCCACCCGTGTGGGCTCACAAGACGTTCTTTCCGGATTCTTCCAAAAATTCCATTGCAGTCTGGTTAAATCTGGAAATGGTCTCTGAAAATCCCTCAATTTTATGTGATTTCATTCTATTTGTCCGTTCCTGCAGCAAAGTATGCAATAATAAACCTAACTTTAACTCGAGGCTAACATTAGGAACATCATAACAATCCGTTTGCCGTTCACTGAAATATTAAATTATTTATAATTTATTTCTTATCATATCTAGTTATTATTATCTGTGCCATGTACTGAAAAAAAGACCCGTAATCCACCAATCAAACGTGTTCCCGCCAAAAAGTGTTAGCATTTTCAATTCAATTTCAATATATTTTCTAACCGATAGTCCACAAACAAGGAAACACTAAAAAGGGAAATGTTCATTGGACATAATTAATTAATATTCTAAAATGTATAATTCGATCGGTGACAACATTTTAATTAAAGTTGTCTAGGTCAACCTCAAGCAGGGCTTAGCTGATAATTATTACAACAATTAAGGTATATTAACAATTAACGTATCGTAATCCAGCTCTATACTTCGTGAGGTGATCCGTGAAAACTCCCGATAGAATTAGAAGATTCGAGAATGTTCTAGACTCGTCTTGCCTGTGTCGAGAACATTCTCGGAGTCATTAGAACACTCTCGATACAATTCCTACGAGGAAACATTCTGGAACATTCGAGAAACGTTACCAGAATATTCGAGGGATGTTCCAGTTGTTTGGAAATTAACTTTTTTTGTTATCTGACGACATGTGGCGTTGCCCGTGCAAGCACCCCGCCTATTTTTGCCGTGAAGCAGTAATGCGTTTCGGTTAGAAGGGTGGGGCAGCCGTTGTAACTATACTGAGACCTTAGAACTTATATCTCAAGGTGGGTGGCGCATTTACGTCGTAGATGTCTATGAGTTCCAGTAACCACTTAACACCAGGTGGGCTGTGAGCTCGTCCACACATCTAGGCAATAAAAAAAAAAGCAAAACAGTACAAATGCAAAATCATCTTGAACATGTCGATAGCGCGATTCAAACATCTATCAAATCTCTTGTTTTAGACGTTAATAAATAAACCGTCTGAAAACGGCGGGATATCGGAGCAATTTGTTTTTAATACTAATATTATACAGAGGAAAGATTTGTTTGTTTGTTTGTATTAAATAGGCACCGAAACTACTGAACCGATTTGAAAAATTCTTTCACTGTTTGGAAGCTACACTATTTCCGAGTGACATAGGCTATAATCTTTTTTGAAAAAAATTACCTAAAATATTCTTTTCATCGGGTGCTCCGCGAAAACTATTGATGATAGAATAAAATAATGTATTACGACTTTGTAGAACACATAATTATTTACAAAAAGTGTCGTAACAGCATAAAATATGTCTAACTATTATAGTTATGCTGCAATAAGTGTTCTTTCGCAATAAGTGTTCTTTTATTTAAAAAAATAAAACAACGTCAAATATCGTTGAAATTTTTGTTAAAGACGGAGCCGGAGCGGGCCCCTTGTTATATATATTTTTTTAATATTCTCAAAAGCTCCCAAATCGTTTCGGGGAAGGATTATTACAATTTGAGAAAGAAAAAAAAACAGCTCCTTCCAAGTCAGTAGATATACATCCTAAAATACAAATGATTTGTTCCAGCGTCATTGTTTAGAGGAGAATCAGCTCTTAACCACTCACCTCGTGTACCGAAGCCGCTCTGAACATGTAGCAGTTCAACAGTACCTCCTTCTCATCGAGTAGTATGTAGAACAGCTCCTCCGGACGTCCTGGCACTTGGCTGGCCCTAACAGGAACGAACAAAAAGCACTATAACTCTCCCTCCAAAGAAGATTTGCCAAGTCCGTAGTTGCCGGCTTCAGGTCCTGTCATGGCGAAGCTACAGTCTATCTGTGAGCTTCGGTTACGGATGGTAATAAAAAAGATATACCGGCTTTTTATGGTGCTAAGTGGTTACCGGAGCCCATATACACCTACAACGTAAATGCCGCCACCCACCTTGAGATATGAGTTCTAAAGCCTCAGTATAGTTGCAACGTTTGCCCCACCCTTCAAACCGAAACGCATTACTGCTTCACGGCAGAAATAGGGAGGGCGGTGGTACCTACCCGTGCGGACTCACGAGACGTTCTACCACCAGTAAGCTTAGCGTTGCTTGAATAGCCCCTTAGGCTACCAGTGCATAGATAGGGAAATTTATCTAAGTTTCAGCTCGAAATATAACCTCTATTTAGGACTACACAACTCACCTGATTATATCTGATAGCTTATGTATTATAACTGGCTCAAAGTTTCCATTGTACACTTTCAAATGACCGCCGTCGATGGCTATGCTGACCTACAAATAAAACCACACTTATAACATACAAGGTGTTTAAAAACAGTTAACTTTAAATCGAGTACAATTCATTATGTATCGTATCTAAACCAATTTTAATTGTGATAAATTGCCGTCACGATCATCATCATTCTCCTGTCCTTCTCCCAATCACCTGGGGTCCGCCCAACATGTTTTCTCCTACCATACTCCTCTATCATATACTATTTCTTCGCTCACTCCCCTCTTACACATATCGTCTTTCACGCAATCCATCCATTTCTTCTTAGGTCTACCTCTTCCTCTATATCCTTCCACATTCATAGTTAACACTCTCTTAGTAACCTCATTTTCATTTCGTCTCATCACATGTCCATACCATCTCAACTTCTCTGTCCAGGTGCCACTTTCATCTAACCTATTCATTCCGTATTCTATCTATTCTCGTTACTCCACAGATCCATCGCAAAATTTGCGTCTCAGCTGCATGCAATCGCCTTTCAAAAAAATAAATATTTACTAACAATCACGCCACTTAACTGGTCCCGTGATAAGTTCGTAAAGAACTTGTGTTACAGGTTACCAGATAACGGATATAAATGTAAGATTTTTATTATACACATACATAATAATATATTTAATATACATCCATAACCCTGGAAAAGACATTTATATTTATCATACAAATATCTTCTCTTGGCGGGATTCGAACCCGCGACCCCCTTGTGTAGTGACCATGTCACTTACCACTACACCAGACGGCCATTAAATTTCATTTTCATTGTGACAAATTGCCATATTGCCTTCAATATTAATGGACAAAACGAAATTATTCTGCAGCACAGGTAAAATTTGCTCGGTAGAGCGACAATCAGGGACGACTTTTTTTAAAGTAATTTTAACGATATCAATATGTACCGTAAAAGTTTGAATCGTATAGGACTCGTAAGAACTGAAGTTAATACTGAAACACAAATTTACATAGACCGTTCGATTTGCGTGATTTAGTTCGATGATATCCGACCTTATCTCGTACGTTGGTAGCTCTTATTTCCCTTATCAGCCACGGCAGCATGGCGTTGGAAAACCTCCGGTCCATCACGGTGCTTCCTAGGTACGTCACCGGCGTCAATTTCGTCTTCATGATCCGCTGCCGGTAGTAGAGTTATGATTTAGAGCTTAGTGTGCTTAGTGCGAGTTTTTTAACGTTCTCGATAGCGTAAAAGTTAACTCTAATTTGTATGGAGTTGGAACGTTTGCCTACGTTTGCCGCTAGGGGCGCTGCTCCAACTCCATACAAATTTGAGTTAACTTTTACGCTATCGAGAACGTTACAAAACTCGCAGTAAACACACAGGGTGGGCGGTTTTTTTTTCCTACCTGTGCTGATAATCTTGAGAGGCTATTTCAGCGTTACCCTAGCGTGTAGGTGAGCTCTCGGGGCTCAAATCGGAGGTGTTGCTAACACTGACCTTAGCAAGAGCAGTGCTTCGCAGAATCTACCACCGGATCGGAAACGCAACCCACTGAGAAGACCCGGCGAGAAACTCAGTGGGCTGTGTCTATGGGTTAATTTACTCGTCGAGCCCATCGTCGCAAGCGTGTAGTGTTCATTGAGACATGCAACCAAAGTCTCGGTTTTAACGACTGCCCCACCCTTCAAACTGGAAAGGATAATTAATGCTTGCGGCGGAAACAAATGGGTGGTGATATCGGCGCGCGCGTTTTCAAGTCTTGATAGCATTGGACTGAATTATTTTTAAAATTACAGCTAATAATCAAGATAATGCTAGAATAAGAAAGGACATAGGTACTTTTCGTAAAAACTTTTTTTTTCGCATACCTATTTCACTTATCCTCATAATAGGAATATTTTATTGATAAGAATATTTCAATTTTATCTTTGTTCGAGAACTATGTCAGCTATTTCCGTCTGGAATCATAGCTGAACCTGTCTTTTTTTTCCTTCATACTTAAGTTATATGGATTGTGCTTTTATGAGAATATTGAAAATCCAAACCCACAAAAAGTACGGACACAAATCATCCTAAATTTGTATAGAGAACTGGACAAAAGAATCTCGTACCAATAAATAAAAACTGTATCAGGAATTATTTTTCCTTAAATAAATAAAAAATTTAAAAAATATGTTGTATATACTTAGTTAAATATATTTTATGCAAATAAAATTATACGGTACCTATCTAATTTTATGATACGGCTAATTTCTTTACGGCGCCTATCAATTTTATTCGATGTTTTTCTCGTTTAAGTCTATTTGTATTGTTAGAACAAAGACTCTAATTCATAATAAAACTTACCTCGATTCTAGACACAATTCACCAAAACAACAAGAATACAAACAAAATCAATAACACTGCGAGAACGTTGATGATTCACGGAATTCTCTCGAATTTTCGAACATTATAAGAACAAATTTATTAATTTGGAAACATTTAAAAATACTAGTTTCTGTTTTACTATACGACGAGTCTCGTTGAGTGTTCTAAATGTTCAATTTTGTGCGAGAAAAGTACTACAATATTATGGCGGAAAGAGGAACTCTGTAAACGGTGTTGTCAGAACACAGATTAAAAATATTCGAACAACATAATCGTGAAACTAAAATGTTCTTAAAATATTTCTAATGAACATTGATTAACTGTCAATAAACTCAAATCTTATTAAGTGTTTTTGAATAACAACTAAGTTGTTAAAGACTTTTACATGTACGACATTAGAAACCGTTAAATGTCACCAATTCCATAGTTAGCTCAAATCAGCAGTTTATTTAAATCAATTCCGGATTAGTTAGGTAAAAATGTTGCGGGACTCGGGAAATCTCACCCATGTACCAAAAAAAACAACCAAAAGTTAACAGTATTGCTAAATATACTATTATTCAATGCACGCATATGTCATGACCAGAAGTAGGCCCTTACTAATGCTCGGGTTCCATTTCATGGGCCTCTCGTTCACATTACACAGACCCTGCGCTGGCTGAATCCACCCCTGATTTAAACCCGAAAGTTGGAGAACATACATTAATAAAGAAAATAGTTGTGTTGGAAAGATGATTTCAATCGGCGTATAAATTTTTAAGACATGAGGAGTTAAGGCACTCATGATTTTTTTTTTCTGGCCGGGGTCCGTACCTCCTACGAGGTCCCCGCGCCTAGGGGGCGCGCGGGGTATGTGGGACTCAACGATCTGCAGGTGTTGAGAGGAGACCGCGGGCCCAAGGAATTTTAGGGCCCACTCACTAAACGACTCCCCTGCACTCTTACACCCGACGTCCGATCTCCATCCGGGGTCAAAACCCGGTCAGAGTAGGGGGGTTCCCGCGGTAAACACTACAACCAAACACGCGGCGCCACCCCGAGGACGCCCGACCGACGGGTCGTCGAGGCGATCGTCGACGACCAACGACGTCGGTCTCCGCGGTATGGTGGCCCTACCAGGCCGCCCAGGCGATGCCGCTGGTGTTCTGGGATACCCCGCTGGGCCAGAACCAGCCTGCCGGGTCGGAACGCGATACACTGCCGACCGGGTTGCTTTTCCACAGTATGTTCGGCGACGACAGCGCTGACGAAAATGCGGACCGCATCGCAGTCCGCAGCCGCTGACGCGTCGTCCCTACCTCCTGGTGCCAGCACGCTAAAAAAAACTCATGATATCTTATTTAACTTTGTACTGGTGGTAGGACCTCTTGTGAGTCCGCACGGGTAGGTACCACCACCCCACCTATTTTTGCCGTGAAGCAGTAATGCGTTTCGGTTCGAAGGGTGGGGGAGCCGTTGTACTGAGACCTTTGAACTCATATCTCAAGGTGGGTGGCATTTACCTTGTGGATGTGTATAGGCTCCGGTAACCACTTAACACCAGGTGAGTCGTGAGCTTGTCCCAAAAAAAACAAATTAAATCTAACTGCAAATGCAAAAATATCTGAATAATATCTCCTACTAACATTGTTTACGTAGATAGCATTTTGATAGTTTTAATTTTAGGTTTGAAAAAGATCCCTTAATGACGTTAGGACGTTAATTTGGCTGCCCCACCCGTTCCGTCATAGATCACCAGTTTGTAGGTTTAAACGACGAAGGGAAGATCTTCCACCGGGCGGGTGATATTGCTCGGTAGACCGATGGTCCAGATGTTGTTGTTCGAAACTTGTATATATGCAAGCTTATATTGAAAGTGTCGAAGCATCAGGCATCTATCAAATATCTTGTATTGTATGATAGCTATCGCCACATCAAGTACGTATTAAAGTAGACTAGATCTACTGTCGCACAATTTGTAGCCCTAACAAAACTAAGCACAGGTATGATACAAATATTGTAAATTTTGTACCGACTCCACGGAATAGGAAACGGCTATTGACTGAGATTAAATAGATTTTACCATTTTTAATTAAACACATTACACAAAAACATTATTAATTTAAATGAAGACGTGATGCTTCTAAAATGCTTTGATTTTTGTAATGTTTATTTTGTTGTTTAAAATATAGGATTACGTTTTTCACGCTAAAAATTTCGTAAACATTAAAAAAAATTTAAATAAAATAACTCATTTTAATCCGTTGCAAAATAGAACTGCTCAAATCACCGGAATTCAGTCTTTAGTTTTAAGGTTGCAACCCTGTCCACCTTTGTACGACGCCATGTTAATCCTTCTCTTTCTATCTAGTGAAAAGCTACGAATGAGGAAAAATACCAAATCCTTAGGGAAAACCTCAAAACGATGGTACGAAAATAGTAGGCTTATTTTTAAAACAGCGCCCTCTAGTTTGTAATTTGAAGCAATACCTAAACAGATCTACCGATGCGAAATAGTTTGTAAGACATTTTACAGATGTCACTAAATTCAATTTTCTTATTCTACTATTTCTTATATCTCTTCAGATATTTCTACAAATGGTCCTTGTTTTTTTTTTTTATTTATTACCAAGAAACATTTTGTGTTTGTATAGAAGAAAAGGTAACTCTTGAACTACTCTAGTAGCAGACAATCTAAACATGCATAAAACAAAAGAAACACGAAATAAGGTACCTAGTCGATGTTTACATTTGAAAAGAATTCAATCATTCAACCTCAAAATTTTTCAAATTTTCTGTAAGTAAATCAGTTGTCTGGAAGCGAACGCTTTTAGCGATAAGACCGTCTATTGTACAAATGTATCTGATTGTTAACTGTTTTTTTTTAATGTTAATGTTATGTGTTCTGGTGTGCAATAAAGTACCTAGTCAGGTCATAAGTATTGTCACACAGTAAAAACTTTTCTTTTAGAATGCTGGCTACAAAAAAGTTTGTTGAATTCGAATTTCGAATTGTTCATGAAAATAAAAATGTATACTTTTAGAATTTTACTCATTTTTAAATATGGAGTGGACGCTTAAAGAAGACCTTGTTGCAGTTATTGTGTTGCATCGTTGCGGTTACGCGCCAATTCAAATTTTTAACATACTGAAAAATTTGATTATAATCAAAAGATTCGTTTATCGTACCATCAAACGATACAATGAAGACTCTAGTGTAGATGACAGGTCAAGAAGTGGTCGCTCTCGGTCTGTTAGGACTCCAGCAGTGATAAAAGCTGTGAAGGCGCAAATTCAAAGAAATCCCAAACGTAAGCAGAAACTGTTAGCCCTTCAGATGGGTTTAAGCAGAACCACGGTGAAAAGGGTGTTAAATGAAGACTTACCCCTTGGCCACAGCCGAGAGCGGTGCGAATTGCGTTGCGTCGTGAGGCGCGGCAAGCGGGAGCGGCGAAAACAAATGGTAGACAACCTATGAAGTATGCCACAGCTACTGGCGGTGCGTTTTGCGGTGCGTTGGGAGGCGCGGTGAGAGGCGCGTGACATCTGGCGGCGACGAGCTGCGCCATGTGCGAGTGAAACAAATGTACTAGACAATATCGAGGTGGCCACAGCTCAGAGCGGTGCGCGCGGCGGTGTCGGTGGACGCATTGAGGCATCGCGCGACCGAAATAAACCATTTTGTTTTTACCGCGCGTTGAGCTAATAAAATATAATGGATGTGGAACAATTCATTAGTGAAATACTGAGTAGACCAGAAATATGGATGTCAAAACATCCACATCATAAATATAGGCATGTTATAAAAAAAATGTGGGACGAAATAAAACAATTTTCTAGTACTAATGGTTTCATAGATACTCTTGGATAGGATTATTGAAATAAAATTTGAAATTCGAATTAATTTCGTATTCTAGATGCTTGAACCGTTGCTCGATTATTCCGTCTTGATCTGCGTACGCTGTTGTGAATATTGGAGTCTCCAAACTGGGAAACAAACTGCTGAAAATCTGCATCTCTGTCTCCATCTNCTCGTTCGTGCTGCGATAGACGACTGGCCGTGCAGATTGAAGGCCTGTATTCAAAATCACGGAGGTCATTTTGAATAAACTTTAGTGTCATAAGAATCTATGTTTTGTTAAGTTCATTTTGGTATATGAATGGTTACATAATGAATAAACTTGTTTCAATTATTTTACATTAAACATGTGACAGAATTTATGACCTGACTAGGTATATTCTCTCTCTCTCCCTCTCATTGTTGAATATTGGAAATGAATCAAACAAAAATGTAAAAAAGCTTTTAATTTTTCTGGAGTGACAATAAAGACCTTGGGAGACGAAAAAAAAGGCCGTTTTCCGCCAGGGGCGTTGTTCCAACTGCACATAAATTTGAGTTAACTTTTACGCTATCGAGAACGGTAAAAAACTAAGCACACTGATGGACGAATCAAACGCCTTGCTAATTTCTGCAACTAAGCGCCAATGCGTCCCATGTAACACGGAGCACACATTGAAGGGTGAAACAGTTATACTATAGAACAGAAACTTAACAAGGCACTTAACACCAGATAAGTCGAGAGCTCTTTTACTGGTTTAGTAACGAAGATAAAGTTTGCCGCTAGGGGCGCTGTTCCAAATGCATACAAATTTGAGTTAACTTTTACGTTATCGAGAACGTTAAAAAACTCGCACTAAGCACACTGATGGACGAATCAAACGCCTTATTTCTGAAACTAAGCGCAAATGCGTTCTTTGTAACACAGGGCACTCATTGAAGGGCGACAGATATAATAAAGAGTAGAAACTTAACATGCACTTATAGATAAGCCGAAAGCTCTTTGACTGGTCTAGTAACGAACATAAAGAAAGTTCTGTGGTAAGCTCTTTCGTTAGTTAGATCGGAAAACAAAGGTAACTACTATGAAAATTATTACAACGGCTCTATACTGGAAAAACAATTTATTTACAAATTCATTTCATTTATTACAATACCAACAAAGAATGGAAGTCTATTAGTTTCAAAATCAGAATTAGAGTTTGGAAAGAGAAATATATTAATGAATAAACTAATAATTCACCTCAGCAGATCTACTGCTGAAATTGCAATGTTGTAACATGTTTCTTGTTCCTGATCTTAAACAGAAATCAAAATTAATCGGTAACATTGGCTGCATTAAAATGTGTGACATTTAAATTTTTTCAATCACAGTATGGATCTTTAGTTCGATACACGAATCCCGTTTGAAACTAATAAACTCTTTTTTATAAGACTAGTCTTTTTCTAGCGAAGGGGAAACATTCTTTCCGAGCACATTCTCCTGATATTTCAGCTTCTTCACATTGGTTGGGTCTTTCAATACTTCATCCGTTAGCCTGTCTACACGTTGGTCTTCGATGGACTCTACAAAACAAATACAAGGTTATAAAAGAAAAGAGGCTTCAACAAAATAAAATGAGAATGTCACTAATGTAGTAGGGTCAATTGTAAAGCATGTATTTTTAAAGATAGCACAGAAACTACTGGTCCATCACACTAGTAACAGCAGCTTTCAAAAAGAGGAATCATCCAAATCAGTTATCAAATTGACTGATCACAGTCTCCTTGTATTGAAGTTGCTTAAAAATAATTTTAATCTTTAGACTCTCGAAAACAGTAGAAATTGCTTAATATTAATTTTTATATGCAACTTTATTGTGCATACATGTGCATATGCACATGAGACAATCCACTGAGTTCCCCATCGGGTTCTCTCAGTGGGTCATAATTCTGATCCGATAGTAGATACAGCGAAGCATTGCTCTTGCTAGGACTAGTGTTAGCAATTCTCTTAGGTTGAACCCCTGAGCTCACCTACCCGTTTGCGTGAAGTTGGAATATCCCCTTAGCCTACTAATGATTAGGAGGGGGAAAAAATTGATGTAAAACTTTATATAATTAGAACCACTGCCACGATTTTTTTTTTTTTATAAATTATTTACGGGCCTTTTGAATTAGGTTCGGATATTGCCCAATTTTCCGCATGTATGCCTACAAGCTGAGTGCATTAAACAGAATCTACTTACTTTTTTTTATGATGATATTACTAGTGGCCCGAAAACCTTTCCAGTTTCACTAGGACAGGTGGGCGAGCAGAGGCTCAACTAGGAGGGGTGGGATTTGCTAACAACTGCCCGAGCGCTTCCGAAGGAGACCTAACAATTCAAGAGCAACTGCTTCGCGAATGAATCTACTACCGGATCGGAATCGGATCTACTTACTGTTATACGGTGTGTATTTATCGGACAATATGTTTTCCAAGTTGTATCCTATGACTCCTACTAAAGCCGCAACCGGGAGGGTTATGTAAGCCGCATTAGCTCTCATGAACTGCAGTATTAATGGCCACATCTAAAAAAGAGTTTCCAAATTCAAATTAAATATAACAAAATAGAAATCATTTAAAAACAATTTTAAACGATATATAGAAATATGAAAACACAAACGTACTATTTGATATAATAATTGAACTAGCTTGGTTCTAGAATATGCAATTGCGAAATTGAATTTAAAATAAATTTACACGTATTAAATATTTCTGAACATTTACACTGAATGTAATTTATAAGCAATTACATTTTGGTAAAACAATTTCTTCTCTTGTTTTGATATCACGATATAACCTTAAAATCGGCAAAACAGCTGATAATTTGTTTGCGGCCATTGGCTACCAGACTTTTTAGTTGTTCTTACATTTATTTCAGATTCATATGTTCAGATTTTATGAAATTATGCCACATGGTGGTGGTGCTCTGGTGGTAGGACCTCTTGTAGTCCGCGCGGGTAGGTACCACCACCGTGCCTGTTTCTGCCGTGAAGCAGTAATGCGTTTCGGTTTGAAGAGTGGGGCAGCCGTTGTAACTATACTTGAGACCTCGAATCCTTATCACACAGGAGCCAGTCACCATCGACGCCCTAGACACGTCCTTACAGATCCGTCAGATCCAATAACCCTTGCATTAGACGCCTTCAGTTCTAACACTAGGAGCAGGCTTAGGGACCCTGGTAACAGTTCTCTTCGAACTCGTCAAAGAGTTCGACGTGGAACATAACCCATATATCAGCCCGCTGAGTTTCTTTCCGGATCTTCTAAGCGGGTCGCGATTCCGATCCGGTAGTAGATTCATTCGTGAAGCAGCTACTCTTCAGTTGTTAAGTTTCCTCTGGAGGCGCCGGGCAGCTGTTAGCAATTCCCATCCCTCCTGGCTGAGCCTTTTCAGATTAAAATCAGATAAAAGTCCTGGTCCCGACGCAATACCCAATGAAGCTCTGAAAATAAGCGCACCAGTTTTACTTAAGCCTCTCACAGAATTATTCAATCTAATACTAGAAGCTGAAATCGTACCAATCCAATAGTTTAAAAAAAGTAACTCTATTGAGAAAACAAGGTTTTTGCGGTAAAAATATTGCCAGCATCAAAACTTTTAACGTGTTAAGTAAACATTTTAAGTATATAAATATAACATATAAATCAATCATTTTAAGTATTATCATTAATCAATCCATTTTAATGGATTATAAGCACATAAAATAACATCAAAGAAATACCCATTGGACTTTAACTTGTAAATATACTTGAGACCTTAGAACTTAGATCTCAAGGTGGGTGGCGCATTTACGTTGTAGATGTCTGTGGGCCCCAGTAACCACTTAACACCAGGGTTGCTGTGAGATCGTCCACCCATCTAAGCAATAAAAAAAAACTTTACTAGTATTGTTATTTAAATATGTACAACTAAAACATAAAAAATAAAAAATAATGTGTACTCTTAAAAAAAGATTAAGAAATAAATCAATTATCGGTTATTTCAAAAAATAATCGATATATGAATTTCATGTGATTATTTTTCTTTATACTGACAGCACTGAATTTAATTTGATTGACTGATACTTCGCTACGTAGTGATTATTTGCTCAGTGACTTCACTTGCTGCTTGTGGTGTTGTGCTTGCGTTCAAAATGGATGTGTTTTGATTTTTCTTCGATTTATTTTACTTTTATCAATAACGTTTCATACTACGACTGAAAAACATTGTGTGAATTGTGGTTTTAATCTGACCGAGATTTAAAACCCTGTATATGCTCTCCTGTGCTATTTTTAGATGATTTACTAATTGTGTATGAAGATGAAGAAAATATAGATATTTAAAGAAGTATGTGTGTTTTTTTACACCCTAATAACTACAATTGGATAAAAATACATTCTTCTTCTCCATCGCTCCCTCATTGCTGAGGATCGTGACTCCGTTTCAGCTTGTCGACTGCCAGAAATAAAAATACATTAGGAACATCTTAAGCATTAAGAAAAGAAAAGTTCTTGAAGTATATCATAATGCGACACTTATTTATATAGAAAATTAACCTCAAAACGAATTTTTATTTTTATTATATTTTTTATAATAGTGGCGTCAATTTCAATATATTTTTTAGATATCCAATACATTTAAGAATTTGAATCAGTCCTTTTTTATAGTAGTATTTTATGTCCATTTTGGGCCCAGCACACTATGGAGAGTGGGCATTCCTCTTTAAATAATTATTTTTTGTTTTTATGTGATTGGAAACATCCTCATTTGGTATCGCTGTAGGTATATTATCCTGCATTGACTCACAGACTGCACAGTGCAGTTACCAACAGAAAACTCAGTTCGTTTTTAGATTAATAAAATCAAAGTAAACAAATAAGTTCTTAGTATATGCTCATTCCTAGTATTCGCTCAACTCTAACCAGTGGTAACCTGTTTATTATGCACGGTATTTAAAAATGGGGAATTTTTAATTGCTCCTCTTTTTAAAATGCAAGCACTAATATACAGATTTTAAGACAAAATTACTCACTGTATAACAAAAATACTGATTTGCACACTAAATTAACCATCTTACAACGGAATTTCCAAAATCATTTTCTAAAACTGTATATCAGATAATGTATGTTTACATTATCAAATTACATTCCACGATTTTACTACTTGTGTAGCTAAAATCCCCATCACCCAACTTTATTTATTTTTGTTCTTCTGAATTTATTTCGTTCTTTTGAACTTCTGAACGAATACAAGATTTCTAAATGTTGTTTGAAGCTCTTCGCAACAGCGCTTTCTCCCAAACTCTTTACAACCAAAAGCATTAATTTGCGACGCGCCTATGAGCGTAAAAAATGCATTTAAAGATGTATTTGGTGAAGAATCTACTGTAAAAATGTGCTGGGCCTATGCAAATAAAAGTATAATGACCAATGTAGAAAAGTTTGTAAGCAAAAAAAAGAAGACTATTACAGGATATTGATGTGTGAAACATACTCTCGGTCGGCAGGCCATCCGAAGCTCGCCTAGATGGCGCCGGTTAGAATAGATTATCCTACGGAATACCCCGCTGGGTCAGAACCAGCGTGGGTCAAGGATAGCCAACCTTTCATCACCCGGATGCTCTTGCGTAAAACGCGTGCAGAGCAGCTTGCACGTCGTCTTCTTAGGCCCCCTTCGCCGGTCCCCAGACCGACATGTGAGGGAGACTCGAAACACTTAGAGGGCCAGGGCTTGGGTGAGATCCGCCTCCCTGGCCCCCGCTCGACGGCGGCGGGCTTGTGCGTCTCTCGCGCGCCCCAGCGCCTCCTTCTGCGAGACAGTGCACTCGCAGAAGTCGAGCATCGCTTTACACGACTCGTCGCCGCCGAGCATCGATGCCACAACACTCCGCCACGACAAGTCGTTTCCTATTTTTGCGACGAGGACGCGGACGAGGAGAAAATTATTCAAAGGAGTTTTCGTACTTGATTTTTTTTTTATTGCCCTTGTAGGCAGACGAGCATACGGCCCACCTGATGGTGAGTGGTTACCGTCGCCCATGGACTTCAGCAATGCCAGGGGCAGAGCCAAGCCGCTGCCTACCACTTAATACTCTCCACAAGCCTCGTTTGAAGAAGGATTTCTTACTTTTATATTATGTCCAGGGTACCAGTGGACGAATCCTCATGCGTTGGACTGATCTGGTAAAAGACCTTACGGAAACCCCACTTAACGAGTGTGTGCGCCGTGCCTCGGTTCGCAAACTGTGGAAAACATGTGTCAAGGCTTTAATGAGCAAGAATTCTACATGACCACGACTGCTCTGCCAAGAGCAACCGATTATGATGATGATGACCAGTGGGTAGAGTACCTTTAAACCGGGAACTACTTAAAATCAGATGGAGTCTGAGCTTGTTTTTTTCTCTCACCTATTCTAGTGACCTCGAGGGGTCATACTAGATTCACTGAACGAGTAGATAATAGTAGCAGTGCATAATCTAACAGCGGATCGGAAACGCGACCCGCTGAGAAGATTCAGTGAGAAACTCCGTGGACTGTGTCTTAGGGTAAATTTGCTCGCCTAGCCTTTCGTCGCAAGTGACGGGTTCGATGAAGACGGTTACCCTTGCTTCAGTTACAGAAAAGCACCGATAGTGGGTCGGGAGTGAGCTCGTGAGTTATAATAAGCCTAATTGGCCTAATAAGTAATCCTGGTCAGGCCCGATCTCTAAGGATAACGAAGATCAATCTCATTTGCGTTGCCGATGTCGAGAATGCAGTAAAATATATACGTGTGATGAATAATATTCAAAATATAGAAGACTGAAACTTGGTAATTAATATGATAATATTTGTATGCACACAATATAACTGGGTACTGATACGATTGTACTATGAAAAAAGCGAAGAAAATACCGTGATTACAACGTTTTGGGAATAACAAGATACATTATAGACGGATTTTCTAACTTAGATTATTTTCATAAGACGTCAGAGCGCTAAAGTTCTTAAACTTGTACCGCTACTGTGCGACTGCCTTACCGCTCGACTGTGGCAAGGAAAAACCACAAAACTATTATGTAGCCACCGTCGGTGCCCTGACCAATAGTTTAAATATTACACTCGTTACGTAAATACTAAATATTAACGTGAACAAGCAACAATGTCAATCAAAACTTTATTCTATTTCATGTTTTTGTTTTTCGGAAACTTTCAAGAAAAAGGCGAATCGGTTTTGAACGACGAAGATAACAAGAATATCATTACATCGGAACGTATGTTCTTACTATTTCTTATTAAAAAAAATTATAATAATGATTAATCAAATCTTGGTGTCAACGATGTTGACAAGAATTTTTTCAGGATAAGTTCAGTGACCTACGGTGTCCGTAGTTAAATTCAAAACCCCAAAAAAATAACACACAAATGATTTTAATATAAATATTTAAAATTTCATCATGTTCAGATTAAAATTATAAACTTCAAATAGCAATAGCGTAATGCCGGCCACTCACATGCGCGCAAACATTTGTACAATGTACGAATATTATAAGAATAAGGGCCGTCATACATTCATTCGCAAACTTAGCAGCTGTGCAAATGGGTTCGCATACTCAATTTGCGAACCCGTTTGCGCTTCCTCCTACACTTGTTTACGAATGTCTCACGAATTTCTCCTCCTTTTTAATTCGTCAATAGAACATTGAAGAGAAAAAGAGTTTTGAATTCTTTCCCAGACATCATTAACAGCCATGCTGTTTTTATGGGATTTCTTTTGATGAAGATACGCTACACAGTAGACGTCACGATCTATGAAAATNTTCGGTTCTAAAATTGAGCAATTGTTTGCTGGCAAAGTTGGGAACTTTCTATGAAGCAAGCCGTTCAGGGTTTCATTAGAAAGCCTGTTTCTTTTGTCAGTTTTTACATTTGAGAACACTGAATAATCTTTCCACCTCAGTCTTTGAAGAAGGAACTGCTAGCAAAAGTGAAATGACAATTACAAGGTTTTCGTAAATGAAATTACCATGATAATCTTTCATGGTACATGAAGTACCTGTATATTACAATACAAGTAAGTTCTGGTGACATCAACGAAAATAGGTAAATAAAAATTTGGCGGATTATACTTATTGGGATTCTGGGGAATCCCTAAGAAAAAGCAGTGGCTTAATCTATGATTTACTTTACTAGAGGGTTACTGTTGAATCAAACCTTTATAGTTTTTATACACAACTCTGTTTTATTCTTTTACTTGTCAACTCGACTTAATGTCATTCTCTCTCCATAAAATAAAATGTTCATTGTTTTACTTTAATTATCGTTTATTTTAAAATTCACAACAGTTACTAGTATAGGCTTTGCTTTTTACCCCGAAATATCCTAAATCCTGGTATTTTTTAAATTGTCTTTATCATCCAAAATATCAGCTATTTTTCCCTAAAAAAGGGAGAATTCCCTAAAAGTGTAAGCACTGCTTCAAAGTACGCTACATTTTTTATTGACTCAGAACTCGTATCTGCCATCTAGTGAGTTTATTAGTTCATTAAGGCCAAAACGTTTCAAAAAAGACCTCGCCGGTTCCTAAAGATGGAGCTAGTTGAATGTTCTTTTCCTTTGTATGGGAGTTGCACCCCCCTGATCCTGGGCGCAACTGGTCACACGAACGAATGTGTGGGAGACTATGCGAAGGATCGCGATTCGCGCGCTTTCATGTCTGTTAAAAAACCGATACAGCTTGGAAAACCACGAATGCAGCGAAAACTTTGCATAATCATTTGCAAATGTCGTCCTACACTTGCGGGTTTGCGTATTCGTACGAATGTGAGTGACCGGTGTAAAAGTTAACCCAGTTTTGTATGCAGTTGGAACAGCGCCCCTAGCGGCAAACGTACGCAAACGATCCCTTTCCATAGAGATATGGGCTAACATTTACGATATCCAGAACGTTAAAAAACTCGCACTAAGCACACAGATATACCTACTGCTATTACGCAGGTCGGTGACGCGAACCTATAAGATTTTACCTCACCAAAAAGTTTTGAGCGCGGCTATGGAGGGTAGAGGTAAGGAGAACCGTCTCCGTTTTTAAAAAGTGTCCGTTAAAATCTGCTAAATAAGGGAGGCGCTACAGTAGCAACCGGGTAAATTTAAAAAAGGCGTTGAAAGTTATTTTAGAATAAGATAGAGAATTAAAAAAGGACGAAAGAGCTGTAAGCACTAAAAAATCACGAAAAGATTGTATTTAAAGCTGATAAGAAAATGCAATCGATGTCTCCACGTTTTACCACAGCAATAATTTTAGGTTATATTGACGAAATTAGTTTGGACTACGTAAACATGTGAGGTCTTGTATATTACACTGTCACTAACTACTCTAGTCATTAATTATATTCCTAACTCAGCATACTTCAATCAGTTAACAACTGCTCAATTCATACCATACCCTGTGCCTATGCTAACGCCATTCTGGAAGATTTTTGAACTGTTATTTAGTGCTGAATGAAAGTGGGACACTTTTTCAAGCTTCCTCCCACATGAGACGGTTCTCCTTACCTCTACTCTTCATAAACGCGGCTAAAGCAGTTTTCACTCCCAAAAAAGGTTATGATTTAAATTCACTCTAAATAAAAATAAATAATAGTTTTAAAAAACTACAATTTTATAGACAATCTAACTAAAAAATAGAAAATAAACTTTAATAAATTTGAATTAAAAATATTATAACAAAAAATGATTTTATTGTAAAAAAAGCGTGGGGTGCATGGTATCAATAGTTATAAATATTTTATGAACAGATACGATATGAACAGATATATATATATATATATATATATTTTTTTTTTTAATTGGTTTTTCTATAAAAGCGTATTTTTTTTTGTTTTTTTAAACTATTATTTATTTTTCATCATTTAGTTGCTTTCAATTTTTTCAATTGTTTTTTTAAATTTTTAAAAAATTTCATCTGAATCAGTCGGTAGCTTATCCGAGAAATAGGCGATCGGCGCGCCTGGCAGTTTCCCTTCTTGGTCTTGACGCAGACACTTCGGGTCTCAGGAAAACAGAAGCTAATTCTGATTATCCTAGTAAGGATAACGGATCAAACTGTTTAAAATATTGTATTGTCATCGGTCCTTATTAAGTATGCCAAATTTCGAGTTAATCCGACGTTTTGAATGGGGTCAAAATCATGTTCAAAGATTCTGTTACATACGTATGAAGCTAATAAATGCATATTAAAAAATACAACTTTAGATTAAAACGAACGAATTCTGTTATTTCTTGTTACAATTATAACGAGGGGTGAAAGGCTAATTCATTTAAGAGACTATCGCTTAATATGCGACATTTAGGATCCTGGTGAAACTGGAAAGGCCTCCGGGCCACCAGTAATGTTTCAATCATAAAAAAAAAAAAAAAAAAAAAATTCAACCTAAACTACCTAAAACCTAAATACCTAAATTTGTCTCTCTTCTCGCGTGACGTCAGAGCGAGCAGTTCGAATAGTTCTGCTACTGACGCTATCACGTAAAACNGGCTTGTTTTATTAACACTATCCCCCCTTCGTTGGCTTTGGCTGGCGGCGGCGGCGGTGGCTGTGGCGGAAGGGGGCGTGTTAATATGGCTTGGCGGCTTGGCTGGCGGCAGGGCATGACAGCTGACGTCACGTCCGTTACAGTAATTAATTATTTTTAATTTTCACTTTTTTCTTTTCAGTAACAAACATAATACGGCTAAAGACGACTACGATTCATAATAAATTGTATTGTGACCACCACGCCGAAACATATTACGTTTTCGCAAAAAAGAAAATAAGAGTTATCGTGAATAGCGATATAGAAATAAACGAGATAACGTGAGTATTGTTCACAAATCCATATAAATCGAAAAACCATTCACCGAAAAACGTAACTGTAAGTAAATTGAACTTCAATAATTCACTTCTCGCTTTTTTTTTTTTCTCCTACCTAAGCTGGTAGCCTTGAGAGGCTATTCCAGCGTAACCGTAACTAGTAGGTGAGCTCACGGGGTTCAAACCTGACGACGACGCTAACACGAACCCTAGCAAGAGTCGTGCTTCGCAGAATCTACCACCGGATCGGAATCGCGACCCACTGAGAAGATCCGGCGAGAAACTCAGTGGGCTGTGTCTGAGAGTTAATTTACTCGTCGAGCCCTTCGTCGCAAGTGACGGGTTCGACGAGAACGGTGACCGGTGCTTGAAGTACCTAGAAGCACCGTTAGTGGATCGGGAGGATCCGAGATGACGTGTTTTGGGCGACGTCGAGTGCTTTCCATTCTGTCCGCAGGATCGGAAATGAGTTCTTCGCTTCGATCTGATAACATCTTATACCGGCTGCACGCACGAAAAAGTGTCACGTTCCGCCTGAACCTGAGTGCAAGTGAGAGCGCGGAGCAAACGATAGAGAGGCACGATCGGCCCAAGCGTTGGCTCGTGACACATTTATCTCTCTTCTCGCGTGATGTCAGAGCTATACTCTATTCCAATAACGAAGTCCCATGAGACAGATGTTATTATTATGTTATTGGGTGTGTGAATTAATTGTATAATGATTTACGATTGATTCTGTATTCTTTTTAATAATGTTTACGACCATGAACAAAAAATTATTATTATTTCAAATCATGCGATACGTGAAGAGCTACGTTCTAAGAACTGTCAAAGGGGACTCCGTAATTGGAATAGAGTATAGCAGTTGGAATAGTTCTACTACTGACGTCATCACGTAAAACTATCGTCCGTGAACCGACTTTACAGACAACCAATACTTTCTTTAAGTTTCTTGGATGAGTTCACGACGCTTCTGCTGTTAAACGGTCACTGCAGCCTATAAATATTAACAACCTAAATGACGCCACCCACCTTGAAACATGAGTTCACCACGCTTGCAGTGCCTGCCCGTGCGTGCTCATTAGACGTCCTATAGCCGGTTCGAAAATGCGAAAAATACTTACAGTCCTCGTTTTTTTGGTCAATTTTCCCCATGAGGGCACTGAAACTGCGATACTATAAGACAAATATTTTTTTGTATGACAACTAACGACATCTTGTAGCTGTAAACTTATAATATGTTGTTAAAGTTAAGGCATTTAATTATTGTATAATTAAAACGAAGAAAATAAAAAAATATGTATAAATCATACAAGTCTTTATTTGTTAAAGACAAATTTACAAAATACTTCATTAAAAATAAAATATAGCATAGGTAATACGTTACTGCCGTCTACAAGAGCAATGAAAAACTAAATCTGGTGGCCGAACTCCTTCGAAAACGCCTCTGGGACTTCGTTACTGCAAACAAAATATTAATAGACGAGCAGTTTGGATTCCGCGCTAAACACTCGTGCATACAACAAGTGTACCGCCTCACGGAGCACATCTTAATAGGGCTAAATATGCGTAAACAAACCCCGACCGGTGCCCTCTTCTTCGATATCGCGAAGGCGTTAGATAAAGTCTGGCACAACGGTTTGATTTACAAACTGTACAACATGGGAGTGCCAGACAGACTCGTGCTCATCATACAAGACTTCTTGTCGAACCGTTCGTTTCGATATCGAGTAGAGGGAACTCGCTCCCGTCAGCTGACTGCCGGAGTCCCGCAAGGCTCCGCGCTCTCCCCGTTATTATTTAGTTTGTATATCAATGATATACCCCGGTCTCCGCAGACCCATCTAGCGCTCTTCCGATTACACGGCTATCTACTACTCGTGTAGGAAGAAGTCGTTGTCGCATCGGCAACTCCAGATCGCAGTAACCACCATGGGTGTTCCGGAAGTGGCGCATTGACATCAACCCCACGAAAAGCACAGCGGTGCTCTTCAAAAGGGGTCGCCTTCCGAATACCACTTCGAGCATTAACAGTATGAAGTTGCCCACTAAATCGCTCATTACAATACGACCGACGTAACTTGGCGAGTCTGAATATAGCCGCAGGTGAACTTTCGTGCATGTACACTCATAAAAAAAGTGTTATTAGCATTCATTTTTTTAATCAAAATACGACTTAAAATTTCCATATACAGAGACCAAGTATCAAAACACTATGAGACAGAAAGCTATAAAAATAACGTAATAAATTAAAGAGAGATAATAAAAGAATAATAAATTAAGACAGAAAGCGGTAGAAATAACGTAATTAAATTAATTCGAAAGTAAGCCCGAACACTGCCTTCAGTTGCGATCCACTGTACTGTGCGTTGCGATACACCAGTTGCGTTAGCAACTCTAAATAAAACTGTCAACATCTTTTACGCCTTCTTCTGTTTCTTTAAAAAAAAATAATCAAATATTATGTTTGTCGGCCGACGATTTAAAACACTATTATGCTTTGGTGGCATCTTTGTTAACGAATAGTATAAATGCCAAGGGACATTTAATACTAAAACAAATTTAAACACAAATAATCTTAAAACTAAACAAAAAACAGTATAATAATCATCGATCGTGTCTACGGTCGATGATAATAATAACAAATCAATGAAAACTTGTAGCCGCCCGTACTCAAGAATTGGTTTTGGCAGTCCTCTCGTGATGTTAACCTGACACTGCCTAAAGAAATCTGAAGGTGTAAGGTCAGGACTATACTGCGGATGCATTAACACCTCCCAGCCAAGCTCTTTTAATTTTTGCTGAGTGGCTAAAGATGTGTGAGGTCTAGCGTTATCATGATGAAAAACCACACCCCTTCTGTTGATTAATTCCGGCCGCTTTCTGTCAACTTCTTGCTTTAATCTCATCAGTTGTTCGCAGCAGAGTTCAGAATCGATGGTCCTGCCTGGTGGTAACAGCGCATAATGAATAATGCCCTTCCCCTTCCAATCTCACCACACACACAGCATCACCTTGTTGCGAGCTAACCCGGGCTTCGCCACAGTCTGTGAAGCCCGACCGGCCTTTGACCACGACCTTTTTCGTACGTTCTTGTCGTACGTGATCCACTTTTCATCACCAGTTATCAGCTTCTTCAAAAATGGTTCGGTTTCATTACGTCGTAATAAAGAATCACCAATGAGTACATGGTTCATTAGGTTTCTTTCAGTGAGCTCGTGAGGTACCCAAATATCGAGCTTTTTTGTGTACCCAGTTTTTTTCCAAATGCGCCAAAACTGTTTTGTGGTCAATTCCCAGTTCTTCAGCTACGTCGTAACTACTGATATGCCCATTTTGCTCCACTTTTTCAAAAATGGCATCCATTTTATCCGTAATAGGGCGACCAGAGCGACGTGCATCTTTGACACCAAAATTTCTAAATGCTTAAACCAAATTTGTGCTACTCTCACAGACCCTGCACTGGGTCCATAAGCATCTCCTTTGAGGCGGCGTGTGTACTGGCTGGGACGCCGCCTTGGGTTTTGGAAGCGGAGCTCTCGCCGCTGACTATCAGTGGCGGACTAACCTTCGTGCCCGGGGCGTGGCGCGTCCCAGCCCCAGTGTGGTCAGAGCGCGGAGGGCCCGATCTCGGCGGTCCGTGCTGGAGTCATGGTCCAGACGGCTGGCTGATCCTTCGGCTGGTCGTAGGACCGTCGAGGCGATTCGCCCGGTCCTTGTGGATTGGGTGAATCGTGACAGAGGACGCCTCACTTTCCAGCTCACGCAGGTGCTTCGATGAATTCCTGCACCGGATCACAGCCGAGCCGACGGCAGAGTGCCACCATTGTGGTTGCGACTTGGACACGGCAGAGCATACGCTCGTCGCCTGCCCCGCATGGGAGGGGTGGCGCCGTGTCCTCGTCGCAAAAATAGGAAACGACTTGTCGTTGCCGAGTGTTGTGGCATCGATGCTCGACGACGACGAGTCGTGGAAGGCGATGCTCGTGTTCTGCGAGTGCATCATCTCGCAGAAGCAGGTGGCGGGGCGCGTGAGAGACGCACAATCCCGCCGTCGTCGAGCGGGGGCCAGGGAGGCAGATCTCACCCAAGCCCTGGCCCTCTAAGTGTTTCGGGTCCCCCTCACATGTCGGTCTGAGGACCGGCGAGGGGGGCCTAAGAAGACGATGTGGAAGCTGCTCTGCACGCGTTTTACGCAAGAGTATCCGGGTGATGAAAGGCTGGCTATTCTCGACCCACGCTGTTTCTGGGCCAGCGGGGTATTCCGTAGGATAGCTCACTCTAACCGGCGCCATCTAAACGGGTTTCGGATAGCCTGCCGACCGAGAGGGCTGGTGGTCGTGGCGCCAACGATCGCCGGTCCAGCGTCCCGAGGGGGAGGGTGATGGGAGAGATGTGCTCCGCAATAAACGCTTCCCTTTACCCCTTTGCCTCTTCATGAGTTCTGTCTCATGAGAGGTTTGTACTTTGGTTGTTGAGCGACAGGAGGTTTTACTCAGTTCCACTCTGATATGCCCCTCCCTCCATCCCCAGTGGAGGGCGGAAGTGATATCCTCCTGACCAAAAAAAAAAAAGGTCCATAAGCATCGCAAATTTTTTTCGCGACTTGCGTTGCATTTTTACCTTTTTTGTAGTAAAATTTTAATATGTATCGAATTTCTTCATTTGATTCATTCATCTTGACAGTACGAAAAATAAATAAAAAACACACATTTTCCTAATTTGAATTTGGAATTATCTTTTTTAAAATTTAAACTTTTAATGGTACCAAAACTAGCCGGTAAAAATAGTAAAGCCAAAGAGATTTTATTACAAGTTCATACATACTATATTGCGAAAAGACTTTTTCCCCAACCTGTTATGTTGTTACTGTTTAATATTTTTATTACCTGCCCTGCAGTGCACAAAAAAGAGCTTAAGTAGCTTAGCATTTTTTTAAAGTATTTGTTTATTTCATATTTTTATTTGATAAAACCTAATCAGCTTACATAGCAGTGGGGCCCCATTTTTTTATTTGCCCCAGGGCCCTTGGTTACCTAGCTACGCCACTGCTGCTACTAACATTAATATAGATTAATATATTATCTGAAATAAATGAATTTAATAATAATAATAATAATAATAATAATGCCGCCGACCGGGTGAATCCCTCAGACATGTCACCCCTGGTTGTTCTATGCTTGCTAACACTGAGTACTTGCACAGACATAACCAAGCAGCCAGAATCCTCCACCAAGAGCTCGCCCTTAAGTATGGCCTCATCGAACAGAGGCTACCGTATTATAAGTACCAGCCGGACGCTGTACTCGAAAACGACCGTGCCAAGCTCTACTGAGACCGGCCCATCATTACGGACAGGACTATTCTTGCGAATAAGTCGGATATCGTGCTGATGGACCAGACGGAGTCTCGGGTATTTCTGGTGGATATCACCATCCCCTACGACGAGAACCTCGTGCGGGCCGAGGCAGATAAAAAGACCAAATATTTGGACCTGGCGCACGAGGTGACCGACATGTGGAGTCCCTCAACAAAAAGTCGGTGGTGGCCCAAATGCAAAAAGCAGTCTTGCTCGACAATGCCCGTATAGTTCGCCGGTTTCTCTCCCAATAGTCCCTAACGCTCCGGCCGATTGTTGCCCACCTCGCCGGAGTCTGTCCTACCGTCTTCCCAGGCGTGGCAGTGTTTAATACACTATAATCATGATAAATAATCTTTTTTCCAGCTGCTATATCACTAATTTAACATCACATGTGTTCTCACACGGAAACGTCCTTAAGAACGGCAACGAAGAATACGAGGTCGAAGCGAACGTAAGTACATGTTATGACTAAATTATTAACAACTAGCGACCCGCCCTCGCTTCGCTTCGGAAACATAAAATTTTATTATTGATAGGCGAAGCGCGCCATGTTGCGCACGGTACGACAATAACTGCGGGTGACGCCGCGGGGCGAAGCTAGTCTAAAAAAAGTAGCCTAAGTTACTCCTTATATCATCAGCTACCTATTAGTGAAAGTCTCATCAAAATTGGTCAAGCCGTTCCAGAGATTAGCCGGAACAAACAGACAGACAGACAAAAATTGTAAAAAAAAATATATTGGTGTATGTACCTTATAATAATATAATATATTCATATGCATGTAGTAAAAGCGGTTATTTCAATACTACAAACAGACACTCTAATTTTATTTATATGTATCTAATAGATGAACAATAACGTTGCTTTAGTCTAAACATATAAATAAAATTGGAGGATTAAAAAAAAGGTGTAACTTAGACTAGCTTCGCCTCGCGGCGTCACCCGCGGTATGACATGTAACATCGCGGGACTCGGCTATCAATAACAAACTTTAATGTTTCCGAAGCGAAGCGAGGGCGGGTCGCTAATAATAAATAAATCTTTCATTTTATTTACAGATATCCACGCCGCTATTCGGGTGGAAATGGACTTGCATGTTGTATATGAACTCCCACTACAAACCTGTCTTTTGCAAATTCACTGTCAATGAAATAGCAGAAGGTAAATTAGTTTAATAATTAGCAAAATAATATTTTTAATTTTCGCGACCCTCTGCATTATAATATGCAATATTAACTTAACCGAACTTAGCGACGGATGCGACGGGGCAACGCAAAGCCACCATCGCCCGAAACATGTCTTGTCGGATCCCCCGGATTCACTCTCGGTGCTTGTAGAACCCTCAAGCACCGGCCACCGTCCTCGTCAATTACGGCGAAGAGCGAACTAAACCATAGACACAGCCCATTGAGTTTCTCGCCGGATCTTCTCGATAGGTCGCGATTCTGTGAGCTCTACCCTTGCTAGGACTAGTGTTAGCAAATTCTCTCAGATTGAGCCCGTTAGCTCATGTACCCGTCCAGGCTTAGCTGGAATAGCCCCCTACTTTTATTTATTTATTTATCCTAACTAAGCTGATGGTCTTTAGAGACAATTTCAACGTAGCCTTAACATAGGCTCAAACCTGACGACGTTGCTAACATTAACCCTAGCAAGAGCGGCGCTTCGCAGAATCTACCACCGGCTCGGAAACGCGACCCACTGAGTAGATCCGGCGAGAAACTCAGTGGGCTGTGTCTGTGAGTTAATTTACTCCCCGAGCCCTTCACAAGCGATGGGTTCGACGAGAACGATGTCCGGAGCCCCCTAGGCTAGTGCCCAACAGATAGGGAAAAAAACACTATTATTCGACGGATTCCCACCACGATTTTTAGCATAAACGAGTTCACGACGTTTAGGCGTGTTGCGAGCGCCGTGGTCGCGCGATTAAGTGTATAATCTATGGTCGCGCGTAGACTGAAGCCAGTGTGACTTTTTGGCGGGAACGCGAGCAGTGAAGTTGTGTGATTTGTTTTATTTTGTCTATTTAGTGTTTCTTCAGGTTTAAATGTGTAATAACGGTGGTTTATTAACTGTTTAGTATCTGTGAAAGTGTACAAATGTGGGAAAATGAAACAAAGCCGCTGATGGGCGGAAGAGCTCACAGCCCACCTGGTGTTAAATGGTTACTGGAGCCCATAGACATCTACAACGTTAATGTGCCAACCCACCTTGAGATATAAGTTCTAAGATCTCAGTATAGTTACAACGGCTGTCCCACCCTTCAAACCGAAACGCATTACTGCTTCACGGCAGAAATAGGCAGGGTGGTGGTACCTACCCGCGCGGACTCACAAGAGGTCATACTACCAGTAATAGTGGTATCTTATCTATACATATAAATAAAATTAGAGTGTCTGTTTGTAATATTGAAATAACCGCTTCTTAGTATATGCGTATGAATATACCTATATATACGGTACATCATCATCATCATTATCCTGCCCTTCTCCCAGTCACCTGGGGTCGGCGCAACATGTTTTCTCCTTCCATACTCTTCTATCATATACCATTTCTTCGCTCACTCCCCTCCTACCCATATCGTCTTTCACACAATCCATCCATTTCTTCTTAGGTCTACCTCTTCCTCTAAATCCTTCCACATTCATAGTTAACACTCNCTTCTCCCAGTCACCTGGGGTCGGCGCAACATGTTTTCTCCTTCCATACTCTTCTATCATATACCATTTCTTCGCTCACTCCCCTCCTACCCATATCGTCTTTCACACAATCCATCCATTTCTTCTTAGGTCTACCTCTTCCTCTAAATCCTTCCACATTCATAGTTAACACTCTCTTAACAACCTCATTTTCATTCCGTCTCATTACATGTCCATACCATCCCAAACGTGCACTCCTCAACTTCTCTGTCACAGGTGCCACTTTCAGACTTCCTCTAACATATTTTATCCTCTAACCTATATATACGGTACGTACACCAAAATAACATTTTTTACAATTTTTATCTGTCTGTCTTTCTGTCTGTCTGTCTGTCTGTCTGTCTGTCTGTCTGTCTGTATCAATAATAAAATTTAATGTTTCCGAAGCGAAGCGAGGACGGGTCGCTAGTCACCAATAAAATTTCTCGGGATCCTCCAAAAAGTCCGCTGAAAAAAATTCAGTAATTTACCACCATTTTACTGAGATTGTATTTCGTCCCATATCATCTCATCTCATTTAATTTCATCCAAGTTGATTAATGTCTCAAATTAATCATCTTCATTTCATTTCATTTCACTCCATATTATAATTTTTTATAAAATATAAATTAGAATAAGACATTACTTGAAGGTCTTAGTTACCAGGTCATAAAATAGATGAAAAAAAAAACGACCCCAGTGCTGCCAAACGACCGTGTGAATGTCCCCCAACATTTTTCAAAAACCCCCCGAAAATAAGCTTTTCGAAAAAAAAAACCCCCAAAAAAGTTTTTACTTATTTTAAAGAAGAAACAAAAAACCAAAAGGATTCTTTTATTTTTTAATCAAGCTATTAATCAAGCTCTCCCATTACTTTAACCATCTCTAAACAATTATTACAATCATATTCACTTTCGTTATTATTATTTAAGGCATACACGTTTTCGGAGTTAAAAATCTTTAACATCTCCGATGTGGGAACAAAATTTATGCATCCATTTGGCAGCGAATATCAGCGACAGTTTCTATTGCCATTCGGTTGTGTAATTTGTCCTTTATAATATTGACTTGTGAATAGTAGACTATAATTTTTTTTTTATTGCTCACATGGATGGACGAGCTCACAGCCCACCTGATGTTAAGTGGTTACTGGAGCCCATAGACATCTACAACGTAAATGCGCCACCCACCTCGAGATATAAGTTCTAAGGTCTCACTATAGTTACAACGGCCACCCCACCCTTCGAACCGAAACGCATTACTGCTTCACGGCGGAAATAGGCGGGGTGGTGGTACCTACCCGTGCGGACTCCGAAGAGGTCCTACCACCAGTGATGAATAGAATAATTATTCTAATAGTAATGGGAATTGTGTTTGTGGATGAATTATTGGTACTCAAAGAACCTCCGAAACCAACCCACCCAACTAACTTTCACCCAACTAACTTTTTACCCCCGAATCTCTCCACCAAGGTCGAAAAACCCCCCAAATTTGCAGGGAATCCCCCCCCACCTGGCAACTGTGACTGAAACCTGCGGGACGTCAGGGCAAACCTACCCTCTGTCTAATGCGATAGTTGTTACCATTGGAACTCGATAGCTCGACCCGACAATACACACGCGTTATATCGACAATTTTTTCCGAACACTTTAAAGACTTTAAAAACAAAGACTTCGAACGAATGTGTTGTGTAGATAATATGCTTGCACATTGCAATATGACGTGTACGTATGTGTGATGTCGGGCGATGCTCCTGCTAGGGCAGTGGTTCGCCTACCGCCAGCTAAGCAAGGTGTGCAATAAATGCCTAATATATCATCAGTATTTTATTGAAGAACCCCATGTTACTAAACTGGTGACCCCGACGTGATAGGTTTATGATCAGGCCGACGTAGTAGGTATATTTTCATTAATGCAGTTGATGTCCATGGACTTCGGTGGCAATTAAACACAATAGGTGGGCCGTGAGCTCCCGTTGCAGTCAAAGAACTAATTAGAGCTTTCCGTACAAATTTCAGAATATTTCAGACTCGAAGTTGATGGAGTTAGGCTTAAAATTAACGTAGACATTCCGACATCGGTGGAATATTATTTAAATGCTACCTACAAATACGTACGCGAGAAAACCGTGAAAATACTTTGCGAGCCGGCAAGTGCGCTTCTAACAACGGGATACAGGATATCTGGTAAGTTATTGGAGTTAATAAGATAAAAAAAGGGTGCGTGTACTTTTTTTTTTTTTTTTTATTGCTTAGATGGGTGGACGAGCTCACAGCCCACCTAGTGTTAAGTGGTTACTGGAGCCCATAGACATCTAGAACGTAAATGCGCCACCCATCTTGAAACTTGTATGTACTTATGTACGCGCGTAAGAAGCTATACTTTATTTTTATTGAATTTATTTCTTTTTTTTAATGTTAAATAATTTATAATAAATATTTAACGTTAATAATTTAATAATATTTAGTATGAATTATATTAAATAATAATTTTGCACATTTTATATTACTAAAAAATGAATGCTAATAACACTTTTTTTACGAGTGTACATGCGCGAAAGTTCACCTGTGGCTATATTCAGACTCGCCAAGTTACGTCGGTTGTATTGTAATGAGCGATTTAGTGGGCAACTTCATATCTGTTAATTTTGTGTCACGGTGCGCGCGCATCGTAAAATTTCACTCCCATCAATTTTTCATAACGCGCCTAAAGAAGTTTATCTTCAATACAAACGTGTGCGTCTAAAAATGCAGACAGACGCAAAACACAAGTGATAACTTAAACTAATCTAAGTTGAACTATATAATATTGAAATTGTTTAACTTGAAGAAAGCTTAAGTTATTACTTAAATTTTATGTATAATTAATATGATAAAGTAACGAAAATTTGTAACATAAATTGAAAAAGATATATATGAAGAGTTAGGACTTTAATACGTTTTCAGTATGGCTGTCGTATGCGTGACAGAAAGGGACGCCAGACATACTGGCGCCGTAACGCGTTACGTAACGAAGCGGTTTACCTTCCCTTAAGAAGTTATATCTAATATATAAAATTCTCGTGTCACAGTTTTCGTTGCCATACTCCTCCGAAACGGCTTGACCGATTTTGATGAAATTTTTTGTGCTTATCCGGTGTCTATGAGAATCGGCCAACATCTATTTTTCATCCCCCTAAATGTTAGGGGTAGTCCACCCCTAAATTTTTTTTTTTAATTTTTAGACAAATTTATTAATTTCNTAAAAAAATAGAAATTAATAAATTTGTCTAAAAATTAAAAAAAAAAATTTAGGGGTGGACTACCCCTAACATTTAGGGGGATGAAAAATAGATGTTGGCCGATTCTCATAGACACCGGATAAGCACAAAAAATTTCATCAAAATCGGTCAAGCCGTTTCGGAGGAGTATGGCAACGAAAACTGTGACACGAGAATTTTATATATTAGATTGCTCTGTGTGCTCTGAGGAATTGTTTGAAATGATCCCCTCATCTCCTTTTTATCATCGCACCTCCCGCCATCGGAGCAGAGTTCATCCATATCACCTGGAACCGCTGCGTTCATCGACAGTGCGTTTCCAGAGGTCTTTTTTGCCACGTACCATCCGGCTATGGAATGAGCTCCCCTCCACGGTGTTTCCTGACCGCTATGACATGTCCTACTTTAAAAGAGGCCTGTGGAGAGTATTAAGCGGTAGGCAGCGGCTTGGCTCTGCCCCTGGCATTGCTGAAGTCCTTCGGCGACGGTAACCACTCACCATCAGGTGGGCCGTATGCTCGTCTGCCTACAAGGGCAATAAAAAAATCACGTTTCTTTCTCGAAAATTATGAATCGAATATCCCGATCACATTACCTTTGTTTCCGTTTTATAGTTAAAAACTCGCCCATCAGCTCGACCTGTGTGCCGACGGTTTTGGATGTAACCTGCACTCTCGACCTGCAACGTCGTCACAGCGGCCAGTACATAGACTTCATCTTTACACAGCTCTCCACCGGCGAGCAACTAGTTCTGAGGCTCATCTTAATACACGAAAAACGTAAGTTGGTGATTTATTAATGAAATGACTTCTGATAATAGAAAGCAATTTATTTATTTATTTCATTAACTTCAGATTTTGCATGCAACATTTCATATAGTTTAACAGAATTAAATAAAAACAACTACAATCTCGTAATAAAACAAAAGCAATAATATTAATAATAATAAAACAAAAAATCAAATAATAATAACTAGTGATCCCCCGATAGTCGAAATTCGACTATAATTAATTGAAATTATAAGTTTGTACACTATTATGATTCTATTATCAAAGACTATTTAAGATACTTTATAATCACAGATTTCGCCAAAACAAATATTTGTCTAAACAATATTTTAATCTATTTTTTTAAGGGATTTTATGACCTGGTAACTAAAACCTTTAAGTCATGTCTTATTTTAATTTATATTCCTATTTTTATGAAAAACGATAAAATTGAGTGAAATGAAATGAAATGAAATGAAGATGATTAATTTAAGACATTAATCAACTGGGATGAACTCAAATGAAATGAGATGAGATGATATGGGATGAAATATAATCTCAGTGAAATGGTGGTCATTTACTGAGATTTTTTCCAGTGGACTTTTTGGTGGATCCCGAGAAGTTACGTCCAGCGGCTGTGTTTCATTTTCCCCACATTTGTGAGCTTTTACAGATATTAAGCAGTTGATAAGTCACTGTTATTACATGTTTAAGCCTGAGGAAAAATTAAATTAACAAAATAATACAATATATAAAAATAAAACAACTCACACAATTACGCTCCTCACGTTCCCGCCAAAAAATCTGTCAACGAGAATATGGTAAATGTCAAAATCCTCGTGGGGTCGTCATGGTTCCCCTAGGGGCACAGACCAGGCTTCGGGAAAATCCCTTGTACCCGGGCCTGAACTCACTGCCTAACAGTGGTGATCTTGTATACAGAATTTTTTTTTATTCCTTACATGGCTGGACGAACTCACGGCCCACCTGAAGTGGTTACCGGAGCCCATAGACATCTACAACGTAAATGCCGCCACCCATCTTGACATATGAGTTCTAAGGTCTCAGTATAGTTACAACGGCTGCCCTACCCTTCAAACCGAAACGCATTATTGCTTCACGGCAGAAATAGACAGGGCGGTGGTACTTACCCGTGCGACTCATAAGAGGTCCTACCACCGGTAAACATACTTGTATATTATATTGATAGATGCAGTGATGGGTGTAGAGAGAGAGAGAAAGATGAGTGGTGATAATGGAAGTGATGATGAAATGGCATGACGTCCGTTTGATTATCAAAGGGAACCGATCTTCCCTCGCAAACTCCAGCTTCTTCTCACTCTCTTTTTTTCACTAGTATTCCTGTTGTTACCATCAAAATGTGAAATGCTTAACTTAATAAACAACATTCTACTGAGACATATAAATCAACTATACCTCATTTCGCTCCACAACATTTTTCATTTAACACAGATTATAAATTCGTAATTGGCAACAATGCCGTCGCAAGAAGGAAATTGCCATATTTGAAAAAAAGAGCTGTTTTTGTTTTATTCAAGAACTATGGAGAGTAGAGGTAAGGAAAACTGTCTCATATGAGAAAAGCTTCAATAAGTGTACCACTTTCAGCACTAAAATTAAATAACAGTTCAAAAATCCTCCAGAATGGCGCTAGCATAGGCACAGAGTATGATATGAATTGAGCAGTTTTTAACTGATTGAAGTATGCTGAGTTAGGAAATTTAATATATTTAATGACTAGAGTAGTTGGTGACAGTGTGATACATGTTTACGTAGTCCAAACTAATTTCGTCAATATAACCTAAAGTTATTGCTGCGGTTAAACGTGGAGACATCGTGCATTTTCTTATCAGCTTTAAATAAAATACTATTTGTGATTTTGTAGTGCTTACAGTTCTTTCTTCCTTTTTTATTTCTCTATCTTATTCTAATAACTTTCAGCGCCTTTTTTAAAAATGTACCCGGTTGCTACTGTAGCGCCACCCTTATTTAGCAAATTTTAACGGACCCTTTTTCACTCACAGAGACGGTTCTCCTTACCTCTACCCTCCATATCAAGAACACAGACCATTGATCCACTAGATTCTGTGCTACTAAAATTCTTCTCTACCCACATTATTGATTTGAAACTCTCATTAGACGTCGTCGCGTCGATCGGGGCCATCGAGATAGACCGTTTTTTATGTACTAAATTTAAAATCGAATCATTCTTTCCAGAACATTCCGGATTCCCGTGGGCCATAGTTGAGATAGTCGGTGTCACCTTCGGAGCTATAGTGCTGATACTCATCACCGCAATCGTCGCATACAAGATAATGAAAAAACAAATACTCAACAAGGTAGTTCAAGTCGTCGTCGCCTAAATGATAAGACGTCCGGTGCATTCGTAGGTAGCGACGCAACGGTTTCCGAATCCCGCAGGCGGGTACCAAATTTTCTAATGAAAAGCGTGTATCAACAATAATCAAAACTATTCGTTATTTGCACCTGTACCATATTTTAGTTTTACCCTACGCTTCGTTTCTTCGTTTGACCGCGCGTAGTTTTGGAAGTGAAGCTTCTTTAGAATCGTTGGGTGTGATTTCAAACTCGATGAAACGAAAAAATGAAACGTCAAGTTAAAATATCAATTCACAGAGGGCGCTACCTCATACTATAAAAGATAATTTACAATTATTCCTATTTAGTTTGTTATCAACAGATGTCGCTGCACGTAAATTCAACAACTCCTGAATCGCGATAACGAGATGTTACACAGTTGATAGATGTTCTCGTATTTCTCTAATTAAATCATGCTTACCTGGCGTAAAGACACCGTGATTATGCAAGCGATTCCCCCAGGGTGAGGCCGCTCTATTGCACTGCGGAGTGGTTGGTGGTAGCGATGTGGACTATTGTGAGCCGATTACAATTTCTGGCTCCGGTCTATTACCGATCTGTTTCTCAAAAAACCGGTTTTTTAGGTATTTTTAGGTTTTTGTCATAAAAGCTAAATAATCAATAAATAAAAATAAAAAATGTGCAAACGAAGAGTTTTCTTCATACAATTAATAGGGTGAGCATATTTTATATAGGTAGTCTTAATGATCATATTTATATTATCCAATAATAAAAAGCTTTTTATATTTGATTTAATACCATTGTATTTTTTCGAAGTAGGATTTTCTCATATTTTACATGGTAATTGTACTGTAGTTTTAAATGTAATGCACGGCAATTTGAGTCTGAAACACGCTATTTTTTTATCTAGCAGCACGGTACTACTTTGTATATTTGGTCTGGTAGCACTGGTGTGAACTGTGAATGTAACGCGTATGTACTTAAAAACCCGATATTCTTAAATAAAAACCGGTGTTTATCGGTATCGGTAAAAACCGGTTTTTCTCCGGTTTTCTTCGAACCGGTTCGCATCCCTAGTTGGTGGTTGACCCTTGCGATTATTCTTATTTTTTATAAGTTTCACTTCTACCGTGTGACTTGCACACAACAACACATTTTTTTTTTTAAGGCGTCTGCAGATGACCTGGATTACGGATTGAAGAAGGAATTCTGAAAAATAAGTCTCAACAGCTGGTATCCGGAATTAATACGCGCGTTCGATTCGCAGAAACGTTGCCCGGACCTCACGTACGAACCGCTTCCTGATCACGGGACATCGAACGCCACCCCGTTCCCAAGGGAAGTCGAAGAATACATGCAGGCGAGAGACTATGTCGAAATTCCCTCGTCTGCAACGCCGGCGGATACGCCGCTGTACTCAACCGTCGTGCCGAAGCGTGACAGACAAAACAATGGTAAGAAATAAAACGTTGCCTATTACCAGGGACCTCTGGTTTTTTTTCCTGTCTATGCCGATAGCCTTGAGAGGCTATCATGTAGGTGACTTCGCGGGGCTCAAACCGGAGTGTTTGCTAACACTGGCCCTAACAAGAGCAGTACTTCGCAGAATCTACCACAGGTACGGAAACGCGATCCACTGAGAAGATCCGGCGAGAAACTCAGTGGGCTGTGTCTGTGGGTTAATTTACTCACCGAGCCCTTCGTCGCAAGTGACGGGTTCGACGAGGACGGTGATCGGTGCTCGAGGTACCTAAAAGCACCGTGTTCAGGGCGACGTCGACTATTTACCATTCGGTCTACAGGATCGGGTGTGTAATTCCCAGCGGCCACGACAAGAGGGTTCTCATGTCGTGCCGCCTTTTCAAGGTGGCGCAATGATGCCGACTGTAGATACTTACTGACCCAGTCAAGCACCAGGTCATCATGGAAATCCACGTTCCTTAGGAACCATAAGGGCCTCTGAATAATTCGCTTTTGAACAGGACGCACAAATACAGTATAGAAGATTTTTATTTGCGCGGTGCGTGTTCCGTAAATATGCGGCGGATACATTGTGCTTAGTGTGAGTTTTTTAACGTTTTCGCTAGCATAAAAGTTAACTCAAATTTATATGGAGTTTGAACAACGCCCCTAGCAGCAAACGTAGGCAAGATAATACACTCAGATTGTCCTCCTTACTTCTACCCTCCATAGACTATATGCAATCTTATCTTGAAAATATTGTTAGCGAAATTCAGGCATCCGTCAAATATCTATGATAGCTGCCACCCTTTTCTTCAATTCATAAGCACACCGATTCTATTGTTTTATTAAATGTCAATAAATTGACAGAAAAAAAACAGTGTTCAATTTATGAGTGATAAGTATTAATTAAACTATGGGTGTTAATAAAAAAAAATTTTCATCTCGGGACGCCCGACAGAAGTGATAATTGAAACTAATCTAAGTTGAACTATTCTATATTGAAGTTGTTTAACTTGAGAAAAACTTAGGTTATTACTTAAATGTTGTCTATTAATATGATAATGTAAGGAGAATTGTAACGTAAATTGAAAATATACATATATATAAATAAATAGTTAGGAGTTACATACATACGTTCTCAGTACCGCTGCCGTGTGCGTGAGAGAAAGAGAAGTCGGACAGATAGCAGGACCGGATTTAGAGGTCTGAAGGCCTCAGGGCAACAGAGGAGCGAAAGCTCCCTAGCCCCAAATTGTTTTCCAAATAAAATGAACAAATTTTTTCAGTCGAGTTTTACAGTACCTGTATCATTTATTGTGAAACCACGTAGGTTCTCTTAGTATTTAACAATCATACATAAATATAATCGGAGACTAGAATTATCTGAAATAAGTAAAACAGAAAAAAAAGAATATCGAAGAAGGAAAAGATGTTTACTAGTGTTCACTTGTCGGAATTTGAAAGATTTGTTTTCGAAAAACCTTGGCCCCGCTTGCTCTCCCCTAAATCCGGCCCTGCAGACTGGCGCAGTAACGCGTTACGTAACGGCACGGCTTACCCTCCCTTGACGAGTTATCACTTTAAACATTTTGAGGGTAGTCTGCTGTTGAAATGTCGAGGAATTACACTAGGGTCTGGTTTACTGGTGGTAGGACTCCTTGTGAGTCCGCACGGGTAGGTACCACCACCCTGCCTATTTCTACCGCGAAGCAGTAATGCGTTTCGATTTGAAGGGTAGGGCAGCCGTTGTAACTACCTAGTCAGGTCATAAATTCTGTCACATGTTTAATGTAAAATAATTGAAACAAGTTTATTCATTATGTAACCATCCATATACCAAAATGAACTTAACAAAACATAGATTCTTATGACACTAAAGTTTATTCAAAACGATCTCCGTGATTTTGAATACAGGCCTTCAATCTGCGCGGCCAGTCGTCTATCGCAGCACGAACGAGGTCCATGTCAATATCGGCGGCTGCCTTAATCAAGGATGTCTTGAGTGACTCCAAATTGGGATGAGGCTTTGAGCACGCCTTTTCCTCCAAGTGTTGCCATATCTTGTAATCTAACGGATTCAAATCTGGACTGGAGGAGGGCCAGTCTTCGTGCCGGATGAAGTCGATTTCACGCGCCGCCAGCCAGTCTTGTGTGCTCTTCGCTCTATGAGCTGGCGCCGNGGTGGTAAAATCGAAACAACTACTGAAGCGGTACGCAAAGGAAGGTCATAGAAAAATTTTGTTTACGGATGAGAAAATTTTTACAAATGTGCAACATTTTAACAAACAAAATGGCCGTATTCATGCCCAAAGCTCTAAGGAAGCTTGCCAATTAGTCAACATAGTGCAACGTGGGCACTATCCGACTTCAGTGATGGTTTGGTGGGGTATTAGCTATGAAGGAGTGACTGAGCCATACTTTTGTGAAAAAGGTATCAAAACATCGGCACAAGTGTATCAAGATACCATTCTTGAGAAGGTAGTGAAGCCCCTTAACAACACCATGTTCAATAATCAAGAATGGTCCTTCCAGCAAGACTCGGCGCCAGCTCATAAAGCTCGGTCTACGCAGTCTTGCTTGGAAACGAACGTTTCGGACTTCATCAGAGCTGAAGACTGTCCGTCGTCTAGTCCCGATCTTAACCCGCTGGATTATGATTTGTGGTCAGTTTTAGAGAGTACGGCTTGCTCTAAACGCCATGATAATTTGAAGTCCCTAAAACAATCCGTACGATTGGCAGTGAAAATTTTTCCCATGGAAAGAGTGCCTGCTTCTATTGATAATTGATAACTGGCCTCAACGTTTAAAGGACTGTATTGCAGCCAATGGAGACCAGTTCGAATAAGCTTTTTATACTTTAAATTGTTTTATATTTATGTATTAAATTAACACAGTGTAAAAGTAATATATGTTATTTGCAATAGATTTTTTTTTCCTTTGTCGCAGTATTTATGGCAAGACTAGGTATACTGAGACATTAGAACTTATATCTCAAGATGGGTGGCGTATTAGCGTTGTAGATGTCTATAGGCTCCAATAATCACTTAACACCAGGTGGGCTGCGAGCTCGTCCATCCATCTAAGCAATAAAAAATAAAAAAGTCGTTCGTAAGTGTGTTTGAAATCGCTTCTTCACTGGCCGTACTTACTCTATGTTTGTATACATCTTTGTTACAGATAATAAACCGCAAGAGTCCGTTCCTAATTCGAGCAACGTGTACACTAATGATGCAAGCAGTTGCCAATACGATTACCCGACTATAGGCAGCGTAGGGCTGACGAAAATTCAGAACAGAGAGTATACGAACGACCTCAAAGACAAGGACAATACGTACAAACGTCTAAAGGAAGATACAGATTACGTAGAGCCCTGTTACACGGAAATAAGTAATTCGTATGTGAATACGTAGGGTTGAGTGATTGGGTTTTTTGGCGGGAACGCGAGGAGTGAAGTTGTGTAATTTGTTTTATTAAATTTTGTCTATTTAGTGTTTCTTCTGGTTTAAATGTGTAATAACGGTGGTTTATTAACTGTTTAGTATCTGTGAAAGTGCACAAATGTGGGAAAATGAAACAAAGCCGCTGGACGTAACTTCTCAGGATCCTCCAAAAAGTCCACTGAAAAAGTCTCAGTAAATGATCACCATTTTACTGAGATTATATTTCATACTATATCATCTCATTTCATTTCATTTAATTTCATCTCAGTTGATTAATTTGGGTTTCCTTCGTTTTTTATTAACCAAAACTGTAAATGCCTAATTAAAACGGCGAATTATAAAAATGTTATTACTTGACGCTGGCTAATACACAAACCGTGCCGGAGACAAAATATAAAGAAGGGGAAGTTTTATTTTCGTTTTTTTTTTTTTTGCTTATTATGTATGCTTATGACGGTTATATCTAAGTGTATAATCTATGATCTAGTCTATTTTCTATGATCACGAAAACTGTAGATTACATTTTTTTATTGCCCATAAAGGCAGACGAGAATACACCCCACCTGATGGTAGGTGGTTAACGTCGCCCATGGACGTCAGCAATGACAGAGGCAGAGCTGCGGCTTAGCGTTAATTAAACTCCACAAGCCTCGTTTGAAGAAGGACATGTCATAGCGCTCGGGAAACACCGTGGAGGGGAGCTCATTACAAAGCCGGATGGTACGTGGCAAAAATGATCTCTGGAAATGCACTGTCGATGAACGCAACGGTTCTATGTAGTATGGATGACCTCTACTTGAAAATAATAAAAATTCGATACGAAACCCAAAAACTCGTTTTAATTATCTATTGATTTGTCGATTGTTTTACGTATGTAAAGAAAAACCTTTATTAAAACTCTTTCGTTTTTAAAAAGGATTTTTCTTCGGAGTGTCATTCAGTAAAAAAGAGATTCAATTTTGTATGGTTTATTAATACTGTTTACTGTTTAATTTTTAATATTAATTTTAACAGATTGAGGAATTTAAATGTTTTCTTATTTATATCACAGAGTCCGCACGGGTAGGTACCACCACCAGTAATGCGTTTCGGTTTGAAGGGTGGGGCCAATACTGTCTTCACCATAAGGGCACACGGGGCCCGTACCCAGGGCCCCCGAAGGACCGACAACTTCTCTCACACATTTATTCTCAAAACATTTTTGTCGGGCACATAACACTTTTTTCACAAATCAGTAATCTTATCAGAAGGTATTTAAAAGGAATATACTACGCCATTATATCTATGACTGCGCCTATTCCTACTGTACTAATATGGAGGGTAGAGGTAAGAAGGACCGTCTCTGTGTGTAAAAAGTGTCCGTTAACATCTGCTAAATAAGAGTGGCGCTACAGTAGCAACCGGGTAAATTTAAAAAAAGGCGCTGAAAAAGCTATTTTATTTAAAGCTGATAAGAAAATGCAATCCATGTCTCCACGTTTTACCACAGCAATAATTTTAGGTTATATTGACGAAATTAATTTGGAAACCGCTATCGTAATCGTAACCAAAAAACCAGCAGCATTCTAATATCATTAATGACATATATCATACTGTATTTGATTACCTTTGTTAAATGGTCATACTCAGTAATTTTTTTTTATTATAATTCGCTTTTTTACTTTCCAAAAAGGCCTCAAATCCTTGTGTGCCCAAGGGCCCCATCCTAGTTTAAGACGTCCCTGGGTGGGGCAGCCGTTGTAACTATACTGAGACCTTAGAACTTATATCTCAAGGTAGGTGGCGTATTTACATTGTAGATGTCTATAGGCTCCAGTAACCACTTAGCACCAGATGGGCTGTGAGCTCGTCCACCCATCTAAGCAATAAAAAATAAAAAACCAAAAAACTGCTTTACACAAAAAAAAAAACATCAAAATCATATCGATAAACATTAAACAAACTAATATAACTGTTTCAACAAAAAACGAAAAAGATTTCCAACAAATAAAAACAACACGTGAACGGGTATATTTTTTCTTTAATAAAACATACATTTAGATTTTAATAAAAAATACATCTAGGTACATTCGTAACATTTTTATTATTCTTCAACAATAATAAAACAAACCAACGATTTCGTTAAGTAACGCTAATTATAAACCTAAACTCAACGAGATACAGTACATTTTTCTAAAAATCAGAAGCAACTAACTCGGGTTTACCGGGGTAAATTTTTCTTTCTTTATATTTTTGTCTTTTCTGCGACATATCAGTTTCTAGACTAGAATTTTAACATCATTAAATATGTATATAAAAAAAGACTCTTATGTGTTTTATCGCATGAATATCTGTTATACCGTATTAAGGGATCAATACAGTATGCCTTTAAAAAAGTTAAAATGGATTAATACCAACTAACAAGACTATTACGCTGGCTAGAAAATGAGCATCACCTATGTGTGCCGTTAAAAATATATCACAAACGGCCCGCACACCGTGAGCAACAGTGAGCACTCGTGAGCACAACTGAATACATGCGCCCTTTATCGTAATCACAAATACGCTATATCTCCCATAATTCATTCCGCACTTTACTATTAAACTTATTGCACAATGAACACCTTATGACCTTAACAAGTAAATAAAAACTCAATTTCATTCATAGTTTACATGTCGAGTTTGCTTTTTCCAGTTATTTTCTTCTCTAAGACGACTCGACTGTAATTACAAAAATTACAAAAACACATTATACATCTAACTCTCCTATAACACGGTAGATAATATGTTCCTACAAAGTCCAGTGTTGTGCAAAATCATTTTGTATGACTAGAAGTCAGTACAAAAAGGATAGTAATTTTCTGAACGACACATCTCAACTTTTTTTTTTTTTTTTTATTGCCCTTGTAGGCAGACGATCATACGGCCCACTTGATGGTGAGTGGTTACCGTCGCCCATGGACTTCAGCAATGCCAGGGGCAGAGCCAAGCCGCTGCCTACTAACTATGCCTCTATGTATTTTTTTTACCTATCTATACATATAAATAAAGTTGGAATGTCTGTTTATAATATTGAAATAACCGCTTTTTACTGCATGCATATGAATGTATCTACGGTACATACAACAATATTTTTTTTACAATTTTTGTCTGTCTGTCTGTCTGTCTGTTTGTTCCGGCTAACCTCTGGAACGGCTGGACCGATTTTGACGGGACTTTCACTGATAGGTAGGTGATTATATAAGGAGTAACTTAAGCTAGCTTCACCCCGCGGCGTTACCCGCGGTACGATAATAACCGCGGGTAGCATCGCGGGACTCAGCTATCAATGATATAATGTTTCCGAAGCGAAGCGAGGGCGGGTTGCTAGTTATACATAAAAAATATGCAGTACAATTTCGGTTATCCTCACATATTGTGTGTTCAAAAGTAATTTTTTAAATAGTGTTTAAACAAAAATCACACCATCATGTTGTAGAAATACCGTGTTATAAGAAAGTTAAATGTAGTACTAACAACTAGTCCCATAACAAATCACAACTCGAATAACTAAATCGAAATAACATACTTATAATGAGATTTAAACTTTAAAACCTATTAATACACTTTAGGCATAAACACAACGGAGATTCAATGGCCTTATAACTTCATAGGTTCTCTCAACACATATTTCTCTATATCCATAAATTTTTTGTACACATCATAACTCGTATTGCTGGTTTGTAAATACTTTCTAACTATATCTAAATCTTGGAGGGCCCTAATCTTTGTAACCCTCTCTTCTATTTCACTGCACTCCGGTTTCTTTGTACCGATAGCCAGTATCTCTTCTCGTTCTCTTTCGACTGCTGCCGGGTCCTGGATTTTATGGTTCCCACCGAAAACCGAACAATTCGTTCCCTGGCCGGTCAATAGCTCCTCGTCCACGTTCAAAAAGTTGTCCAAACTAGGCAGCTCAGTGTAATATGTGTCCACATCGTAATCCCTCAACAATTTACACATAATTTCTTCATCGTTTTCACACACTTTAGGCGTCAAATTCTCCTCAATTTTTGGTTCTTGAACGTCAAAGCCTAGATTGACAAAGCTTCTCGATATAGCACAATTAGGAGTCCGTTCCCATGCTTTCATTATCATGTACAGAGCTTCCAAGCTGGTGGTTCTCCTGTCTACTCCACGGACAACATTCATAGCCTTCTCAGTTATGAACAGCCGCCTGAATTCATCTTTGAAACGATTAAAAATTCCATTCCTGACCGGTATTAAGCCGTTATAAGCCTTCCACGGTACGAAGACAAGTTTCAAATTGGAGAGCTGAAGTTTGGTGTGCACAGTGGCTCTGTCTAGGACCAGAATAGCTCTCCTGTTGTTCATTTGAAGCTCTTTATTCCAGTATTTAACGAAGCCTTCGAACATTTGCGTTGTGAAATGCGCATTGGCGTGCCTTATGTACGTGACGGGCAGCGTATCGGCATCCCTATACGAATGCAGCAGAGGATCATCAGATCCACATACCAGAAGCTTCTTCCTGTCAGTGCCCGTCGCGTTCACACACATGAATATCGCCAATCTGTCCTCGACGTAGCCTTGAATGAATTTCTTGCCTGCAGGTTTCTTAACCCGACCCTTCGAAGGATTATAATAAATTCCGACCTCATCAGCCGTGTAAATGTCCTCGTCTTTAACACCAAGCCTAGCGTCGCACCACTGCTCCTTGAAGAAAGTCTTCTTCCATTTCGATTCTGGTCCTATGCTAAATTCTCTCTTGACGGGTACTCCCCTCAACGATATGCTGTATTTCTTCTTGAAGCCGTCCAGCCACTTCCTGCTGCCGTCGAACGCGATAAAACCATTTTCTTTGGCGAACAACTCAGCTATATCTTGCAACATTTTACCAGACACTTGCACCTTATTCGATTTCTGATCCCTGTACCAATCCAGTATTCTTGCATCTAGTATGCTGTTCATATACATCTTGCTTCTCCTTCCCGCTTTCTTGAGGGCGCTAAACGTGTCCCTTTCCTCCCAAACCTCGTTCACTACGTCCGGGGTCAGATTGTATATCTGACATATATCGGTGACAGTCCGTCCTTTGTACAGCTTGCTAACGATAGCGCATTGTATGTTTTCCGGGAGGTCCTCCTTCCGAGTGCAGTTCAAGTTTTTGGCCTCACTGTTGAGATCTGTCGAGTCCTCAGAGTATTCGGTAGGGCAGCTCGTGTTTTGATATTCAATGTCCGGGGCCGAAGGAATTAACTGATCGGATTTATTTGTAGTGTCTCGAGCACTGTAAAATATAAAGGTCTTATTATATATTATTATAATTATTTTAGCTACTTATATTTTAAACTAAATACAATGATTGAATTGTCTACTTCACTAAATGTAACTTGTATCTCAAAAGACCTACTTCTTTTAATGATATTATTTATTGTTATAGGATGTTTTGTGTGTCAGCACGAATAGGCACCATCACCCTGCCTATTTCTGCTTTGAAGCAGTAACTTTCGGTTTGAAGTGTAGTGTAGTCTTTGTACTCAAAAAACTAATCTTTATAGCTCATATCTCATGGCATTTATGGGCTCCGGCAACGACTTAACACCAGGTGGGCCGTGAGCTTGTCCATCCACTTATTCCAAAAATTAATGATTATACTAACGTTTCATCTGCAGTTTGTGTACGCATTCCGTGGAGTGTATGCAGTCTCCTGTGTCGATTCAGTTGTATCCTCGAATGATATTTAGCCGGACAAACATCACAGTGTTCGGTCTTCTCATGTGACCTCAAATGTCTAAACTGTAATTATTTATCATAATAGAACAGCAATATGAAAATATATAATAATGGAACTATGATTCTAATCAAAAACATATTATTGCGTATTCATGTATGAAGTCGTCGTGGACTAAAGGATAAGACGTTCAGTGCGTTACTTAACAATTGTTCACGATTGACTTCCACGGCAAAGGAATAACATCGTATAATAAAAATCAAACCCGCAAAATTATAATTTCCGCAATTACTGGTGGTAGGACCTCTAGTGAGTCTGCACAGGTAGGTACCACTATCCTGCCTATTTCTGCCGTGAAGCAGTAATGCGTTTCGGTTTGAAGGGTGGGGCAGCCATTGTAATTATACTGAGCCCTTAGAACTCGTATCTCAAGGTGGGTAGCGCATTTACGTTGTCTTACGTAGTGAACGGTCGAATGACTACTTGAACGGTCAAAGGTCACTTGAACATCTTATATAAGAACAGTCAATTATTATTCGTTCTGTTTCGTCTTTTTGTATGTCTGTCTTTTCAGAAGTCAAAAAATGTACCGCGTCGCTGCTGGTCACGTACGCTCTCGTTCCATTTATTTTCGAATTATTTTCAAATCTCTGTCTTAGTCTGTCTATGTCTAGTCATTGTAGGTTTTATGTCCTGTCAAAGAGGTTGCACGCCACGACACGTAGATTACGTAGATGTCTATGGGCTCCTGTAACTACTTAACAACGGGTTTGCTATGAGACCGTCCACTCATATAATATGTTAAAAAAAAAAGTTTACAGTAGCATCAGCAAAGAACGTAAAACAAGTAAAGACGTGTATAGTAAATGAAAACTAACCAAATGCCCTTTCGACGTGAACTTCATATCGCACAATCGACAGTCAAATTCCATTGTTGTATGTATTTTTTGATGCAGACGTAAGCTGAAGGCTTTTTTGAAATATCTCCCGCACTCGTCACATTTGTGCCTGGAAAATGTGTGAAAATTATGTGTTATAATGTTGAACCGAAGCCCATAAGCATGAAGTCAGATCTATTTTTTACGAAAAGTTCTTTAACTAAACATTATGTGCTTTTTTTAATTCTCATCTATAAAAGGTTCTAATGCCTTTGTAGACAGATGACAGAGCATATGGTCCATGTGATGGTGAGTAGTTACCGTAGCTCATTGACGTTGGCAATGCCAGGGGCAGAGCCTAACCGCTGCCTACAATTCAAATTCGTTACAATTTGAAAAGATTCAAATCATGTACATATATCATGAATTTATGCCTCTTGCGAGAATTTTATGGCGTTTGGGTTATTTTAAATAACAAATCCTAGCTCATTAATGAAATTCAAAGCCACAATTAACATACAAGTGAAGCCCACATAACATTTAGCACCATAAACCCTACCAATCTGATCCACCAAATGACTGTCACTCACACTCATGAACTTCAAAAGTGTCAATGGCAATCTGCTTGGGAAGTACCGCTATAGATCTTAATCTAGTATCTAAAAATAAACTTGGTACCTTAAAATTATCTAAACTGTCTCATTGGTATCAAAATCTATAGTCCTGATCAGGGTACCACTTAGATCTGCTTTTGTGATATTTCATGTTTAATTTTTTTACCTGCATGTTTCTTGAAATACGGTACTCGCATGCTTAAAAAATACAGTATGTAAGTAAGTGACTGAGCTGTACCTTGTTTTGACTTGATGCTCTAATGAATGTGCTCTCAATTCCTGTGCATTTTTATATTGGGCACTGCACAGATTACATCCATACACTTTAGGTTTTTTCTCTTTGCTCTTTCTACATTTGTCATTTCTCCTCCGTTTTGATGTTGCCGGTTTGTCTTCCTTCTTCTGAAAGTAGTCGACATATTGCAAAAATGTATATATAAAAAACTTTTTTTATTGCTTAGATGGGTGGACGAGCTCACAGCCCACCAGGCGTTAAGTGGTTACTGGAGTACATAGACATCTATAACGTAAATGCGCCACCCACCTTGAGATATATGTTCTAAGGTCTCAAGTATAGTTACAATGGCTGCCCCACCCTTTAAGCTGAAACGCATTACTGCTTCATGGCAGAAATAGGCAGGGCGGTGGTACCTACCCATGAGGACTAACAAGATTAATCAGTAAATTATAATTTTGCGGGTTTCATTTTTATTACATAGTTATTCCTTCACCGTGGAAGTGAATCGTGAACATTTGTTGAGTACGTATTTCCTTAGAAAAATTGGTACACGCCTGGGATTCGAACACCAGTGCATTGTTCAACACGAATGAACCGGACACCTTTTCTTTTAGGCCACAATTACTAAACTTTATTACAAAATAACAGTACTGTTCTCATACTGATACGTGCACATTATTGATTACTGATAAGAGTGTGTAAATTAGTAGTTGTAGACTAAAGTCAAGGTCATGTATCTAACAAATAACAGGTACTGCTCCGTTCTTCTCTTGCTATAAGCCTGCAGCAAACTATCAGTTTCACCTGCTTAATGATATCATTATCTGATAGGACCTGTATGATAACAAAGTGATCATGACATACATAGAAATACCTTTCCATGTCATCAGCTAGGGATACTTTGTGTGAAAGTAAATAATAAGTCAACTAGCTAGAGGTTTTTTTTCCTACCTAAGCTGGTGGTCTCGTGAGACCATTTCAGCATAACCTTAACAAGTAGGTGAGCTTATGGGATTAAAACCTGACGATCGTGCTAACACTTGCTTTGCAGAATCTACCACCAGATCGGAAACATTACCCACTGCAAAGAACCGGCGAGAAACTCTGTGAGCTGGGGATACTAGACTTGTTGATAATTCAGATGTATAAAAACTTGTTACTCATGTTATATAGTAAGTTTATATAGAGGTTAGTATAAAGTATCAAAACTATTTTTAAAACTAACACCTGGGTTCCTGTTATCATAAAAATGTAACCAGATCCAAACTGCCAGACTTCAAGATACTATTAATTCTTGTGGCATGAAGCGTAAAAAGTATAATTTTACAAAAAAAATATTGTAGTAATACTAAATAGATAGTCCAATATTCGTATGCCGGCGAAAAGCACATCAGTCGTGCGTGGTCCCGAAAACTTGTATGTTCAAACCGTTGGAAATAATATAATGAAAACAAAAAACCGTAAAGTACTTTTAATTATGTATTAGAACATTTGATACGATGTTTTTGTCTTGTGAATGGCTTGCGACCTTTTTTAATGAATGTTACTATTTGTTTTGTTTACTTACAATGCTAAAATCGAGTGGCTCTTCGTCATACTCGTCTACTTCTATCGAGACCATTATCTCAGATATTATAGGCTCATAATCGCTATCATCACCACTCCTAGATCTGGCGAGATCAACTTTTCTCTTTACTTCAGATAAACACTCATCATCCGAGGAGCCGTCGGAATTTCGAGTCTCATCCGTATCATTAGATGCCATACTCATTTACTACACTATCATAACATAAAATATCAACAAATTTAACGTTTAATAAATATTTAACTGGTTACATTATTAGTTTACATTTTAATTTATATCAATAAAAATATACATAATACACCGCCAACGCCATTTTAGCTCGATTTTTGGCAGTTTATAGAATGTTGACAGGATCATTGACGTAAAATGTAAATACTCGTAATTATAATTATGTATGGTCTGTGATGTAAGTGTTTTTTTTTTTTATTGCCTTTGTAGGCAGACGAGCATACGGCTCACCTGATGGTGAGTGGTTACCGTCGCCCATGGACTTCAGCAATGCCAAGGGCAGAGCCAAGCCGCTGCCTACCGCTTAGAGTGTAAATGTCTTAGACTCGTAATTGTCAAAAATCATACAAAACAGTGTTGATGAGTAGGTATTTTTTAACGTTAAGTAGATAAGGCTTATGTTAGTATGTTAGTCTAGTATGAAACACCCAACATTCTGTTAAAAAAGTAAAATCAAGAATTTGTAATCTCATAAAATATCGATCTCTAAACTCTGCACCTAAGTTATTATTTGTTGCAGACACTCATATTTCAGAATAAAATAATACAAGAAAATACTAGTTTGAAGGTTTTTCAGGGTAATAGTTTATACTGAGGTGTGTTTAATTAGTATTAGTTCTATACAAATAAACAAGAAAAACACCCGTTTCGTGTGAATACCTACTGAAACAAAGTGCCAAAAGTTCGTTTCTTTTTCTAGAAATGAAAAGCTTCCATTTGCAAGCATAGCGAATCTCGCGTATTTTAAGTTTGAGACTAAAATGGAAATAAAATAGCTGAAAATGATTTTTTTGTGTAGTTTAATTCACAATGACATTAATTTTGTTAATCTGGCAATAATGTTCATGTCACAAAAAGTACACTCACACTGTCAATGAACCAAACGAAAAAAAAACCAACGCGCATCGCTTCTCTTTTGGAATTTATGGTGCCGTAACAAGGCTCCCTTTTGTATTAGCAAGACGAAATTTTACTCGCGATCAACCTAAAACGCGTAAACAATGCGCGATTAGCATAACCGCTCGTTGTCGGCAATGTTTATACGAATTTGGCTGCATTGCGTTGCAATATACGGATCAATATCAATAATGACCAACTGAGCTAGCGTCATTACGCCCGCCGTGGACAAATGGAGGCAAAATCGGGCGTCGGAATCCAAGATCACTGGATGAAGAGCATGATGGAGCCTGCCGGCAACGACAACAGTGACCGTTCGACTGTAAAACGAGAAAAAATGGCTGAATATAACGGCGAAAACTCTTATGATATGAAAAGACAGCAGAATGAGTCTAGATACCGATGCGATGTATGCGATCTGACCTTCCAGGCAATGGATTACTTGATATTACACAAGAAGTTTCACGGGAACGAAAAGGACTTGCCAATACCCCCGCCGGAGCAGACTTCGACAAAGGACGCGCCGAAAAAACGTAGGAAATTCAAATGTGACCAGTGCGATGTGAAAGTAAACTCTCAATATCATTTAGACATACACAAAAGCAAGCACGAAGGTGCAGCTTCAAAGAAATACATTTGCGAAGTCTGCGACAGAAGCTTTGTGGCCGCACAGTTCTTGAAGAGCCACATGCAAACCCATTCGGCGACAAGTACTATAAACTGTGAGCTGTGCAACAAAAGCTTCACGGGCCAAGCTTACCTAAAGCTCCACATGCAGCTACATAATGACGTAAAAAAATTTAAGTGTTCAAAATGCGAAGACATGCTACCTACAAAGAATTGTCTTAAGATACACATGAAGAAACATACAAAAGTGAAAAATTTTAAATGTGATTATTGTCATAAATTATTTGTATCGAAGATAACAATGGAACGACATCGTCAGACGCATGAGGGACAGCCGATCGACTGTCAAGTTAAATGCACACAGTGTGATCGAACTATGCACTCCACATTACTGCGCACACATATAGCGAGGGCTCATTCATCCTCACTAGACGATGATGTGAAACGACCTTACAAATGCACAACGTGCGGAAAGAGTTTTATCGTAAAAATAAATCTTAATTTACATATCAGAGTTTGCCATCCGGAATTGGCAGATCCTGAAGACGAAGATGAAGATATAATGACGGATAACTCATAGTTTATAAGATAGTTGTAATGGCTTATTAACATTATGTATTACTATAATATACTTTTTGTATGATACAATTTTTTTTTACAATGATTGAAACGTGTTATCGATTTGAACTCTGAATATCTTATAATCTTAACTGACAAAAAGATAGGATTATTTCCAGTTCCCTTTGCAACAAGTGTTTGTATATTGGAATCAAAGATAATCTGTTCGCAGAAGTTTCTTCTTTCTTTCCTATTACCCTTTGCTGGGGTTTAAGGTTCGAATCAAATCCTTCCATTTAATTTTTCATTTAAGTTTTAGTAATATAAAAATAATAAAAAAATAAATATGAAATTTGTATAAGAAAATGTTACAAAAGGCTGTACGTACTTCAAGATGAGGCCTTATAATGATTCAAGTTAGAGTTGGGAAAGCCTCGTAATATATCCTTAATTATTATCTATTAAAAGATATATTTATAGTATAAATCATTTTAAGTAGGTATAAATTATTAGACGTAATAAATCGCAAAAAATATGAACCTACATTATGTAGGTATGTAAGTTCAAATTTCGCGAATATTTTGTATTTCTTTTCGGCAGAGGGGTCTTTCCCCATACGCCCTTGATCTGATTGAAGATATCTGGCCTGAATTAGGTTTTTGCCGGAAGTCTTCAGTGTGCTTAGTGCGAGTTTTTTAACGTTCTCGATAGCGTAAAAGTTAGCACATATTTGTATGAAATGGGATCGTTTGCCTTCCTTTGCCGCTAGGGGCGCTGTTCCAACTGCATACAAAATTGGGTTAACTTTTACGCTATCGAGAACGTTAAAAAACTCGCACTAAGCACACGGTTCTATTATAGTTACCGCTACAAATTCTCGTATGACATAATCTTGCTTTCGTGGCTTTACAGTCTTTAACCCGCAAATTTTCAATCAGCTTCTACGTTTCTCGACTTGAAGCTAAAATATCAGTTTATCTGAAAAAAAAAGAGACCACAGTATCAAACATTTAACAGACTATAGTGACAGAGACCTTAAGAAAACCACAATATCAATGTACAAAAAATCGTGAAGTAAGACTTGTAAAAAAATATTAACAGGTCCATTCTTAGTTAGGTTGTCAAAATTTGAATAACGCGCCAATAGCTTCGACCGGTAAGAAGTACTATCTTGTGTGAGAAAAAGTAGAAAAAAAGGTGTAGTTGTATGCAGCTAAACACAAATAGAAAACTATGGAGGGTAGAAGTCTGGGGTCATTCATCCATCTCAGTATAAAAAGTGTTCGCTGAAAGGGAGCCAATTAAGGCGGAAGCCTTGTAACAAGTGGACAGATTTTAAAACTCAGAATCTCAGGGGGCTGTGTCCATGGGTTAGTTCACTCGTCGAATAGGTACGACAAAGATTTCGACGAGGACGGTGACCGGCATATTAAGTGTATAATCTATGGTGACTGGTGCTTGAGAGGCCTAAAAGCACCGAGAGTGAATCCGGGGAATCCGACAAGACATATTTTGGACAACGGTGGCTTTGCGTTTGCCCCGTCGCGGTCGGATAAGTAATTAGCGGTGGCCACGATAAGAGGGTTTTCGTGTCGCGCCACTTTGTCGAAGTAAGTACCACCGCCCTGCCTATTTCGGCCGTGAAGCAGTAATGTGTTTCGGTCTGAAGGGTAGGGCAACCGTTGTAACTATACTGAGATCTTAGAACTTATATCTCAAGATGGGTGGCGCATTTACGTTATAGATGTAGGTATATGGGCTCCTGTAACCACTTAACACCAGGTGGGCTGTGAGTTCGGTCCACCCATCTAAGCAATAAAAAAAACCTACCCACCTTGTCTAGATGTTAGAAAACTAGTAGACACTGGAATCCAGATCGTTATACCATATATTGTGTTATTGGCTAACAATGTCCTAATTTTATTTTTGACTAGCTGACCCGGCAGACTTCGTAGTGCCTCAATCGATAAATAAAAGACCTAAACTTTTGTATAAAATAAACTTAAAACAAAACAAACCCGTCCGACGGGGGACACATCAAAGGAAAAACAAAATTGTGACTTTTATTTAAGTCCGAGCATTTTCACCTTTTAAACCTTCTCTGGACTTCCACAAATAATTCAAGACCAAAATTAGCCAAATCGGTCCAGCCGTTCTCGAGTTTTAGCGAGATTAACGAACAGCAATTCATTTTTATATTTATAGATTTGACTTATTGCGACCGCCTGCCTTGGGTCAAGTAGTAAATCACTAAACAAATCAGTGGAAATATAACCGCCGCATAGAAATAACGTGAATGTCGCAACCCATCCACATGTCATCAATTTTGAGGTCGTCGTGGCCTAAAGGATAAGACGTCCGATGCATTCGTATGTAACGATGCACCGGTGGTCGAATCCCGCCGGCGAGAACCAATTTTTCCAATGAAATACGTACTTAAAAAATGTTCACGTTTGACTTCCGCGGTGAAGGACTAACATCGTGTAATAAAAATGAAACCCGCAAAATTATAGTTTGCGTAATTACTGGTGGTAGAACATCTTGTGAGTCCGCACAGGTAGGTGCCACCATCCTGCCTATTTCTACCGTGAAGTAGTAATGCGTTTCTATTTGAAGGGCGGGGCAGCCGTTGTACTGTTAAAACTGAGAATTTACAACTCATGTCTCAAGGTGGGTTTTACGTTGTAGATGTCTATGGGCTCCGGTAACCATTTAACACCAGGTGGGCCGTGAGCTCGTCGACCCAGCAAAGCTACAAATATATATATTAATACGTGAAGCAAAAACTTTGTACCCCTTTTTACGAAAATTGTGCGGACGGAGAAATATGAAATTTTCCACACTTATAGAGAATATAGAGAAGAAGTGCACAATGCTAACATATTTTTTTAATAATGCATAAAAGATACATTAAATCAATAAAGAAAACATTACACTACATACCATGTATTTGACGCACACACGCATGCATACAATTTATTGTCAAACTTTTGTTCTTGACATCTGTTGTCAAATTGAGATTAAATATTGTTTGTCTTTGTTAATATTTTTTATAGTGTAGTCTTGGCGAAATTTGTGATTATAGAAGTATAAAATACAATCATAATAGTGCACAAACTTATAATTCCAATTAATTATAGTCGAATTTCGACTACTGCGGGACCTCTAGTAAATTTAAAAACACATTAGGTGACCTGAGTCGCCTCTAACACGCCAAAGATATGGTCAAAGTCTAAAGGCTGCCTCGGACTCTTCCGTTTGTTTACCGAAGACTTAACATTAAAGTCTTTTTTTTCTACGCTGATAGCCTTGATAGGCTATTTCAGCTTCGCCCTAACGTGTAGGTGAGCTCACGGGGTTCAAGCCGGAGTGTTGCTAACACTGGCCCTAGGAAGAGTAGTGCTTCGCAGAATCTACCACCGGATTGGAAACGCGACCCACTGAGAAGATCCGGTGAGAAACTCAGTGGGCTGTGTCTATGGGTTAGAAGTCTCAATAACACTGTAATAAGGCATGAATGCTTCGCGCGCATAAATAGGCCGCAAGGTGGTACTCATACGCAGGGCGTCTTAAACTAGGATGGGGCCCTTGGGCACACAAGAATTTGGGGCCCTTTTGGAAAGTAAAAAAAGCGAATTATAATAACATTTTTTTACTGAGTATTACCATTTATTATAGGTAATCAAATACAGTATAATATAATTTGTCATTAATGATATTAGAATGCTGCTGGTTTTTTGGTTACGATTTCGATAACGGTTTCTTTCGGGATTTCTGTTGAGCAAAATCTTCTATTATAAGTATAGGTAGTATATGCCTTGTAAATACCTCCTGATTACTGATTTCTGAAAAAAGTGTAATGTGCCCGACAAAAATGTTTTGAGAATAAACGTGTGAGAGAAATTGTTGGTCTTTCGGGGCCCCCTGAGAATGTGGGCCCTGGGCACGGGCTCCGTGTGCCCTTATGGTAAAGACGGTATTGCTCATACGTTCTTAATCATGGGATATGTGAGACAATTTGCCGAAGGTGCTTGAAGCTCAACCACCAAACGACTCCCCTGCACTCTAGCCCAATTTTCACCCAAGACAGAATCCGGGAGAGGTAGAGGAGCTACCACGGTCGACACTACCAGCAAACTTGCAGCTCACACCATGGACGCCAGTGGAATCGTCAAGACACTACCACCAGGAATATGTATATTCAATCAGTAAGCTTCGCAACACGATTATAACTTTATTGGCTAAGCAAAGGCATGTAACTTCTAAGTAAATAATCAGTTTCTGGAAGCTCTAATCTAAAGCGAAGGTGGGTAGCGGTCCAGTACACAAGGTCGTTGGCTACACGACAGCTGACTATTTCTAGTTTTCTTTGGCTTACCGTATTTATCTCTCGGTGGGGCATTGGTTTGCAGCTTTGCGGCTGAGTGATGTAGGCCAGTTCCTGAATCGAACTAACGTGACTGTTAAGGCGCATTCTATATTTCAGTTTTTAAGTTACATTAATTTTTGAGTTTTGTAAAATTACGCGTATTCATGTAACGTAATTACAATTAATTATCTGGTTCGAAATAATTATTTACAACCAATACGATGATAATTTAGATAATTTTAAATAAACGAAACGACAGCAAATATTTTTTATTTAATTAAGTATATAACAAAAAAAAACTATTCGTCTTTCTTATCTTCATTTTTTTCAGGGGGCTCCACTGCTTCTTCTTCGTTCTTCTTCGCTCCCTCTGCTTCTAGCTGAGCAGCTTGCTAGTAAAACAAAAAATATTTTTTTTAATAAAAAACAAAAAGCCAATTTCGGTTCCGACATTGACATATGAACATATTAAGTGTATAATCTATGATATGAACTTTTCTTTTAAATTGAAACATTATTTTTACGTTATCTGTATCACATACAGCATAACGACAAGCATGTGACGGCTTTTTGGCGGGAACGCGCGAAACGAGTTGGTTATATTGTTTTATTTTCTTATTTTAATAATTCAGGTTAAACGTGTTATAATAGTGGCTTATTACGCGTTTAGAACCTGTGAAAGTGTACTGCTGTAGGGAAATGAAACAAAGTAACTGCCCGCTGCCCTAAAAAGCCCTCTAATGACTCAGTAAATCCCCCCATTTTACTAGGGTATCATATCATCATTGATAAATCTTCATATCGTTTCATTTCATTTCATTGAATTTCATCCTAACGAATATAATTTTCAAATAAATTAACTCCATCTCATTCCATATAAAATAATATCTACTTATGATTTAAGTAACAATTGAAGATTTTTTATAAAATCGACACTGGCACCAATTCGACCTTGACATCTTCTCAGGCGTCACCTCAAAACTTCCTCGACCTCGACTCAACAGAGACTAGGCGTATCTTTGAAATACTACAAAGAAAATTATGTACTTTAAAAAAACAACAACTCGAATTAAAAATTATAATAACGTCATTTTGTTTTCATTCTGAATATGCAGTCCGAATTAATAACATTATTGTGTCGAGAGAAGAAGTGGAGGTATTTTTCTATGGCTTTTTTTAACCTACCTATTCGCTGGTATCTGGTTTCGCTGGTATAGTATCATCATCAGTATTTGATGCGTGTGCCAACATGGAGTTAATAAGACGTATAATAGTAATTCTATGTGTGCCAACTATCAAGTTAATCTGACGTATCGAAGTTGATATGGATAATTTCGCACGCAAATAGAATCTACAGACTCTATGTTTGTCATTTCCTCAACTCGACTAAGGGTAAATACGGATAAAGCCTTAAGCGGGAGATTTTATGTATAACCGAGGTAATCATACGATTGAAGTTTTTACGTTGCATTTAAAACTCACGGCAGCTTTGTTCACGTCTTCAATCTTCTTCTTCTGCAAGTATTTACTGACATCTCTGATGAGGGCGAGCTCTTCCAGCATACTCTGCGATAGAGGATCGAATACACGTATGGGCTCTGAATCAGGATCGTCCAGGTTGGTAACGAACTCTTTGTATCTTCCAATGGTCTTTTCGAATTCAGGCGTTGACGGCACGTACTTTTTTACCTTTGACATTCTTATTGCTCTGTGTATAAAAAAAAAGCTAAAAAAAAACACGTGTGACACTCGGGGACTGCCGCGCTAAAGCTATTGCATAGCATTTTTTATCAACTTAAGCAATTATAATTAGACAATAATAAATTAATATTAAAAGAATAATAAAATAAGACCACGCTACCTATATTTATAAACATTAACAAAAGCAAAACATTAAATGTCACCTTCCCACTCATAAGCTGGACTGCGCGAGAGAGAGATGGGCAGACTTTTCATGAGCGCATGCAGTGAGACGTCACGCCGCGCGCTTATTCACAAACACTACACAAGCGCAACGTGTGAATGCGTTGAACGCGAACTACACGTAGGCGGAGTGGGGGTGTTAGGTTTTATTTTCGTTATGGAATTTCTAGATTCGGTCGCCGCGCTCAAAGCCCGCGATAAAAGCTATGCAATAGCTTAAAAAGCGATCAATCGAAATGCATGTCAATAAAGTTTTTTTTTATTGCTTAGATGGATGGACGAGCTCACAGCCCACCTGGTGTTAAGTGGTTACTGGAGCCCATAGACATCCACAACGTAAATGCGCCACCCATAAGTTTTAAGGTCTCAAATATAGTTACAACGGCTGCCCCACCCTTCAAGCCGAAACGCATTACTGCTTCACGGCAGAAATATACAGGGCGGTGGTATCTACCCGCGCGGACTCACAAGACGTTCTACCATCATTAAATTAAATCTTTTACGTTTTCATGTTCGAACCACTGAAGCGATTCTGATTAGTAGCTTCATTATTGTCAAATAATATATCTATCTACTTACATTGATACGTGCTTCCCTTACGAACAAACAGCCGGTAATGTATAAATTAATAAGTAGCGGATTTGTAATGTATTCGAACTAATTAACTATGCGAAACGTTGTTACGAACATTTCGTTTTTATATCACCTGAGTTTTAATAAAATATAAATATTTTTTTAATATTTTATCGCAACATCATAGTCTCATAGTGTGTTAGTATTACAAATAACTTGAGATTTAACGTAACGTAATGTAACGTGATTCTGTAACGTAATCCGTAACAACGTAAAAAGTATTTAATTTAGAGATAGTTATTTTTTCCCGTCCTATCTGATAGCCTTGAGAGGCTATTTCAGCTTCACCCTAACGCGTAGGTGAGCTCACGGGGCTCAAACCGGAAGTGCTGCTAAACTAGCCCTAGCAAGAGCAGTGCTTCGCAGAATCTACCGCCGGATCGGAAACGCGACCCACTGAGAAGATCCGGCGAGAAACAGAGGGTTAATTTACTCGTCGAGCCGTTCGTCGCAAGCGACGGGTTCGACGAGGACGATGACCGGTGCTTGAGGTACCTAAAAGCACAGTTAATGGATCGGGAGGATCCGAAATGACGTGTTTTGGGCGACGTGGACTGCTTTCCATTCGGTCCGCAGGATCGGGAATGGTGCTGCGCAATCTCTTTGCACGATTACCAACCGTACACCCACTGTGTCAAGAAATAATGAAGCTATCAGCACATTATGCGACACACAGGCTGACTGATTGAACACTTTACACACATTGATGTACTGATTGGATGCAACCCTGCCCTCATCCGCCGGGTGGCGCCTCAGAACTGCGGTGTCCACAAATTTCGAGTTTTAGCAAATTAATTTAATTAATGGTTTTAATAATTTAATATTTTTATACGTTTCATTTCACCATGAATTATTATGTCTCATATATATGTCTTTGAGTTTGTAAAATGTTCAACCAGTCAACCTGTATATAACAACAGTCGATGTGTATACATTCCCTATACTCTTCAAAACATTTTTTTTTTATTCCTTTGATGGACTAGCTCACAGCCCACCTGGTGTTAAGTGGTTACTGGAGCCTATAGACATCTACAACGTAAATGCCGTCATCCACCTTGAGATATAAGTTCTGAAGTCTCAAGTATAGTTACAACGGCTGCCCCACCCTTAAAACCGAAACGCATTACTGCTTCACGGCAGAAATAGGCAGAGTGGTGGTACCTACCCGTGCAGACTCACAAGAGGTCCTACCACCAATAATTACGCAAATTATAATTATGCGAGTTTGATTTTTATTACACGATGCTATTCCTTCACCGTGGAAGTCAATCGTGAACATTTGTTGAGTACGTATTACATTAGAAAAATTGGTACCCGCCTGCGGGATTCGACCACCGGTGCATCTCGATCAACGATCACTACATACGAATGCACCGGACGTCTTAGCCCTTAGGCCACGACGACTTCTAAATCAAATCGATTACGATGATTTTCAGGATATCTTCAGACTCACCCAGCGTGTGTACCCGTTTAGTAACCATCTGACCACCAGACATCTGACAACCAGTGAAGTGAAGAAAAGAAGTGTACGGTTCGCTAGTAAATCCATGAAGTGTGTACATAAAAAAATAAAAAAGGGTGCGTGTACTTATGTACGCGCGTAAGAAGTTATACTTTATTTTTATTAATTTTTTTTTTTTTCTAATATTAAATAATAAATATTTAACGTTAATAATTTAAAAAATTAATGCAAATAACACTTTTTTTACTAGTGTACATGCGCGAAAGCTCACCTGCGACTATATTCAGACTCGCCAAGTTACGTCAGTCGTATTGTAATGAGCGATTTAGTGGGCAACTTCATTTCTGTTAAATTAGTGTCACGGTGCGCGCGCATCGTAAAATTTCACTCTCATCAATTTTTCATAACGCGCCTAAAGAAGTATAACTTCAAAAAACACATTTATAACCTCAAAAAAAATAATTATAATCGTAAAAATGTTTTCGAACCCATCTCATTCTATATCGATTCAATCGAACAATCAAAAATCGCATAATTAACCTTTCGTGTTAATTTATGCCAACGTATTGTTAGGTTATTTTTCAACAAAGAGTATTTATTTTATTCGTTCGATTTGTGTTAGAGAAGCAGTCTATACAAATGTGAATGTATTGTATGTATGTATTTTACTACTGGTAGGACGTCTTGTAAGCCCGCACGGGTAGGTACCAACACCCCGCCTATTGCTGCCGTGAAGCAGTAATGCGCTTCGGTTTAAAGGGTGGGGCAGCCGTTGTAACTATACTGGGAGCTTAGAGCTCATATCTCAAGGCGGGTGGCGGCATTTACGTTGTAGATGTCTATGGGCTCCGGTGACCACTTAACATCAGGTGGGCTGTGAACTCGACCACACAAATAAGCAATAAAAAAATATGTTTACTCCATTCAAACAGCTGAAGAAGTTTTTTGTAATGATACTTTTTCCAAATTTTAAACTTTAAATGGCTCTCCTGTAAAGTTTCAAAAATGTCGCCTAAGGCAAATTTTAATAGCCTTTCACCCATCGCATCGATATGTAAAATTGACTAGAAGTTTTGGTAAATCGATATGAGTACACACATCACGTTTCGTGTAGAATCACCCACGTGGTTAACGTATTACTTACAATTTATATTTACAATGTATTTTAATATTATTTTGTTTAGTGGTTAAGTAAATAAAAAAACGAATTTCGAAAAGGAACATATTTTTTAACGTAAAACGAAACGCATTCTCACCCTCTACAAGGCTAATGACTCATACACCCCCCGAAAACAGCCGATCATCCCCGAACGTACCCGAACGCATATTGCACGGGAAGCCCGAACGTAAAACATTTCCAATTTCGCAAGAACCTATTATGTAACATTTAACGCGTTTAGTTTTTTTTTTTCTAATATTCATACGAATTAACGAAAATCAAAATGTCGAACGAGAAAAGGAGGTCTGTGCTTGAAATAAATAAAAAAATAAATACGCGAGTGCTGTGCAAGGGACGCGTGATGTTAAGCTATTGATTTTTTTAGTGACGTACAGAGAAGCGTTGTTATTATTAATGTACCTGATTCAATAAATGTGTGGTTTTTTTTTAAATAGTGTCCAGTGATAGTGCCGCGACGTGTGCCTCTGTTTAGTAAAAAAAAAACCTTAGAAAAAATACACCATCGATTATTTTAAAACAGTGCGGTTTGTTGTGTTTTTTTTTGGTGCAAAAATTAAATTATCGATCTGAAATTTCCAATTGTTGCTCCTACTAAAAATTTAATAATCATTTCTTGAACGATACAAAAAAAAATATAAACCATCCATTATTTTTTACATAAGTCAATTTTACCGAAGTGGGATATAATTATTTTTTTAATTCTAAAAATACCGACTAAGGCCCCGCGCATAAATTAGTGATTTAGATAATCTTACAAATATCTATTAGTGATATGGCATGTTTTGAACGTTAAATTATATTAATGAAAGATTACAGATCGCTCTGATGGTAATGATTTGTCGTTTAATACGTAAAAATTACCTGTCTGATACGCATTCTAAGAAATCGGACTAGCCATATTACAGTGATAGGGTTAGGCAGTAGGATGAAAATTGACAACAGCAGTTGAAAATTGTAAAATGAAGCACATACCTAACCCAAAAAAAAGATCCTACGGTTAGCAGAGCGTTTTGCAAGCCCACGCCTGCCTATTTATGCGCGCTTTTGGTGCTCTGCCTATTTATAATTAAAATAATAAGAAATAAAAACTCATTTTGAAACATTCCCATCATTGACAATAGTTATTAATTATCTGTGGGCGTTTTTTTAATTTTTTTTTTAAATGTTGTTCGATTTCGTTCCCCGAAATTCTAATGGAGGCGGCTGGGTAGGCAAAGGCGAAAACGCCTAACTAGCTCAAACATCATAAGCTGTCCGAAAAAAATTCAATAGAATGAAGTAAAATTGGTCGCAGAGAACCATTCCGCTAACGCAACGGTCGGTGACCTTGTCAAACAACACAGCCAAATATAGATCAACACACAATTGAAATTTATTCAAAGAGCTACTTTTTTTAATCGATATTTTTATAGTCTTGTGTTTCAATAAATGTTTAAAAGTCTCTTACAAGGCAAGATGATAAGTAGCTCTTGCTAGGGTTCGTGTCAGCAACAACGTCAGGATTGAGCCCCGTGAGCTCACCTACTAGTTGGGTAAATTTAGAAGGCTACTAGAATAGGCGGGGAAAAAAAAATTATTCGTAATATTCCGCGCCCGAACTAAACATTTCGCGGAAGAACCGAAGCCGAGGAGTCCAAAAGCCGCTGTTTGGTTATTGCGAGTTTTTTAACGTTCTCGATAGCGTAAAAGTTAACTCAAATTTGTTTGCAGTGGAATAGCGCCCCTAGCGACAAACGTAGGCGAAAGTTCCAACTGCGGACCGAATGGTAAATAGTCGACGTCACCCAAAACACATCATTTCGGATCTTCTCGATCCACTAACGGTGCTGTTAGGTACCCCAAGCACCGGTCACCGTTCTCGACGAACCCGTCGCTTGCGACGAAGGGCTCGCCGAGTAAATTAACCCACAGACACAGCCCACTGAGTTTCTCGCCGGATCTTCTCAGTGGGTCGCAATTCCGATCCGGCGCTAGATTCTGCAAAGCACGGTTCTTGCTAGGGTTAGTGTTAGCAACGTCGTCAGGTTTGAGCCCCGTGAGCTCACCTACTGTTAGGGTTACGCTGAAATAGCCTCATAAAGCTTAGGTATGAACGAAAAACTGTCAATAATTTGGACGTAGTTCACAATTTCGTAGCTTAATCTCAAAATTAATAGAGACCAGAGATTCCGCACGTTTCATAAACACACTGAATTTCTACTCTCACTACTTAATAGATATACGCAATTTTACAAAAGTTAAATTAAATTGAGGCACAAATCAAAAAAAAATGAACCAAACCATGACCGTCCAGTTGAAAACTAGTTCCAAATGAGCGCCGATAGACGGTGCTGTTCTAAGACTATGAAATTTTATACGTTTTTTGTTATGTGACCCACGGATGGCTTCCAAAATGGATAGTGGGTCGGCGACAACGACTGAGGCCTACCAATACGTAGGGCCCTTCCGGCTGGAGAAAACCTTAGGGAAGGGGCAAACAGGTAAATATATATATTATATATTATTATATCCTTAACTTCTTATCACTGCAAATTTTATGATAAGCCATTTTTACCATGGAGGGTAAAAATAAGGATCATCATTTCAGTGTATTACAACTTGTCGGCTGAAAAGGAGCCAATTGAGGTGGTGCCACAGTAGCAACTGGAATGTTTATAAAAAATAGTGACATAAGTTACTATAGAGTAGGATACTAAATTAAAAGAAGGACAAAACACTTCCTACGTACCTATATAGTAATAAAAATAAATAGTCTTCCAACAAAAACTTGCTGCTTACAGGTGGATCCTTTACAACTTGTCCCCTATATGAGATGATGACTTACTTCTACCCTCCGTAATTAAAACCACAGAACCAATAAAGAAAAAAAAGAATAACATGACATCTGAAAACGATGACAGTGACAAATCAAGAATTACGCGCGTAAATTGTGTGATGCTTTTCCATAGATAATAAACACACTTGATATTTTTTATATCGAAATAAAAAGACTCATATCTTCATAATTCAAACGAGTACATTGGCTGCAAAAAGCGCAAAGCCCCGTGCTAGCCTCGATCCCGTCTTTGCACGTGTTCCAATGAATAAAATTAGCATTAACATTACCGGCAAACTTTTTTCATCTCATCCGCGAAGTTAACTTCAGAATCGTTAAAACGCAAATCCGTATTAGTCACTTGCGTGATCTTGTGCTGAATTACATGAAGATAAGCTTATCAATATAGTGTGTGACTGCAAAATTGACCCTCCGTCTCATTAGCGTCGGCAAACAAGTGCCCATAGACCTGACTATAAGCAAGAGAATCCTCAATAAATTTACTAGTACTAACGTCATGTGAGTTGTATGATTATCAGAATTCGGCCTATTACTGACGGAAAATAGTGACGCATTCAGGTCCGAGGGATGAGGCAGCTGTAAAAAAATTGTGAATTTGATTTCGTGTTGCAAAGCGCATGGCATTTAAATTTTGAGTCTGCGGATTCTATTAACTTAGTATTTCAGTCGTGAATTCATTTGCACATGTACAGCAAAGGAAAATTAAAAAAAAAACGACAGCGTATCACCCAACTGCGAATGGTAGAAGTAAGGGGCATCATCTCAATGTATTAAAAAGTGTTCACTGAAACGAAGCCAACTAAGGCGGCGCCACAGCAGCAATTTTTTTTTTATTGCCCTTGTTGGCAGACGAGCATACGGCCCACCTGATGGTGAGTGGTTACCGTCGCCCATGGACTTCAGCAATGCCAGGGGCAGAGCCAAGCCGCTACCTACCGCTTAATACTCTCCACAAGCCTCGTTTGAAGAAGGGCATGTCATAGCGCTCGGGAAACACCGTGGAGGGGAGCTCATTCCATAGCCGGATGGTACGTGGGAAAATAGTACGTGGAAAGATTTAAAAAACAGGGGGATAAACTACCACCTTTCACTGGTGGTGAGACCTCTTGTGAGTACGCACGGGTAGGTACCACCACCCTGCCTATTTCTACCGTGAAGCAGTAACGCATTTCGGTTGGAAGGGTGGGCCAGCTGTTGTAACTATACTTGAGACCATAGAACTTATATCTCAAGGTGGGTGGCGCATTTACGTTGTAGATGTCTATGGGCTCCAGTAACCACTTAACACCAGGTGGTCTGTGAGCTCGTCCATCCATCTAAACAATAAAAATATCCCTCAAAAATAGATGGCGCTGTTGCTATATATTTTTAACTCTATCCGATTATTATTTTCTCTACCTAAACTGATAGCCTTGAGAGGCTATATCAGCGTCGCCTTAACTAGAAGGTGAGCTCACGGGGCTCAAACCTGTTGAAATTCACTCTGCTTAAAACAGCTATATTCATATCATTTCCACTTTCTACACTAGCGCTATTTCGGTGAGTCTTCGAATAACATCTTGCTGTTCACCGGTGGAGACTTTTTCATCTTGTCCCCAATACAAGATAGTGCTTACTTCTACCCTCCATAATTTAAACATGATCCGAACAATAAAATTCGGACCCAGGGCCCTGAAACCACGATACTTTAAGACTACTTTGCGATAAAAAAAATTGTATGGAAACTAGCGACATCTTGTAGCGGATGCCCCTAAACTTATATGTTGTTAAAGTTAAGGCATTTAATTATTGTATAACTAAACGCAGAAAATAAAAAGTTAATAAATCACACAAGACTTTATTTGTTATAGACAAATTGATTAAATTTTATCAGTTAGTGATTTCTGAAAATTTACAAAGTCCTTCATTAAAAATAAAATATAGGATAGGTTATAATATGTTACTGCCATCTACAGGAGCAATGAGAAACTAATCGAAGCGAAGCCATCTAGTGACCGACGCCCGTAAACATTTTTGTTGAGTGCTTGAGTTACTTATCTATAACTAATTTACGTGTATTTTTTTTATTTGCTTAGATGGTTGGGCGAGCTCACAGCCCACCTTGTGTTAAGTTGTTGCTGAAGCCCATAGACATCTAAAACGTAAATGCGCCACACACCTTGAGATAAGTCCTAAAGTCTCAAGTATAGTTACAACGGCTGCCCCCCCTTCAAACCGAAACGCATTACTGCTTCACGGCAGAAATAGGCAGGGTGGTGGTACCTACCCGCGCGGACTCACAGGAGGTCCTGCCACCAGTAAAGTAGTTAGTCGTAGATATAATTAAACCACATTTACGATTTGATTACATAAACTTCGAAGCTTCAAAATAAGATGTTAATCAAAAAACCGCAAAATTAAACAGTATAATTAGGTGATTTTGAATCATAAAAAACATATGAATAAATTCATAACATAAGTTTAATGTACCTAATTACCGTTTATTTCATTACTGACATCACTTCCGTTTTATTGACACTGTCGACCCGTTTATGCTATCGAAGGAAACGCAAACACAGGTCGAATACATTACTCAAATCAGTGTGCTTAGTGCGAGTTTTTTAACGTTCTCGATAGCGTAAAAGTTAGCTCATATTTGTATGGAATGGGATCGTTTGCGTACGTTTGCCGCTAGGGGCGCTGTTCCAACTGCATACAAAATTGGCTTAACTTTTGCGCTATCGAGAACGTTAAGAAGCTCACACTAAGCACACAGAGCACAAATCCACAGTTATCAGAAACTTCGGCACAGAGCATCCTAAAATATCTACGTACAAACTAGACTTAAGCGCCTTATTCACCATCCATCTTGCTGTACGTCCCGCCAAGGCCATGCACGATGCACGATGCAAAAGGATCATGAATAGGCTTGACGTACGTCGATAATTATTATTAATTGCGGCCTTGAGCTGACGTACAGCCGTGATGGATCGTGAATAAAGCGCTAAATGCATCGTGCATCGTNTGTTGGCAGACGAGCATACGGCCCACCTGATGGTGAGTGGTTACCGTCGCCCATGGACTTCAGCAATGCCAGGGGCAGAGCCAAGCCGCTGCCTACCGCTTAATACTCTCCACAAGCCTCGTTTGAAGAAGGACATGTCATAGCGCTCGGGAAACACCGTGGAGGGGAGCTCATTCCATAGCCGGATGGTACGTGGCAAAATAGTACGTGGAAAGATTTAAAAAACAGGGGGATAAACTACCACCTTTCACTGGTGGTGTGACCTCTTGTGAGTACGCACGGGTAGGTACCACCACCCTGCCTATTTCTACCGTGAAGCAGTAACGCATTTCGGTTGGAAGGGTGGGCCACCTGTTGTAACTATACTTGAAACCATAGAACTTATATCTCAAGGTGGGTGGCGCATTTACGTTGTAGATGTCTATGGGCTCCAGTAACCACTTAACACCAGGTGGTCTGTGAGCTCGTCCATCCATCTAAGCAATAAAAATATCCCTCAAAAATAGATGGCGCTGTTGCTATATATTTTTAACTCTATCCGATTATTATTTTCTCTACCTAAACTGATAGCCTTGAGAGGCTATATCAGCGTCGCCTTAACTAGAATGTGAGCTCACGGGGCTCAAACCAACAGGTTTCTCTTCACTCTGCTTAAAACAGCTATATTCATATCATTTCCACTTTCTACACTAGCGCTATTTCGGTGAGTCTTCGAATAACATCTTGCTGTTCACCGGTCGAGACTTTTTCATCTTGTCCCCAATACAAGATAGTGCTTACTTCTACCCTCCATAATTTAAACATGATCCGAACAATAAAATTCGGACCCAGGGCCCTGAAACCACGATACTTTAAGACTACTTTGCGATAAAAAAATTTGTATGGAAACTATCGACATCTTGTAGCGGATCCCCCTAAACTTATATGTTGTTAAAGTTAAGGCATTTAATTATTGTATAACTAAACGCAGAAAATAAAAAGTTAATAAATCATACAAGACTTTATTTGTTATAGACAAATTGATTAAATTTTATCAGTTAGTGGTTTCTGAAAATTTACAAAGTCCTTCATTAAAAATAAAATATAGGATAGGTTATAATATGTTACTGCCATCTACAGGAGCAATGAGAAACTAATCGAAGCGAAGCCATCTAGTGACCGACGCCCGTAAACATTTTTGTTGAGTGCTTGAGTTGCTTATCTATAACTAATTTACGTGTATTTTTTTTATTGCTTAGATGGTTGGGCGAGCTCACAGCCCACCTGGTGTTAAGTGGTTACTGAAGCCCATAGACATCTAAAACGTAAATGCGCCACCCACCTTGAGATAAGTTCTAAAGTCTCAAGTATAGTTACAACGGCTGCCCCCCTTCAAACCGAAACGCATTACTGCTTCACGGCAGAAATAGGCAGGGTGGTGGTACCTACCCGCGCGGACTTACAGGAGGTCCTGCCACCAGTAAAGTAGTTAGTCGTAGATATAATTAAACCACATTTGCGATTTGATTACATAAACTTCGAAGCTTCAAAATAAGATGTTAATCAAAAAACCGCAAAATTAAACAGTATAATTAGGTGATTTTGAATCATAAAAAACAAATTCATGACACAAGTTTAATGTACCTAATTACCGTTTATTTCATTACTGACATCACTTCCGTTTTATTGACACTGTCGACCCGTTTATACTATCGAAGGAAACGCAAACACAGGTCGAATACATTACTCAAATCAGTGTGCTTAGTGCGAGTTTTTTAACGTTCTCCATAGCGTAAAAGTTAGCTCATATCTGTATAGAATGGGATCGTTTGCGTACGTTTGCCGCTAGGGGCGCTGTTCCAACTGCATACAAAATTGGCTTAACTTTTGCGCTATCGAGAACATTAAGAAGCTCACACTAAGCACACAGAGCACAAATCCACAGTTATCAGAAACTTCGGCACAGAGCATCCTAAAATATCTACGTACAAACTAGACTTACGTTTTACGCGCGTAAATTTTTCATACGGTGTGCTTAGTACGAGTTTTTTAACGTTCTCGATAGCGTAAAAGTTAACTCCAATTTGTATGGAATTGGAACAGCGCCCCCACGTTTGCCACTAGAAGTTAAAAAAACTCCAACTGAGGACATTAAATTCGCGATCGGCTTGCAACCTGAATCAAATAGATACTTATACTAAATTTTATGAAAGGTTTTTTTATTAACACTACACATACCATATCGGGTCAAATGACCCATTCTGAACTTTTGCATTGAAAATGCACGTATCATTTTATTGCTTTTGTACATTTCATTTCATTACCTTATTCTTACCAATTAATCTATAGTTATTATACTTTTTTGTTTTCTTTTGTTTGTTTTGAGTATACCTACCGTTATCTACCTGTTATGGTAGAAATAGGTATCAGTAAATGTTGGTATGATTAGTGTTAATGCATATCAGGCGAACGACCTCACGATAGCCGCTATTCCCGGCGAATTTCATGTTCCATCTTGAAACATGAGGTGCTACTCTCAATTTTATAGTAGGTACATACAACCAACCTTGAAACCGGAACCCATCTATATGCCCATGCGAACTCACAAGTAAAGATGAAGCGTATTTACGCTACCAGGTTTTAAAACCAGGTTTTCAGTTTGAAGTACGGCATTGTAGAGCCGCGGGGAATTACATACCCGATCCTGTAGACCGAATGGTAAACAGTCGACGTCGTCCTAAACACGTCATTACAGATCCTTCTGATCCATTAATGGTGCTTTTAGGTACCACAAGCACCGGTCACCGTCCTCGCCGGACCCGTCGCTTGCGGCGAAGGGCTTGACGAGTGAATAACCCATAGACACAGATTCTCCGATCCGGCGGTAGATTCTGCGAAGCACTGCTCTCGCTAGGGCCAGTGTTAGCAACACTCCCGGTTTGAGTCCTGTGAACTCACCTACACGTCAAGGAGAAGCTAAAATAGCCTCACAAGGCTATCAGCATAGGTAGGAAAAAGAAAAAAAGAAGTACGGCGCCCTGGTAGGAGAAAAAATACTTGTAACTATAAAAGTATATGAGCTTAAGTCGGATGCTCAAAAAACTTTAACACTCACATGAAAATACTGCATAGGAAAATGATTCATATCTTATTAGAAATAAAAAACACAACCGGATTTGTGAATAAAAAAATACTTTGTGCTTCAAAGTATTTTTTTATTTATACGATTTTGCTCCATAACGGTCATGGAATACGGATAGAATATGTTTTTTTATTCATTCCAATTCATTTTAATTTCCAGGTCTAGTCAAGCTCGGGGTACATTGCGTGACGGGAAAGAAAGTGGCCATCAAGATTATAAACAGAGAGAAACTCAGCGAATCTGTGTTGACGAAGGTTAGTTTTCGATTACCTAATTTGGTAAGCAATAAGGTATAAAGTCTAATAACGGCTTAGTAGTTAGTGAAAAGTTCAAAAGAATTTCTATGAAGCTCTCAACTTCGTGATTACAACCATTGATATTATCAACGAATAAAAATCGCCGGTCTCATCAGAAGGAAAAACTTTCAATTGATACACCGCCATCTATTGGCTGTTTAGTAAACAGTTACATATTCAATTTATATTCACATAGTCCGTTACTAGTTGTCGCTAATTATCGATCACACTGATTTTCTTCATTTGGTTTCTAATTAAACTAATACCATACTTTTGTTGTACATTTCAGGTCGAAAGGGAAATAGCCATAATGAAATTAATTGAGCATCCCCACGTGCTCGGACTGTCCGACGTTTATGAAAATAAGAAATATTTGTAAGTACTTATTTCATCGGACGATATACTGTATTAACAGCTTAAGCGCGGAATCTTAAACGCGTTGTCAGCATTTTCCATGCGGTGCCTTATGTAAGTATAGTTCTTTAGCGTGTGGAAGCTCTAAAATCGATTAGAGCAGGAAAGTAATAAATATCGACGGGTGAAAGGTTATTTGGCTTAAGCGACATTTTGCTTAATACGCAACTTTTATCTTTGTAATTAAAAGTCCGTTTTATTTGGTATTAACATCAACAATTCGATTTAGCTGAAGAATTTTTGTTGTTACGAGATATTAGTTTCCAAATTTTAAACTTTAAGTGGCTCTCCTGTAAAGTTGCTTTTTTTTTCCTACCTAAGCTGGTAGCCTTGAGAGGCTATTCCAGCGTAACCGTAACTAGTAGGTGAGCTCACGGGGCTCAAACCTGATGACGTCGCTAACATGAACCCTAGCAAGAGCCGTGTTTCGCAGAATCTACCACCTGATCGGAATCGCGACCCACTGAGAAGATCCGGCGAGAAACTCAGTGGGCTGTGTCTGAGGGTTAATTTACTCTTCGAGCCCTTCGTCGCAAGCGACGGGTTCAACGGGAACGGTGACCGGTGCTTGAGGTACTTAAAAGCACCGTTAGTGGATCGGGAGGAGTAAAGTTGCAAAAATGAGGAGGGGGACGTATCATTAGAAAAAAATCGGTAGCTGTCTGCGGGATTCGAACACCGGCATACCTGTCTCGCTCGATACAAACGCACAGGCCGTCTTATCCTTTAGGCCACGACGCGTATAGAGTAATTTATAGTACTCTGTCGCTTGGAATAGGTAGTGGAATGACTGATATTTTCGCTTCGCAGGTATCTAGTTTTAGAGCACGTAAGCGGAGGCGAGCTGTTCGACTACTTAGTGAAGAAGGGCCGACTCACGCCAAAAGAGGCTCGGAGATTTTTCAGACAAATTATATCGGCACTAGATTTCTGTCATAGTCACTCGATTTGGTGAGTCATCGACGTTTTTACGATTATTTTTTTAATACACAAAAATAATTCCTATTTACGACAAGAGATAGCGTTAGTAGTTCTTAAATTTTAAAATTAGCTAAGATGATAAGACGTCAGGCCATATTCTCAACTACCTAATGACGGGTTCATTAGGTAGTTGAGAATATGATTCAAAGAACTTTTCTTAATAAAGCAAAAAAAACCTTTGGAAAACGAATACAAAAGCCGAAAATTGCATTTTGCATACTCCATATCTTCCACCTACTGAAACTTAAAGCCCGTCAAGCGAAACGTTTTGGTATCGGACAGAGTTACAAATATATAGAAACAGCGCCATCTATTTATGAGGGTTCTTTTTTTTAAATATTTTCATTGCTTAGATGGGTGGACGAGCTCACCTGGTGTTAAGTGGTTACTGTAGCCCATAGACATCTACAACGTAAATGCGCCAACCACCTTTGAGATATAAGTTCTTAGGTCTCCGTATAGTTACAACTGCCCCACCCTTCAAACCGAAACGCATTACTGCTTCACGGCAGAAATAGGCAGGGCCGTGGTACCTACCCGTGCGGACTCACAAGAGGTCCTACCACCAGTAATTACGCAAATTATAATTTTACGGGTTTGATTTTTATTACACGATGTTATTCCTTTACCGTGGAAATCAATCTTGATCATTTGTCAAGTACGTATTTCGTTAGAAAAATTGGTACCCGCCTGCGGGATTCGAACACCGGTGCATCGCTACATACGAATGCACCGGACGTCTTATCCTTTAGGCCACGACGACTTCGCATAGAGGTTATTACCTTTTTTTTTCCTCTTCAGCCACAGGGACTTAAAGCCGGAGAACTTGCTCCTAGACGAACGGAACAACATCAAGATTGCAGATTTCGGGATGGCCTCCCTCCAGCCGGCCGGGTCGCTGCTGGAAACTTCTTGCGGGAGTCCGCACTACGCTTGTCCCGAGGTCATACGGGTAAGTCCTCTGAAGAATTCCACAATGCGAATTACGAAGTCGTTTCCGTACTGTTACGCGCTGAGGGTTCGGGATAAATAAATTTTAACCAAATTACAACTTAAAACACTTAAACACTTCATAAACACTCAAATTCGCTTGTTCCGCTTCGCTTCTGGTGATCCGTTCGCTGTTTCGCTTCGAGTAGTTCTGATTAATGACTGATTGCGTGCTATCTCTACAACGCTTTTATAGCCGATACCTCGTCTCTAGAATTATCGAGAATATTCCATACATCTCTAGTCGTAGTTTCCGCTATCTGTCAATAGATGGCGTTGTGCTTCTCGAGCGTATTAAGTGCTTCTAGGTCCTTCGATATTCGTTCGACTATTCGGCGATAGACGGCGTTACTCTTACCGGCGTTACTCTTACCGGCGTAACAGTACTTATTAACTTCAATTCAAAGTTCGCGGTTCGAGGGGCTCTATTTTATACGCAATTATCATAGAAAAACGGGCCCCGATGATAGGGGTCGGTTATAAACTAGAGGCTCACGTGAATCGCGCTAAGGAAATATAGAAGATCAACTTTGTTATAAAACTTTTTATATAAAATCTTCATTCTTTTCTTTCTTTCCTATTGCCCTCTGCTGTGGTGTAGGACTCGTATCAAATCCTTCCATTTGCATCGGTCTTGGGCAGTCTGTTCTATCTCCTCCCAGGTCATGCCCCAATATGTCCTGTTCCTTATAGATAATACATAAAAAAATAATGCCGTATTGATTAATAATATAATCTTGAAAACTCTCACCTTTCGTAATTGCTCATTAAATGTATGTCGCAAACTACGTTTTAAATATGATTTTTGCGTTTTTGTCTGATATTTCGTAGAGATAACAAATATAACACGATTATACAGCAATTTTTCATCAAATCTGTCTCCTGAGTAGACCCGTCAAACAATTAGCAATTTCCGAACGACATTCAAATCTTCAGCCTAATATAAGTGAATTAAAAAAAAAAACTATTGGCGCGTAAAGCTCTAACCTCTAACGTCAAACACTTGAACCAACCAATGAAATTTTCCAAAACAAATTCGTCTCACACAAACACAACTGCCCGATGGAATTAATAAAGAAATTGATTCGTTGAATCAAGACTTCCTTCAACTGGTTAATTGATTCGCTGTGAACGGCGGGCAATCTAGTCGTCTTGTCTTTATATTAACGTTGCCACTATAATTGTAGCTACTTTTATAATTGTAGCTACTTTTATATTTGAATCTCACTATAAACTTAATTTTAATTTGATTATTTCTGACGCTTTGAATACTTTACAGGTTTCGTGATCACGGAAAAGTACAGTAAAAGTACTTTTAATTATGTCTATGACGAAAGTACTAGGTGTATTAACAAATAAGAATTTTATTATAAGACCTAATTCTACCTTTAATATACAGAGTATATTATTATGGTTTGCCTGATCATTATATCATATGACTATAAAAATCATCCCTTCATGGTTTCCCGTCCCATATAAATTACTGCTTCTATAACAATGCATGAAAAATCAAGGTTTTTTTATTAAACTTGAAACTAGGATTTTTAAACGGAGTCGAACTTAAAAAATAAACGGAAGCTATTAATAATCTGTACACATTAAGCTTCCGGTTAATTATGATGACTCTTCCGGTCCTTATCATAATGTAGCTAATATGACCGTTATCTATTCATTAATGTAGGTACATTAGTTGTTGCTAGTTAGGGAGGCAGTGAGATTGGAATCCGTAGTTTGATAGAAAGAATGAGTTAGCAAAAAAAAACATTATAATGAACCATAGTCGATATTCAATTAAAATTTAAATACAAAATTAAAATTTCTTTATATTTTTCATTTCTTAAGCCGCAAAGAAAACGAGACTGTATTTCAGGCTAGATTCTCCATCCAAAAGCTGACAGTTTTTCTCATGATTAAAACTAGCTTTACTGTGCAGGGAAAAAGACGAAATCTATCATCATTTTGTTCGGTTTTCGGAGACTGAGACTTGTCAATTGGTTATGGAGAATCATCATCTTAATGGACTAGATATTATAATATAATCAGACGAAGTCAATTATGCAGTTGTTCCAGTATTGAAAGATAAGGAAGGCAAAGAGCCACAGACAATGTTAACATAAAAAAAAACCACTTCAATAATGTTCGAACATTTATTACACGTATAACAAAACACCCCCGAAAACCTTAAAATTAATATAAATACAGAGCCCTTGCTAAATTCAATAACGAGTAAACGAAAAAACTGCAGATTGTATTTTGCGCTAAGGTTCTTTATGTATCTACAATCGTATGTATACTGTTTTGGAAATATTAATGTTCACAGTCGTGTCTTAATGAAATAACACTTTGAGAAGATGGCACGACACGAAAACCCTCTTGTCGTGGCCGCCGGAAATTACAAACCCGATCCTGTAGACCGAATGGTAAACAGTGGACGTCGCCCAAAACACGTCATTACGGATCTTCCCGATCCATTACCAGTGCTTTTACGTACCTCAAGCACCGATCACCGTCCTCGCCGAACCCGTCGCTTGCGACGAAGGGCTCGACGAGTCAATTAAACTCAAGCCGAGTGTTGCTAACACTGGCCCTAGCAAGAGCAGTGCTTCGCAGAATCTACCACCGGATCGGAAACACGACCCACTGAGAAGATTCGGCGAGTAACTCAGTGGACTGTGTCTATGGGTTAGTTCGCTCATCGAAGTCTTCGTCGTGATCAACGAGGACGATGACCAGTGCTTGAGGGTCCTAAAAGCACCGACAGTGAATCCGGGGGATCCGACAAGACATATTTCGGGCGACGGCGGCTTTGCGTTGCCCCGAAATTTTATGCAGATTAATTTTGATCAGAAATTTTATGCAGATTAATTTTGTATAACTCGTATACTACAAAACTAGTGACAAAAAAAATATATAGTACATTTTAAAAGAACACACTTCCCTGTTATGCAATAAAAGGCGAATACACAAAAACAAACGCATTTATTTCTATTTTAATATATAAATTGATATTAACTAGCAGATCTAAGTATATGAGTAGTTTAAGTACATACTGTTGCTATTAACATAACGAGATGAATGTACGCCATTTAATACATTGGGCGAACCGGTCCTAAAGTTAAGAACATCCTGGTAATACAAAAAAAAAACAGGTCACCAAGACAGTATGAAAAACGCTCACAAAAACCCAAACCCAAACCAGGTCTATTTTATAACGAAATTTGATTTTTCGGATTGCCTTCGTATCAAAAGCATCAGCTGACGGGCCAGGTTAATGACCTCGAGGGGACGGGCGTGGGACAACTACCTTCAAATTATGCCGACTTATGAAATATTAATTAACCGTAACGACATTGTATTTCAATATGCAATTTCGAAAAGGGTACATGTCCCATATTTTGTCAAATACGTTTTTTCATAAACATGTAGTTTTGAGGCTTACCTACACCCATTTTATAATAATTCCAGTAATTTTCAATTGCTAATTAACACTAAAAAATATATCTCAAAAGTTAATATTTTAAATGTTACACTGCTTTAGAAAATAATCAATTTTTTTTCATTTCCTGAACATTTTACATTTTCAGAGATGTGCCCTTTTCGAAATTTCATAATTATTTATATTTCAGTGTTTACCATTTGTATAGCAAATAAAGTTTTAAGTAAGGTTAATGATTTTGTAATAATATTCAAATTTCTATTGGCAAAATATGTCTTAGTGACATCTCGATCTGTCTTGGTTCAGAATCCTGGGATTAAGTGAAAGACCTACCATCAGTGCCAACACGATGGTAAACAGCCATAATGTTACTAAAACCCTAACATCAAGGAATGTCATAAGCTATCAAATAATTATGTTAGTAAGTATTACAATATAATGGTACATTTTATGAGCAAATATACAATCACAGAATGTATTTTAAGTATATGTTCAAAAATAACATTGAGAATGTCTTGGAAAAGAAAAAAATTCACTTAATCTGTCACTGGCCACTTTTGAGTCAGTTGAAAATAGAAAGCATAAAAAAGATCATTTGAAAGTCACAAGTTCTAGATTCTACTAGAATTACAATCATGATAATAATCAGGAATGTAGGTAGTTTAACTTTTTTACATATTCAATGATTTTGAATGAAAATTCCTACCAAACCTCAATTTAATAATTATATTAAGAAATCCAACAAGTTTTATGCACCACAAAAACATATTTATATTCTTCCACTTATTTCACTTTACCTGATCACGTCCAAGATCATTCGTCATCAACTCTCTGCTTCTTACTGGTGTTTGATGGTGTTTGTGGTGGTGAAGATGCGGTGTCTCTCCTCTTGCCGGAATGTCTAGCACAGCTATTGCTGGACAATCTCTGCGATTCCCTTGTCGGAGAAAACTGTTTTAGCATTTCAACATCATTAAATATAACTTGAGCTCCTCCCCCGCAGGTGGGTACAACATCACCTTTGTACAGTTTCGTCTCCAATTCACCATCAGTATCTTGCTCTTGCGATATAAGACAGTATTTTGACGTTTTCGAATTGGCAATGTCTTTGACTGTTGTCAGTTTATTAACGATTTTGCTATTCGTCATGCTTGGCTTCATGACTGTGCCCATTGGGACTAGCTTGTTAGGTGCGTGTTCCACCCAGCCTCGACCATCAGCTGACAATGACCGTCTATGGCGTGGATTCGCTACAGCGACCCCTCTTCTGGATGTTGGTGTGTCGCGTGATTGTGGAGCTGAACTGAATGGGGTCAAGAGGTGTGCGGGTAGAGCTCTCGGTGTGGAGCCCGGTGTAAAATGACTGGTCTGAGCACCGATTTCAGTTGTGGAGCGCGGATAATCAAAGTTGTCTCCTCTGTCAGCCATATCAACATTTAACGCTTCTTTGACTTTACGTAAACAGTTTTCTTTTTCCTCTACTGCATTTCTTAATCTTTCCTTTTCTGTGTTTATTTCTTTGGCCTTCTCCTGTTCAGCGGCAATCTTGTGGTTGTATTTTCTTTCAAGGATCTTTTTCTGCTTTTCTTTCTCAAACTTATTCTGGTTGAGCAAATATTCTTTTTCCTGAAGATCTCTTTTTAAAGATGACGTGTATTCAGTCATTTCTGCCAATTTTCTTTGGTGAGTGAGAGACGCATTTTCTGTGGCTGTCAAGCGTTCTTCTAAAGCTCGGATCCTGCGTTCAGAGGCTGCCAGCTGTCCCCTTAATGATGAGTTTTCACTTCTCACTTCTAATGATTCTTTTTCAAGATCCAACAGGGCCGACCTCAGCCTTTCATCCTTCACTGCCTTACTTCTTTTAAGTGTTTCTCTACGACTGATTCTCATTTCTAAATGTGCCATCAGTTCCTTAATTATATGGGCAGCTTGAGAGCTATTCAGTTCCAAGCTTGGGAAGTCTGGCCCAAGGCTGTATACCAAACCTAGATCTAAGTCCAAATCTTTAGCCTCCGGTCTCGCCATATTGTCACGAGCTGTTGTGAAGAGTCTATTAGCCTTTCTGCGGCCAGACATCAAACCTATTGTTGTAGCTACATCTATGACCTGGGGTTTAGCAACTTCAACTTCTGCTGCCATCTCAGCAAATCTCATCACTTGAAGGGTTTCATCATAATCTTCAGCTCTTGGATTTGCACAGACTATCATCCTTACTTGACCTTCACCTTCAAAGAAATTTTTGAAGAGATGAGTAATTTTAGACTCTCTATAGGGCACCATGTTATTGGCACCGTTAATTTGATTTTCTCTCAACGCTTCTAAGCATGTTCTAAGAGTCATCAATGACTTGTTAATATTCCCGGCTTCTCTTAGTCTTTGTCCTGTGTTTTTGGTTCGGTTAGTTCTTTCACTACCAGCTAAATCAACAAGACTCAGTTGACTAATATTCAAGAACTTTTTATTTTGTATCACAGCTTCTCCCATCTCGTCAACTGGTGCCTGCACTAATCGTATCGTGAACACTGAGTGACTTCGGCTTGATTCTGCGTTCAGAGTCGTGTGAGCCATTCGTTTCCGTTTCAAACCTAGATAGAAAGCATCAAAGGCATCCTCAGCTGACTTAATCTCGATTTCAGTAACCCCGTGGACGTACATATTATGGGCTGCATCTTCTCTTATTATCTTCACTGGAAGGTTCCTGCTGATCGGAGGACCATCTTCTAACAAGTCAAAAACACTGTTATTGTAGATTTCTACGTATGTAACGAACACAGCATACTGATTGTCTTCATTGATACCTTCGACTTTCGTTATATCCGTGGATGCCATAGCTAAATCCGGGTTCGAATTATTTTTCTTCCCAGTTTTGAATTTGTGAAGTTCCTGTTGCCTCTCTAGCATGGCCTCCGCTTCGTTTTGAATATCGAACATGTTCATTTTGTCCGGTTTGAACACATATTTGTGAGCTTGGAAATCGTTGATCGTTTTGAAAATAATATTCAAACATCGTGGTAATATCCCGCAGTTCTGGGGCTCGCCGGTCATCGTGAACGTTTTCCCGCTGCCAGTGACCCCGTAGGTGAATAACAAGCCGTTTTTACCTTTAATCAAGCCTTCGACTAACGGCAGTGAGACTTTATCGAAAACTTCTTGCTGTGACGCTTCCGGCGGGAAAATCTCTTTGAATGTGTATTTCATGGTTTTGCTGCCTTCATTTCTGTAGCTTAACGCCGTTGCTGGCGGCGTTAGGAGTAATGTGGTTGGTGNCCCGCTGCCAGTGACCCCGTAGGTGAATAACAAGCCGTTTTTACCTTTAATCAAGCCTTCGACTAACGGCAGTGAGACTTTATCGAAAACTTCTTGCTGTGACGCTTCCGGCGGGAAAATCTCTTTGAATGTGTATTTCATGGTTTTGCTGCCTTCATTTCTGTAGCTTAACGCCGTTGCTGGCGGCGTTAGGAGTAATGTGGTTGGTGATATAATCTTCATACACGACACATCACTTTCTCTTTGCATGGGGCGAAGTCTACAGTAGACTTGTACAGGATCGCGGTCCTGAGCGAGATTTTGTTTACTACGCGCCGGCGTTCGCATCTCGTTTAATCTCTGTTTCGATTTAACGGACTTCATTTTTGTTATATTTTATCGTCACATATAATATTTAAATATTTCGGTTGAATATCGCTTCAACGACTTTCAATAAATCAAAGCAACGGTCTCTGAACGGCCGTTCATGAAATATCAATATTAACTGACTAATTTAAAATCAACTCATTTGCTGTCACTTTTTAATAATGGCAGTAAAAATTATACGAAAGGATACCAAGGTCGTTTAGCGGAAACACCATTTGAGTTTGGTCGTATTATATCTACCCGTTTCTTTTTAAAGTTTTGACATTTTTGTTACTAATGATACCAGCTAATAGATTGATTTTTCCTGAAGCAACATAAATAAATGGAAAAGTGTTGGACGGTTAAATTTGAGGGGATTGGGTTTTGTAGGTGAGGGGCTATTTAAAAACACTGCTTCATGGTTAAATATATTACAAACACTTTGTACACTATTACCCCATTGCAATATGTATTTTATTTTTATAAAGCCCTAAGATGTTGCACTGTCCGTGTCTAGACATCAGTCTTCGTCATGACTGAAGAGAAGACAATCCTCTGTTTTAAATATTTAAATAAGCATTCCAACATTCGAAAACTGTTACTTCACATGTGACAAGTGTTGTCTGCCATTACCTACATATTCAAACTCGAACAAAAAGTCTGCAAGTTGAATTTTTCTCTAAGGATGTGAACATGTGAACCAGTCTCACTAGGCCTGGTCTGCTAGATTTATTTGAACTAAAACGTCGTTTTATTTTGCATAGACGATTGGATGAGCTTAGAGCCCAGCTAGTAAAAATTTACTGGAGGGAAACCATAAATATCAAAATGTAAATATGGCCACTGACCTTGAGATGTTCGATCTAGGTCTCGATTGCGATATAAAGCGGCTAACCAATAAAACCGAAACGCATTACTTCTACGTGTCAGAAATATGCTGGTTGTTGGGCGTAACCACTCTGGGTTACGAGAGATCCTAATACCAGAAATTCTGTAAATTATTACTGTTGCAGGCTTAATTTTTATTGCATAATGTTTTCCTTCAACGTGAAATCCATTCGTAGGCATGAGCTGAGTACGTATTTCGCTTAAAAAATCAGTACCCGTCTCTAAGATTTGTACACTGACATAGTAAGATAGCTCGATGTGAGTACATTGAGTACTTTATCCTTTACACTATGTCAATATTAAAAGCTAAGTATATACACGCCTGTGTGTTTGCCGCTAACACATTATTTTTAATAACCGTATTGCTACTCTATCTATCTGCAGTTGTATTGCTTCACTACTTTCCCACATTTAACGGAACACTCACCCTTATTCTGTTTTGCAAAGTTTTTTTTTTACTTTATTTTGAGAATTCCCAAATTTCAGGGACTTTTCTTATTATTCTTGAGTGGTCACCATGATTGGCAGTTCTGCCAACATAATTAATGGAATAAAAATCTTTTCGTTCTACGTAATATTAAATCGATCCGTTCATAAGCATTGCTATCATAGAATTATTGCATACAACACTTACATCATTATTTTTTTAACAATATGTTGGAACTTAAAAAATCTTTTTTAAAGTGTACTTCTAAATCAATTCCAAATTAATTAATAAAAAACTGCCCAGTTTGAAGTTTATTATAACAAAGAATGGAACGTTTCCGCTGTCAAAGTTCGTAAACAAAACAAATTATGAAAATGTATGTAAACAAACAATGCATCGTTTAGAAATGAAAACTGTTGCTCACGAAATGGATGAAATTCATTTCAGGGTGAGAAATACGATGGTCGGAGGGCGGACGTGTGGTCGTGCGGTGTCATCTTGTATGCACTTCTCGTCGGTGCGCTGCCTTTTGACGATGATAATTTACGTCAATTACTTGAAAAGGTAAAGGGTTCTCGGTATGGATCGGCGAACGATTCCACGTAATTAAAGTGTACTTTCAAAATATTTATTAAAGCTATGTGTATATCCGGTAACACGAATCCAGTTAAATAATTACAGATTTGTTATAGCATGTTAGGTAAAGGTGAAATTAATTTTCCAAGGAAATGCAAAATATAACAAAGTCAACATCATTAGTACAAAATCAATAGAATAACAAGCTTAAATTTAATCAACTGACCCGAAGCATTGGAATTGAAATTTTATATGAATAAAAAAAACATTTTCTTAAAATAAATTTATGTATGAAAATCTATTGTATAATTTACTATACATCCTTATTTGATTCAAGGTGAAACGAGGAGTGTTTCACGTGCCGCACTTTGTACCACCTGACTGCCAACAACTACTGCGTGGAATGATAGAAGTGAATCCAGAGAAGAGAATGACTGTAAGTTATTTTTTTATGCTTTCCTTTTACGGATTCCGGAATTCCGGAATCCGCGAATAGTGAAAACCCTGATTGAAGGAAGCGTGAATAAGGAGCTCTTACTGTACTAAAACATTGACACTGGCATTCATATTATGATATCCATCATTTCTGGTAGCCGTACAACATTAAGCTGTAAACTCGTTAAACCTGAAGACATACATTATGATATGGGTGGATGATAGGACTGAAATTGTCTTCACAACATTTCCAGTTGGCAGAGATAACGAGACATCCATGGGTAACTGCTGGCGGACGAGGAGAACTCGAACAAGAGTTGCCGATGATGGAAGTTGTCCAAACCAGAGTACTGCCTTCAGCTGATGCTGTCGATCCTGATGTTTTACAGGTAACATAGTTCATCCGCATTACTTAGATATGACTTTATTAATCAGTGCAGAACAGGCTGCCAGAAGATTACTGGTGGTAGTCTTGTGAGTCTGTACTGGTAGGTACCACCACCCTTTCTATTTCTCCCGTGAAGCACTAATGCGTTTCGGTTTGGAGGGCGGGGCAACCGTTGTAACTATACTGAGACCTTAGAACTTACATCTCAAGGTGGGTGGCGCATTTACGTTGTAGATATCTACGGGCTCCAGTAACCACTTAACACCAGGTGGGCTGTGAGCTCGGCCACCCATCTAAGCAATAAAAAAAAAACATACCTCATAGATGGCGCTGTGTTAAAAATACTAACGTTTCACATAAGCTACAATTTAATGGCATAACCACCACGTGTTGCTGAGGCTAAAGTATAAGTGAAATCATAGATTATACACTTCATATTTGAGAAATGAAATTTATTTCGTAGTAAACGCAATACAGTGAAATCCTATTGTTCTTACTCTGTTAATTTTTGGTATTAGCATAGCCGGCCACGTGTTATTTAGAAACAAAAACCTTTGCCACAGCAACGTGTGGCCGGGTCTGCTAGTATACATATATATTTGATGATTGAATAATTTCAATATACATCAGTACTATTCGATTTATTGTCCACAGGCAATGTGCAGCTTAGGTTGTTTCAAGCAAAGGGAGAAGCTGGTGCAAGAACTTTTAAGTCCGCAGTGAGTTATCCCACATTTTTATGGCATGGTTTTTTTTCTTTCAGAACTTTAACCGACACTGGGTCTTTAAAGTCAATCTCCAGGTAGACCATAGACAAACCATAGACGCGATCCGAAATTTAATACTTTCAAGCAAGACCATTAAGTCTCTGATTGGGTCGATTATAAGCAGATGAAGCAGACCAGGTCTTCGGTATTACCAACGCCAAGGTTAATTTTTAGGGCGTAACGACCGTTACCGCTCAAGCCACTAGTTTTAGGGTTGGAAGGGAAGGGATCTTCCACCGACTTCCGACGCTCAGAATCTTTCAGAACTTGTATATATGCAAGCTCATGTTGAAAGTTCCGTCAGCGATGTTCAGGCGTCTCTCAAATGTCTTATGTTCTATAAAGGTTATCGTCACATAGTCATAGCTTTTAACTAAATAAAGTAATATTCCCCCCTCGTAAGAAGTCTTTCTTTAAAACCTTTATGTTGACTGGAACTCATGGGTACAACGCAAATGCTCTTATGATGAGAAGGCTTTTAATGAGGCCGTGTGCGGTGGAACAACTGATGTCCTTGGACACTGCGTACACAACTATCGCAGATATTCAAGGCTGGAACTAGAAGGAGACGCGAATCAGAACATTAAAGCCATTAAAGCCATTTAAGAGTATTAGCCATTAAAGAGTAGCTCATCTGCTCACTAGCTGACTTACAATCTTTCTCCAATCTCTTTTCATTCGCTTAGTCACAACACGGAGAAGGTTATATACTTTTTGCTGCTGGAGCGGAAGCGCAGGCGTCCGGCGCGCGAGGACGAGGCCCGGCCTCCGCCCCCCGCCGCGCCACCCGCCCCCGCCGCCGCCCCTGACCCCCCGCGGAAACGACTCGACACCTGTCGGGTCAGTAAAGCCACACGCACACACAATCCATTCCCAGACCCTGACTCGAGAACTTCTCAGTGGATCGCGTTTCCGAGCCGGTGGTAGATTCTGCGAAGCACTGCTCTTGCTAGGGCCAGTGTCAGCAACACTTCCGGTTTGAGCCCCGTGAACTCACCTACTCGCCCGGCTACGCTGACATAGCCTCTCAAGGCTATCTATCAGCTTAGGTAGGAAATAGGATACTAAGAGACAAAATCATTAAAAAGTCACCATTTGAAAGCCTTATGAAATGACCTTAGTCTATATTCTAGGGAGTTCTTCATTTTGGCAAAACAATGAAAGAACTGATGATACACGCGGTGCTTTGTCTCTGTGCAAAGGAAAGTTAATATTGAAAACAAAGGTGGGCTTTAGTTGATGCGATTAACTCATAGACACAGCCCACTGTGCCAATGGCTGAGTCAATAATTCACACACACTTATTTAAGTCGGAGCTGATAATCGCCTTCTCTCTGCCGTCGCTGACTACTCCCCGAATCCCGATCGCGCAAGGAGCCCAGTCACCGTCGACGCCCAAGACACGTCCTTACGGATCCTTCAGATCCAATAACCCTTGCATTAGACGCCTTCAGCTCCAACACTAAGAGCAGGCTGAGGAACCCCGGTAACCGTACTCGTCGAAGTCGACAAAGAGGTCGACGTGCAACCTAACCCATGCATCAGCCCGCTGAGTTTCTCGCCGGATCTTCTAAGCGGGTCGCGATTCCGATCCGGTAGTAGATTCATTCGCGAAGCAGCTGCTCTTGAGTTGTTAGGTCTCCTTCGGAGGCGCTCGGGCAGCTGTTAGCAAATCCCACCCCTCCTGGCTGAGCCTTTGCTCGCCCACCTGTCCTGGTGAAACTGGAAAGGCCTCCGGGCCAAAAAATAATATCTAATCAAGTAGGAGCTGAATCTTTATGATGATTTGTACAGTTCCTAATTAATATCGGGTACCTTTGCATATGGTGTGAATTGTGTTGTTACAAAATTAAATTAAATTAATTTATTAAACGTGTGTTCCTGGTTTGTGAATTTTAACAACATCGTTTATATTGTATTATATTTGTATACAACGCGTTATATGGGCGTCATACGTGCGCGTTATGCGACGATACTCCTACAGCGCGTTTCCTATAACGCGGAACCAATCAACCGTGTTATAGGTGGAATTTTTGAATATAACCTTTTCGCTATATAAACATCAACAGGTGAACGGACAGTCTGTTCATTTCGGGCAGATTAGTGAGGGATCGCCCATCACTCCGAGAAGGTCTCAGTTGAGGTAAGTTTCTTCTGGTATTATTATTATTTGACTCGCATTCAAACTGGTGTCCTCTATATTCCGACACGCCGTCAAATTTAGCCTTAAACTACGATTGCCTGCAAGATATACAAACATACATAAATCTATACTTCTATACTAATATTCTTGTCATGGCCGCTGGAAACTACATACCGGATCCTGTAGACCGAATGGTAAACAGTCGACGTCGCCCAAAGCACGTCATTACGGATCCTCCCGATCAATTGACGGTGCTTTTAGGCACCACAAGCACCGGTCACCGTCCTCGTCAACCCGTCGCTTGCGACGAAGAGCTGGACGAGCGAATTAACCCACAGACACAGCCCACTGAGTTTCTCGCCGGATCTTCTTAGTGGGTCGCGTTTCCGATCCGATGGTAGATTCTACGAAGGTTAGCAACACTCCGGTTTGAGCCCCGTGAGCTTACCTACACACGTTAGGGTGAAGCTGAAATAGCTTCTCATGGCTATCAGCATAGGTAGGAAAAAAAAAAATACTAATATATAAATCTACAGTGGTTTTTACGGAAGTTCCGTTATAACTACTGAACCGTGCATCCGATTGACTTGAGACTTGGTATCCATGTAGAAAATACATGTACTTAATGGATAGGCTAATATTTATATGAGTGTTGGACTCCCTATACCAGTTGCGGCGGCGTTAATGATGAGAATCTTTGTGGGGGTGAGAACTAATAATGTTAGTTTTAAATGCCCAGCGAAGCGGACGGCTACAGCTAGTAAATAAATTATAATAAATAAATATTTACTAACAATCACGCCACGGTAACTGGTCCCTTGCTAAGTTCGTAAAGAACTTGTGTTACAGGTACCAGATAACGGAAATAAATGTAAGATTTTTATTATACACACACATATATTTAAAATATACATCCATAACCCTGGAAAAGACATTTTATATTTATCATACAAATATCTACCCTTGGCGGGATTCGAACCCGCGACTCCCTTGTGTATTGACCATGTCACTTTCCACTACACCAGACGGCCGTATAAATATATAATAAACTAGCGGCCCGCTCCGACTCCGCTCGGGTCTTTAACAAAAATTTCAACGATATTTGACGTGTATAATAGTTAGACATATGCTGTCGCAACACTTTTTGTCAACAATAATGTCTTCTACAAAGTCGTAGTACATTATTTTATTCTATCATCAATAGTTTTCGCAGGGCACGCGAATTAAAGAATATTTTAGGTAATTTTTTTACACCTTGGGTTACATTATTGGAGTTTTAGTAAGGATCCCAATTTTTTTTCAAAAAAGATTTCCATGTCACTCGGGAATAGTGTGGCTTCCAAACAGTGAAAGAATTTTTCAATCGGTTCAGTAGTTTCGGAGCCTATTCAATACAAACAAATAAACAAATCTTTCCTCTTCATAATATTAGTATAGATAACGTTTTATGGACACGAAGACCGAACTCGCGATCCTCGGAACCAGCGTCCGAAGATCCGCTAACCACTTCGCCACAATAACGATCCAATAGATCGATTTAAAAAATTAAACAAACGAAATGTTTCAAGAATGATGCCCGTGGACAGCTACAATGTATACGCTTATCGTCCTACCCTACTTTAGTAGTACAGTTTCGTGTATCCAAACCTTTCGCAATTGGTATACAGGTCATCATCGAGTCGACGTAATGAAGGACGAAGTTCACCGCAGCTGTCTGCCAGCCCACCAGGTATTCAAGATTTCTGATACTCCCTATCACTATCATGAGGCTTTCGAGCTTTTGACGAGCCGTAGTTGCGTTTATACAATAGCAGAGCCGGACTTAAATTAAGCTCTGGCCTGGGGCACAGTTGAAAATGCCCCCACCATCGGTATCTTTACTGGTGGTAAGACCTCTTGTAAGTCCGCAAGGGTAGGTACCACCGCCCTGTCTATTTCCGCCATGAAGCAGTAATGCGTTTCGGTTTGAAGGGTGGGGCAGCCGTTGTAATACTGAGACCTTAGAACTTATTATCTCAAGGTGGGTGGCGTATTTACGTTGTAGATGTATATAGGCTTCAGTAACCACTTAACACCAGGTTGGCTGTGAGCTCGTCCACCCATCTAAGCAATAAAAAAATATGAAATTGAAAAAAAGACACACGAAAAACAAAAACTTATTAACATTGAGCATTAGTCAATGGATACGGATGATTATCTCTTCAAAACAACCGTTGTCGTTTAGGGAAACTCTGATAGAGACAGATATATTGGAGTGTAGTATTTTTACTATTAATAACAAAATTCAGAAGGGTCTATCGAATTAGATCAAACCTTTAAACGTATTCTTTATAGAGGGTAGAGAAGTGAGGAGCACCACCTTAGTGTATTAAAAAGTGTCCGCTAAAACGGAGCCAATTAAGATCAATTGACAGACAAGATACAAGGGAGTCAATTGTCTTTAATAAAAACACTTTTCTTGTCAATTGTACTTAATAATAATACTTTTCTTGTTAATTGTACTTAATAAAAACGCTTTTCTTGTCAATTGTACTTAATAAAACACCAACTCAGTGTGTATTAAAAAGTGTCCGCTAAAAGGGAGCTAATTAAGCTGGCGCCACAGTAGCAAGTGGAAAGATTTAAAAAACGGCGCCATAAACTATTAGAGTAGAACTTCTATTAGACTCCCATTAGACTAGAAGAAAATAAAAATTTCCTATGTAAATAGTTATGATTTTAAATATTGCATACTTTTTAACTAAATAAAGGCACGAAAATAATTAAATTTTCCAATCCAGCACACTTCACTCTGTGTAAAATTGCTATATTCATATCAATTCCACTTTTCAGCTGGCCACACACCACATCGCGTGTCGTCGTTGGGAGGAACGCCGGCAACACCGGGTTCGCCATTAGGTAATTATTATTATTTTAATTCCTATGAACATAAATTATGGCTTAAGTATTTAAATTGGTATATATTAAACTAAATTATTATGTAAGTATATAAATTATGGTCTAAGTCACATTTTTGCAACTTTACAAGAGAGCCATTTGAAGTTTAAACATTTGGAAAAAATATCTTGACAAAAAAAACTTCTTCAACTATTTCAATAACTTAATTGAAGTTCAATTAAAAACATTGAACCGTTGATGCTGATACCGAATAAAACGCGTCTTAAATTATAAAGGTAAAAGTCGCGTGTTAAGCGAAATGTCGGATCAACCAAATATACTTTGACCCCTCGATATAATATGGTGGTTATTTAATGAGATTTATTCAGTACACCCACGTGTAATTGCACTGATGTCGAACACTTATCTCGCCGCGAAACAAATCTTGTAGGGGATTCACTCTCGGTGCTTTTAGGACCCTCAAGCACCGGTCACCGTCCTCGTCGATTACGACGAAGAGTTCGACGAACGAACTAACCCACAGACACAGCCCACTGAGTTTCTCGCCGGATCTTCTCAGTGGGTCATGTTTCCGATCCGGTGGTAGATTCTGCGAAGCACTGCTCTTGCTATGGCTAATGTTAGCAAATTCTCTCAGATTGAGCCTGTGAGCTCGCCTACCCGCCCCAACCTAGCTGGAATAGCCTCATAAGCTACAAGAGAATAAGTAGGGAAAAATGTCATTCAATAAGCCACCGATCTTACACGTTAAACAGACAATATCCACATAAGTTTCGCTTTTTGCATTCCGGCCAAAAAGCCTCAAAGGTTATTGACCTGTCCGATCCCTGTTTTGCATTACGTTGCTTATTCTATTTTGATTGTCATAGCGCGTAATGACAAGGGTGTTGAACCTTCAGGGCGTTGATTTAAAGTTGAGTTTTCGCTGTTCTTATTCTGATGTGAGAACTGCTTTCAGCGTCGCCTTCGGTCCGGGAGCACCACCATCAGAGAGCGAACTCTACTGGACCGACGATCAGCCTCAATATCGGTAAGTGTGAAATTTGTAATGATATGAGGGTATTCGAAAAATAATTTTTAATACATTGCTACTGATGTTTTAGCCGTTTGTTGGAACGGTATATCATGGCATGGCAATATATCTGTCACAAAAACCCATATACGCGGGTAGATACCACCATCCTGCCTATTTGCGCTGCGAATATTTTTGCATAGCCGTTAATTTATACAATAGATATTTAGACTTTATGTCTGAAGTCCGAGGTCGGTATTGATATTCTGTTTTTTTTTTGCTTAGGTATTGCTCAGATGTATGGACGAGCTCACGGCTCACCTGGTGTTAAGTGGTCACTGGAGCCCATAGACTTCTACAGTGTAAATACCACCACCCATCTCGAGACATGAGTTCGTAGGTTTCAGTTTTTACAGTACAATGGCTGCCCCGCTTTTCAAACCGAAACGCATTACTGCTTCACGGCAGAAATAGGCAGGGCGGTGGTACCTACCCGTGCCACCGTGCGGGTATTTGAAAAATAAATTTCAATTCATTGCTACTAATGTAGTAGCCCTTTGTTGGAACTTTATATCATGACATATCAATATCTCTTTCACAAAAGCCTCTATACGCGGGTAGATACCACAATTTCGCCTATTTACGCTGCGCAGCATGTCGTTTCTGAAATCGGGTGCCGATATTGATGTCCTGCTGTCCATGGTCTCCGTTAACCGCTTAACATCAGATGTGTCGTGAAACGGTTGCAGGTGGCGAGCCCGGGGAGGCGGTGATCATTGTAAACGAGACCCCGTCTGGCCCGGCCGTCGCTGCCAGGCCGCACAGCCCCACGCAGTCACACAGAGGTACCCATTTCAAATCCACTCGCAACACCACTTACCGGGTCCAAATCTGATCCAAATCAGCGAACAAAAATCTCATTGAAATGACCTATAGGGGCTCGGTGACAATCTGGCCCGATCCGGTAGTAAAATCATTCGCGAAGCAGCTGCTCTTGATTTGTTAGATCTCCTCGGCGGAGGCGCTCGGGTAGCTGTTAACAAACCCACCCCTCCTGGCTGAGCCTTTGCTCGCCCACCTGCCTGGTGAAACTGAAAAGGCCTCCAGGCCACCAGTAATCCCTCAATCATAAAAAAAACAACCTGGGTTATGTCTCTGTTATCCGCAGCGATTTTGTGTCATACTGCCAATACCATTCTTAGGCCGCCGACTCTTTACAAAATACGAATCGATGTTAATCCGGGAGGGGAACTCATCCAAGAGTCAAAAGTCACGGGAGAACTATGGTCTCTAGGAACGCATTGATCCACACAATGAAGTATCTAAAGTGACCAGAGAAAAGGGGATTCACCCGTTAACACGTTTGTTTTTATAAATATCGGCCTTATATGCAGAGCATACGGCTCACCCGATGGTGAGTAGTTACCGTCGCCCATGGACGTTAGCAATGCCAGGTTTAGAGCCAAGCCGCTGCCTACCGCTAAGTACTCTTCACAAGCCTCGTTTGAAGAAGGTCGTGTCATAACGCTCAGGAGACGCCGTGGAGGGGACCTCATTCGAAAGCCGATCAGAGGATTTATTAAAACTAAGCTGGTCACATCCTGTCTGTTTTATTTATTTATTGCTTAGGTTGGTGGACGAGCTCACGGCCTACCTGGTGTTAAGTGGTTACCGGAGCCCATAGACATCTACAACGTAAATGCCGCCGCCCACCTTGAGAGATGTGTTCTAAGGTCTCCGTTTTTACAATACTATAAACTAATGGGCCGTGTTGGCTCCGAAGAGGTCACGTAGTTTTAAGACGTTGGTCAGGCGACGTTAGCCAGACGCTCAATGCACTTATACCAACAGATCTGAGGCTTTGACCCTATTGCTTAAACAGGGAATTCAATATATGGAATGATATGAGATCTAAGGTCTCCGTTTTAACAGTACAACGGCTACCCCGCTCTTTCAGACCGAAACGCATTACGGCAATGTGACTTTTGGACAATTATTGGTAAATCAGAAAAACGAATTATTGACTTTGTATTCCATTGGCAGTCACAAAACTCTTCGGAACGACATCTTAGATAAATAACAGGTTAAGTATTAACCTTTATTTAATGCAGGTTTTGAACCGTATTCTTTGAAGGAGACGATTATATTCAAATCAATCTGTATTGACATATAAATAACATTTTTTTGTCCAAATGCACAGATTGCCACCTTTGATAATAGACGACTCAAGTCTCTTAGAAATAGGTTAATTCTCAGATCGTTCGGATTCGTATTTCCCAGAATCTACTATATATTCCTTAGTAACAGAAATCGACGTAATTACTTCTTAATTACGCTGGTTTATGATTTATGGTCAGTTTTAGAGAGTACGGCTTGCTCTAAACGCCATGATAATTTGGAGTCCCTAAAACAATCCGTACGATTGGCAGTGAAAATTTTTCCCATGGAAAGATTGCATGCTTCTATTGATAACTGGCCTCAACGTTTAAAGGACTGTATTGCAGCCAATGGAGACCACTTCGAATAAGCTTTTTATACTTTAAATTGTTTTATATTTATGTATTAAACTAACACACTAAAAGTAATAAATGTTATTTGCAGTACAATTTTTTTTTCTTTTATCTCAGTATTTATGGCAAGACTAGGTACAAGTAAAACAAAATATATATATAATAAAGAAATATAATGATTTTAAATAAATAAAAAAAATATTTATTATATGTTGAAATTCTCTGGAAGCTTTCTGTAGAAGAGGAAGAACTTCAAACTTGTTTTTCTGTTTTCAGGCGTCCCTAACGCTGCGGCAAGCGCATCGGCCCCCTGGAGAGTGCGTTTGGCCACCATCAAGAACTCGTTCCTGGGTTCGCCGAGATTTCATAGGCGGAAAATGCAGAGTAAGTACCTTGAAAATAAATCCTTGTTTAAGCAATGGGGTCAAAGCCTCAGATCCGTTGTTATGAGTGCATTGAGCGTCTGGCCAACAAAGTTAAAACTATTACATGACCGCTTTGGAGCAGATAATATTTAGGATCGTGGTTCCCAACCAAGCTGGCTTTACAGCAAGGCTCATTAGCTTATAGTACTGTAAAAACTGAGGCCTTAGAACACATGTCTCAAGGTGCATGGCGGCATTTACGTCGTAGATGTCTATGGGCTCCTGTTGTGCGGGCTTAGCGACGAAGGGAAAGATCTTCCACCAGCAGGAATTGTTCGGTAGACCGACGGTCAGAATATTGTTGTTCGGAACTTGTATATATGCAAGTTCATCTTGAAAATGTCGTTAGCGAGATTCAAGCATCTGTCAAGTATCTTGTGTTGTATGATGGCTACCCGCCACCGGTAACCACTTAACATCAGGTGGGCCGTGAGCCCACCCATCTAAGCAATCTTGTCGATCGCAGTACTCCATAATAATGTTTATAAAATAGCGAAGGTCTGGGGTTAACGGGCTCTTTTCCTTTTTTTTTATTGCTTAGATGTTTGGACGAGCTCACAGCCCACCTGGTGTAAAGTGGTTACTGGAGCCCATAGACATCTACAATCCACAACGTAAATGCGCCACACACCTTGAGATATAAGTTTTAAGGTCTCAGTATAGTTACAACGGCTGCCCCACCTTTCAAACCGAAACGCATTACTGCTTCACGGCAGAAATAGGTGGGGCGGTGGTACCTACCCGTGCGGACTCACAAGAGGTCCTACCACCAGTAATTACGCAAATTATAATTTTGCGGGTTTGATTTTTATTACACGATGTTATTCCTTCACCGTGGAAGTCAATCGTGAACATCCGTTGAGTACGTATTTCATTAGAAAAATTGGTACCCGCCTGCGGGATTCGAACACCGTTGCATCGCTATATACGAATTCAACGGACGTCTTATCCTTTAGGCCACGACCGCTTCTTAGACTATTATGTTACAAGCTAGATTTTTTACTGATTGAGATTTATTGTGTATTTTTTTTAGCTTGTAATGTGTATTGTGTGCCTGATGAATAAATGAAATGCACTCACAGCATCATCGGAGGAAGTTCATCTGACGCCCGAATCATCACCGGAGCTGACGAAGAGGTCCTGGTTCGGGTCCCTCCTCCTGTCCGCTGACAAGGAGGAAACGTTCACGGCCCTCGTCAAAGGGAAACCTCTGGCCACCGTCAAAGCCGATTTGATACACGCCTTTTTGAGTGTAAGTATTCTCTCAATAAACAATTCGTTAACACTACCCTCCGGTAAACAAAAATCAAAGCGGACGGTTTTATGCCGACATCAGCCATGAAAATTAAAAATGTCTTTTATTTAGCGTACTTTCGTTTGTAATGCATTCAAAAATGCCCCATAGGATCAGGGTGATAGGGTAGCGTCAGCTATAATAGTCTAAGAGCCCGTGAATCCCAAACCTACTTTATTTTATAAAAGCTGAAAGTTTGTCAGCGCATGCTCTCAGCACATGTGAGAGCGATAGATCATTATGAAGTTAGGGTCACCGTGGCAATTAAACGGTACCAAAGGTGTTTAAAACGCCGATCTAAATTCATCCATACAAAAAAATAAAATTGGAGTGTCTGTTTGTAATAATAATATAACCACTTTTTACGCGTTTTACGCGTTGTTACGCGAAAAGCATTTTTATTAATTACAATTGACAAGAAAAGTGTTTTTACTAAGTACAAATGACAAGAAAAACCCTTTATTGAGTACAATTGACTAGAAAAGCTCTTTTATTGAGTACAATTGACAAGAAAATCTTTTTATTGAGTACAATTGACAAGAAATATGTTTTTATTAAGTACAATTGGCAAGAAAAAACCCTTTATTGAGCACAATTGATAAGAGAAGCTCTTTTATTGAGTACAATTCACAAGAAAAGCACTTTTTTTAGTGCAATTGACAAGAAAATCATTTTTATTGAGTACAATGGACAAGAAATGTGTTTTTATTAATTACAATTGACAAGAAAATCCTTTTATTGAGTGCAATTGACAAGAAATGCTCTTTTATTGAGTACAATTGACAAGAAAAGCCTTTTTTTAGTGCAATTGACAAGAATTTTTTTTTTATTGAGCATAATTGACAAGAAAAGCGCTTTTATTAAGTACAATTGACAAGAAAAGTGCTTTTATTAAGTACAATTGATAGGAAATGTGTTTTTTTAGATAGCAGAATTGTCGCACAGCGTTATAAGTCCGATGTCGTTCCGCGTCGAGTACAAGAGAGGGTCGAACGCGCCCGCCATGTTCCAGAGGCACGTCAGGTTTCAGGTGAGTGACTGGCCCTCCTGTTTCTAAACTAGGAAACAATAATGAGTTTGTATATACACAAGCCTTTAAAAGTGAGACCTTACAACTCATGTCTCAAGGTGGGTGGCGGCATTGACATTATAGATGTCTATGGGCTCCGGTAACCACTTAATATCGGATCGGCTGTGAGCTCACAATTAAGCAATCCCAAAAAAAATTAGTTTTCACTATGGTAATGATTTCTGTGTTATTTTTATATTTTTTTGTGTTTAGCTATACAATCTTTTTTTTGGTATTTATATCAGGTCGATATATCGACTATAACGAAGACAGCCGAGGAGAACGGGAAGGACAACTTGTTTGCGATAACGTTCACCTTACTGTCGGGTGAGTCGTCAGCCGTCGGCTGCTTTGATTGTTTCTTTTAGCGTAGACCAGTTGTTGAGTTAACTCGCTCGAAGGTTCATGTTTCTGTCACCCAACATTGGGCTCTGGGATGACTTTTCTTGAGCGTTATGACATGTCTTTCTTCAAACGAGGCTTGTGGAGAGTACTTAACGGTAGGCAGCGGCTCGGCTCTGCTCCTGGCATTGCTGAAGTCCATGGGCGACGGTAACCACTCACCATCAGGTGGGCCGTGTACTCGTCTGCCTTCAAGGGCAATAAAAAAAATAAAAAATAACAGCAAACGTGTGACATCACCAGGCAACATCCGTCGGTTCCGTCGCGTGTGCGAGGTGGTGCAGGCGGCCGTGAGCCGGGCGTCCGGCGCCACGCGGCACGCCGTCCTGCACCCCCCCTCGCCCTGCGCGCACCGCCGACACGTGCACCCCGCAGGTACCTTCATTTATCTACTTAAGCATCATATCAACATCACAACACTTCGTCTTCTCGCATTAAAACTGCTATAATCTCAAAACTTACTAATTTTATTGCTTAGATTGGTGGACGAGCTCACAGTCCACCTGGTGTTAAATGTTGCAAAAATGATTAATATTAAAAATATAACAAATGCTAAACCTTTAAAACACTCTCCTGTAAATTTTTTTACTGGTGGTAGAACCTCTTGTGAGTCCGCGCGGGTAGGTACCACCACCCTGCCTATTTCTGCCGTGAAGCAGTAATGCGTTACGGTTTGAAGGTTGGAGGAGCCGTTGTAACTATACTTGAGACCTTAGAACTTATATCTCAAGGTGGGTGGCGCATTTACGTTGCGGATGTCCATGGGCCCCAGTAACCACTTCACACCAGGTGGGCTGTGAGCTCGTCCACCCATGGTCCCTCGGTCAAAGTTGAAAGTCTCTAAATCGAATCCTCTGCTCCAGCTTCCAACGAGATCCCGGACAGTCCGGAGGCGCTGGGCGGGGAACCGGACAGCGACTCCTCAATGTTCGACTCCAGGAGTCCGGCGCCCACGCCCACCAGCCACACCTCCATAGACCAACTCGATCAGGTACGCACACACAGACTATAGAAGTCGGCGAGACAGTATTCACGCCATTATGTCCACGGATCCCGGTAATTACATTACCAACTGGTCCGGGCTGCGTATAATATATATATTAATAATAATAATTTATTTATTTATTTTTCTCTTAAAGGTATAGTACAAATCTAGATTACGTATAATTTATTTTGTTAGCCTTTGAAGACCTGAAGTCTGTACTAGGTTCAAAGACCTACAGACATTACAAGACATTACATACAAGACATTACAGACCTCCAGGATCAGTATGAAAGGAAGCTGTCTTAAATTTCACCTACCTACCCACAACCCGGTTTTTTTCATGGAACACGATTACCAGCTTTATTTTAATAGTATACTATATGACGGAGAGACTGGTTCCATAGTGTTTTTAAAATGATGACATCAGCGTTTCTATTGCCATTCTCTTCATCATTATCACTGCCTTCCATAATGACAGTTATTAAGACTAACTAATAGTAACGTTGCGCCGACATATATTATTATATTTATATTATTCTTTGTGTCCAATCAGAACGGGACACATCTTCTAGGGTCCAGCTCTTCGGTGACCAGCGGCTCTAGCGGCTACAAAGTAAGTGTCATTTTTACATTACCCGACACTGGTAGAACAGCAGACACGCAGGTAGAGGCGAGCAAGAATCTAGGGTGGATTCTGTTGTCAAAATTCCATAATGTCGATCTCGGCTCATAGCTTTGTACCAGGATTTTTATTTATTCATGAGACTGACTGTACAAAACAAATATATAATGAAGATAAATAATAGTTTAAAAAAATAACAAAATACGCTTTTATAGAAAATCCAAGTAAAAAATAGAAAATCAATTTTAATAAATTTGAATTAAAAATAGTGTAAGAAAAAATTATTTTATTATAAAAAAAAAGCGTGGGTGCATGGTATCAGTAGCTATAAATATTTTATGAACAGATATGAGTAGAAGGGTTTTTTGATAATATCCTGAAAAGCACCCCACGCTTTTTTACAATAAAATCATATTTTCTTACACTATTTTTAATTCAAATTTATTAAAATATATATATCGTTTTTAGTGGGATTTGTTATGAAAGCGTATTATATTAGTTTTTTAAACTATTATTTATTTTTCATTTTTTAGTTGGACTTATTAAGGACCGATGACAATTCAATATTAAAAAAAATATTCAATATTTTTTATATAATAATAATAATAATAGTTTAAAAAACTAATATAATACGCTTTACGAATTACTGCTTCACGGCAGAAATAGGCAGGGTGGTGGTGCCAACTTGTGCGGACTCACAAGAGGTCCTACCACCAATAATCACGCAAATTATAATTTTTTTCGAAATTCGAGTTAATCCGACGTTTTGAAGGGGGTCAAAATCATGTTCAAAGATTCCGTTACAAACATACATACGTCTGAAGCTAATAAAAGCCTATTAATAGGTAAACAAAAACCAATGAAGTTTCCACAATTGAGGCTGTCAGCGTAAAAGTGGCCTAAGCTTACCAGTTACTGTTGAAATAATGAGTTTGGAATTTACTTTTACACTTCGCTTCGTAGGCAAAAACAATACGCGCAAAAATAATGTTTACAAAGCCATCTGTTATCTATGGGTGAGACTAGGGATAGGCCGGTTTTGCATCAAAATTTATTATGTTTTAAATAGATTGCAATTTATATGCACGAAACTGAAAAATTGTGGGTTAGGCCACTTTTGCACTGACGCTCTCAACTAACATTATGAGTAGAAATTGAATAAAGAATATATATGTACAGTAAGAGCTCCTTATTCGCGCTTCCTTAATTCGCGCTTTCTTTATTCGCGTTTTCACTATTCGCGGACATCGGTGCATCGGTATATACACATTAATAAAAAGAATTCCAACATATATGTAGGTATCCAACCGGATGTCCTTTGTAAGGTCGTCCTAAAGTAAAATAGACCTTATTACAACCATGCCTGAAGTATGTTTTTATTTTGTCACCTAGGAAAGTATCCTCTATAATCCTATATATGTAAATTACAGAACAGATACCTTGCGAAACTTCTATCTATCTATCGAGAAACTTGTTGTTCAGGGTAGGGTCAATGTTAAGAGATCCGGTGGACAAATCCCCATGCGTTGGACTGATTAGGTGAAAGACCTTACTGAAACCCCACTTAACGAGTGTGTGCGCCGGGCCTCGGTTCGCAAACTATGGAAAACATCTGTCAAGGCTTTAATGAGCAAGAATTCCACATTACCACGACTGCTCTGCCAAGAGCAACCGATTATGATGATGATGATGATACCTCGCGAATAAATAGCTCCTAATGTGTAAGAATTAAGCGAATGAAACAGCAATTCTGAAGGTTTCGCTTGTGTTAAGTACGTTTAAGACGAGATCCTCTGAGTTACCTCATGCTAATCGGATGTCCTGATCAATTACAGCAGTGCGGAAGAAGACGACCGGCGGAACCGGCCTCAGCATCTCTCGACCGCGAGATCATGAGTTGTGGTCGTGACATACCCGGTAAATATACCTATCTAGTGGTAGAGATGAGTCGGATTTATTAGAGACAGACCTGAGTATTTTAGGAAGTCGTCGTGGCCTAAAGGTCAAGACTTCCGGTGTATTCGTATGTAGCGATGCACCAGTGTTCGAATCCCGCTGGCGTGTACCAATTTTTCTAATGAAATACGTAGGTACTTAACAAATGTTCACGATTGACTTCCACGATGAAAGAATAACATCGTGTAAAAAAAATCAAACCCGCAAAATTATAAATTGCATAATCACTGGTGGTAGGACCTCTTGTGAGTCCGCACGGGTAGGTACCACCACCCTGCCTATTTCTGCCATGAAGCAGTAATGCGTTTCGGTTTGAAGAGTGGGGCAGCCGTTGTAACTATACTGAGATCTTACAACTTATATCTCAAGGTGGGTGGCGCATTTACGTTGTAGATGTCTATAGGCTCCAGTAACCACTTAACATCAGATGGACTGTGACCTCGTCCACCCATCTAAGCAATAAATAAAAAAATTAGGTATTTTACGAGATTAGGCTGCACCTAATCCCATTTTGGTCAATACGTATAATCCACCTGTTCCACCTAATCTTCGTATTCTTAAAACATAAAATCGAATGTTCGGCATACGCTCCCACCTGTTCCTGCGCTATCTCACTCACTTACACGTTGCAACGTATCTCACAATCCCTAAATGCCTAATCCTAATCATTCAAATAATGATCCAAAAATCACATTAATCAAATTCTAATAACGAACTCAGAATTTGAGATTAGGAATAGGCAGATTGAGATTGCTTGCTAAGTAAAGTATTGGTTGAGAATGAGATTAGGGAGATTATGTGGATTAGGTATTACTTAAGATTAGGAACAGGTGGACCTAGTATCTGATTTACCTAGTACGACCCATCTCTTCTATCTAGACAATAGACACCTAATGCTTTTTTTTACTGCTTTGATTTACACAGAGGCGCACTATAGGGGGGCAGAGGGGGGTCCGCGGGGACTCGACACGAATTCTAGCTCAGGACGCGAGATTTTAATGATTAAAATTATTTGAAGTCGTTGTGGCCTAAAGGATAAGACGTCCGGTGCATTAGTATCTAGCGATCCAACGGTGTTCGAATCCCGCAGGCGGGTATCAATTTTTCTAATGAAATACGCACTTAACAAATGTTCACGATTGACTTCCGCGGTGAAGGAATAACATCGTGTAATAAAAATCAAACCCACGAAATTATAATTTGCGTGATTATTGGTGGTAGGACCTCTTGTGAGTCCGCACATTAGGTACCACCACTCTGCCTATTTCTGCCGTGAAGCAGTAATTCGATTCGGTTTGAAGGGTGGGGCAGCCGTTGTAACTATACTGAGGCCTTAGAACATCTCAAGGTGGGTGGCGGCATTTACGTTGTATGGGCTCCGGTAACCACCTTAACACCAGGTGGGCTGTGAGCTCACCCATACATATATGCAATAAAAGAAAAGGTGCACTGACTTGTTACTAATGACAATAACATTTCATTTGTTGCAAAAGAGGGGCAGGTTTTTGTTAGAGCGCGCTTGTTTTTCGTCGGATCTGCCTCGTTCATACATCAAACGATAGCGCCCTATTTTTAATCAAAACTGTAGGTGACAAAAGAAACAGTAAGGGCAAAAATTTGGATCTGTCCCTCTTTTTACGGCAAGAAGGTCCTCAATTGTAACTGTCGCCCCACCGTTCAAACTGAGGCGCGTATTGAAGTGGGGGGTAAGCAATCTGACGCGTTCACGTGAGGTCGTCGACTCCGCGCGTCATCTGTCCCTCCGAAGCGTTCCCTTAGCGCGCCTCCGTCAGCCCTCGCACGCGACAATAAAAGCCCGCTTCTCGGAAGGCACCCACACAAAACGTTCGTCGTCAGAATGCCGGGAGGCCGCCTCCTCGCCGCGCCGGGGGCTCGAGGCCCGCGACGCGTCACTCAAGGACGCCCTCCGGAGGAACAACTCGCTGAGGGATCGGCGTGACGTCACTCCGACCACGACCATCGCGTGAGACTAGTCCCGCAAACGGCTCCAGCCCCGACACGAAAGGGTTTTGAACGATACGAAAATATAAAAAAAAAAAAAACCATATTGTCGGTTTTTACTACGTGAAACGAAAAATCATTTGTTTTATCGAATTCATAATAATATGAATGCATATTGACGTAAAATACCTACATCTTTTTTTTTTTTTAATCAAAATATTAATTTGTTACTAGAGAAAAATAACACGATCTAATAAATTCATTCCAATCAATACGTAAATTAGAAACATTAGGTATGTGTACTTTATGACATGTTTGATTATGAAGAAAAAAACAATAGAAAAAAATATTATTACGAACGGCAACTAATTTTTTTATTGTTTATTTTTGTCCTAATTATATTTGTTACATTGTTAATATCGCTAATATACATACATATCGAGGGGTGAACGGCGATATGGTTTAAGTGATATTTCGCTTAACACGCGCCATTTATCTTTGTAATTAAAGGTCCCTTTTATTTGGTATCAGCATCCACAGTTCGATATTTTTAATTGAACTTTAATCAAATTTACTCCATTGAAATACCTAAAGTTTTTCTGTTATGATATTTTTTCCAAATTTTAACTGGCTTTAAATGGCTCTGCTAGAAAGTTGCAAAAATGTCGCTTAAACCTAAATAGTCTTTCACCTGTCGACGTACAAATAACACGACAGTTTTGTGACGTTTGTATATCTCTATATGTTTGTGCGTTTTGTATAGCGCGCGCGAACTTTGACCGGGTTATAACAGTGAATATCATGGCTGACTGTCGGACCCATATATCTGTGTGCTTGGTCCGAGTTTTTGAACGTTCTCTATAGCGTAAAAGTTAACTCAAATTTCTATCCACTTGGAAAAGCGCTCCTAGCGGCAAACGTAGGCAAACTTTCCAACTCCATACAAATTTAAGTTAACTTTTAAGCTATCGAAAACGTTAAAAAACTCGCATCAAGCACACTGGGGACACGTTGTCGAGTTAGCAAACGAGTATGGGTCGGGGAAATGGAACCTGTGCAGTCATCTAAGGCGAATCATTCACATTATTCTGTAGTTCAGTTATTCCTATCACGTTGTCAACATGAAAACGATTATCATTGGTTATATTATAGTTATCGAAATTAATTTTAGCTGCTAGTGACGTCACGCCTAACGAAATAGTGGTTCGTAAAGTTTGCGCGCCAAATTCGTATTATTTTATTACCTACGTCATCAAATGCTAAGACTTAAAACACGGGTATTTATTGAATATCTCTCTCTCTCTCTTTATCTCTTTCTAACGCGAACATTAGAAGAGGATGAACGATTTGCTATGCTTCCAGCAGTTTCCGGAGACGCACAACGCGCTTGTCCGCCATTATAGTTTTAATAATTCAATTCCAAAAAATTACTACACAATATCGTGAAATCAATACATAAATTTATTATTATTTATTCATTTTCGGATTGAGACTTAATAACGCACAGAGAAGTAAAAATAGTAAATTAAATAAAAATTCGTTCCAGTTGAAATATTATAAAAAAAATCATTGCTTTGATTTTAAGTCATTCAGCAGCCATTGCTCCGTGTTTAATTAAAGCGTTCATAATTCGAGTAAATGTATTTTTTAAATAATATAAATTCTTCCAAATTTTTTGTACTTCCATTAGTTGAACACGAACAAAGCTTCCTAAATAATTTTAGATTAATGATTGTCAATTAAATTGACGTAACCATTTTGGCGATTAATTCATTACCTACCCGTTTCCGGTGTAAGACTTTTCAACTGATGTACTTTTTATTTCACCCAACGAATAAAATTATCATTAGTGAAATACCATTATCGAAAGATCCGGTCGAGATTTCAATTGTATAATATGTATATAAATCGGTACGGAAGACTGCCTTGCAGAAGAAATAGGCCACATTAAAAAGAAAAGGATTTTGTGAAGAGTATGAGTGGAACTCTATCGATTTCCAATAATGCTAGTTATCGTTACGGAATTTGTAATAGGATCGTGTAAACTGAGGCCTTTATTGAACGCTGTGTGCGCTCATTCTGTCATTAAAATTTGAAAAGGATTAAAACGGTTAACAAATGTCATTAAATACAATGAGTTTACAGGCTATCTTTTTAATAATTTAATATGTATTGAAATTGCATTCCGATCTAGTTAGGAAAGATGTTGGATTTCAAGTTACTTATATTATGTAAATAAAAATAAATCAATTTATAATTTGATGTTGTGAACGGTGCCGGGAAACGTCGGGAAAAAATTTTAAAACCTCAATCAAACTGAAGCACGCCATATAATAGCACACTTTCAAAACTAAATTTCGATCAACAAAGTTTTTTCCACAACACGACACAATTAAAACACTTCGCGCCATTTTGTCTGTAAATGACTAAATTCTTTCTTTTAAAACTAAGTTTCCTTAATAAAGAAGCTTTAATGTTTTGCTTAAATGTATTGTTGCGTAGAAAAAAAGAATGGTCCTTTTATAAATTTGTACAAATCTTCCAAATATGAATCACGGCACATCCAAAACGGCTAATCATCAAATCAAAAATCAAAAAATCAAAATTGTCACTAACCTATAAAAATGGCGTCTTTTTATTCAAATAATAGTGAAGTAGGTAGTACGGATTGTGTGTTGTCTCTTTTTAGGACATTGAAATATTCGTTAACAAGAGTAGCTCCGATAGCGGACTTCAATTTATCTTATTATTGATGCATTAATTTTGGAAATCAAAAATCAATATTAACGTGCTCACATTATATTATTTTTCTTTAATATTAATGTATCAATCGTGAACTGCTGGAATACTGATTGATCGTTTATCTTTCGTGTTCGAGAGAAGTAAATAAAATAATCAAACAATTTCTGAGTTGGAACTTACGTAATCACTCCAATAGTGACGATCTAACATAATAATGTCTTTTGACGTAATTGATTCAAAATTAAAATATTTATGAGAGTGATATTGGTTACAACTCGACATGAATGAATCAAATTTCACATCCCGATAAACAATTTTGTTTAAAGGAAATTTTGAAGCTATATTTTTTACGCGGCAAACCTGACTGTTTTTACCCTATTTCAAGTTTAAATAGTTTTAGGGGCTAATCTCATTTGTATGGTAATCGTAAATAATGTGTAAAATGCTGTAATTTATAGCTAAAATTAAATTAATGTATTATTATNTCGACATGAATGAATCAAATTTCACATCCCGATAAACAATTTTGTTTAAAGGAAATTTTGAAGCTATATTTTTTACGCGGCAAACCTGACTGTTTTTACCCTATTTCAAGTTTAAATAGTTTTAGGGGCTAATCTCATTTGTATGGTAATCGTAAATAATGTGTAAAATGCTGTAATTTATAGCTAAAATTAAATTAATGTATTATTATGTAAAGTTAAAATGTTGTTTCCATTAAATGAAAAGATATGAAACCGCCCATAATATTAAAAATAAAGCTACAATAATGTATTATGTACTGAAAACACTATGTAGTTTAAGGCGATTTAAAAAAAAAACGCTGTATTTTTGCAATGATAAACTTATTACAAAATATAATATGTATATGTACATGAAGTAAGTATATGTGAAATTGAATAATGTTAATAATCAAATATATATATATGAGTCAGTCAGCGCAACAGTGGTCTAAGCTTACCATAGTTAGTATGGAGATAATAATTTTTTTTTTAAACTGCTTCATAGGATATACAAATTCAAATTCAAAATCATTTATTTCAACTTAGATGTCAGTATGACACACTTGTTAAATGTCAAAATATAAATAACAACGTTAACTCTACCACCGGTTCCAAAAAAAAGCCACAGTCCTGAGAAGAACCGGCGAAACAAACTCTGCGGGCTTTTTTTTTGTTATTCTCAATTTTTTTTTTTAATTAATTAAAAATATTTACAATAGAGGAAAAATAAGTCAAAAAATACAATTAAAAATAATTATTATATTAATGAAAAATGAAAAGCCCAGGAGCGAACGCCTCATTCCCACGTAGTGCCATCTAGTAAATAATCCTTAACTTTATAACATGCCTTGTTGCACAAACGTTCCTTGACAGTTTTCTTAAATCTATAAACAGGTAGAAATTGAACGTTACAAAAACAATACGCGCAAAAATAATGTTTACAAAGCCATCTGTTATCTATGGGTGAAACTAGGGATAGGCCGGTTTTGTATCAAACAATTATAATGTTTTAAATAAATTGCAATATATACCTAAGCAGAAATATGAAAAGTTTGGCCACTTTTGCGCTGACGGCCTCATATGTATTATTTTTTTGCAGACTTTTGTGTTGTCTAGTTATGGATTGCGCGTTAAGGTTCGTCTGAATATAGGCAAGTTTTTTTTTTAATGGACAAATATAACACAATCTAACAAATTTTTTTTTATAAACAAATATAATACAATCTAACAACAATGCGTCTGCGAAACTGTTCAACACAACATCTGATTTGAGTTGTTAATGGGGAATGTTTTAATTTTTTTATTTTTTATTTGCGACTTATTTACGTGTACGTGATTTTTTTTTATTAATATAAATATGAACTCGGACTTTATAGTGAGTGTAGTGTTTGATGACGGGCGGACGAACTCACGGCCCACCTGGTGTTCAGTGGTGATCGGTGCCTTGAGATGTGAGTTGTAGGTCTCAGTTCTTACAGTACAACGGCTGCCACGCCCCTCGAACCGAAACGCATTACTGCTTCACGGCAGAAATAGGCGGGGTGGTGGTACCTACCCGTGCGGACTCACAAGAGGGCCTACCACGAGGAATTACGCAAATTATAATTTTGCTAATTCGATTTTATATTACGTTGTTACGATGTTATTCCTTCACCGTGGACGTCAATCGTGAACAATTGTTAAGTACGTATTTCATTCGGAAAGTTGGTCCCTGGTATCCATAACAAGAAATCCTTATTTCGGGCAGGATGATCCTTAGAATCTCGAGGTAGGTGTTTTGCATTGTAGATGTCCATGGGCTCCGGTAACCACTTCACACCAGGTGGGCGGTGAACTCGTCCATCCACCCAAGCAATAAAAAAAAAGTTGCACTGTAAATCATTCATTATAGAAATAATAGGCGAACGATTCCGCATGTGCAAACTAGTGTCAAATACAAATACAGTTTTGGCTAAAATCTCTCTTGCCCATACGAGTTTTTCGCGTGTCTGAGACGGGAGTGCTCATAGTTGCTCATGAATAGTCATGCGTACACTTAGAGGCACGTGAACTCGGATCTAGTTTGTTTTTTTTGTTTGTTATCTTTGGCGTTTGACGATAACTTCGCGAATTAAATGTGAATTGTGATTAATTAAATAATAATACAATTGTATAATATATATTTTAAGTGTATATATAAGCAATTTAGTTCTGAACGCACATTAAGTTTTGGATTATTTTAGCGTTAGTCTGAGTCAGAGGTATGTGTATATT